ATTGTTGACCACGTCTCCAAACCTGCAGGTTCTCCGTTACTCGGCCCTCGTTGCCGGTCTCGTCTATGGTGTCTACCACCAGTCCTCTCTCAACTCGGTGACCAAGCGCGCAGAGATTGAACATGAGTATGCTCGGAAGGAGCGCCTGATCGAGCAGGCCAAGGCGGAATACAGGAAGAAGACCCAGCCCCAGCAAGAAACCAAGACACAGACCAGCGGACGTACGTTTAAATCCCCTGGGTTATGAATCCCAGACAAATGCAACGACATCCGGAGCCGCCGCATCTCCAGAAGACCAAGTTCTGACCAAAATTTCATAGTTATCACGAATTTCGAGGATCCCAAGTTCGACCTGGAGGCATTCCTGAAGGCTAAGGCTGAGTAAAGGTGATGAATGATATAGAGGAGGAATGCTATGCAACGATCTCTTTGCGGGAATCGCAACTCCCCCAGGGTACTAGACGCGTTTTGCTCAATTCCGCTCCATTTAATTGTACGATTGTTTGGGTTTAATCTGCCCCCGAATTGTGGCATCGCGAGCGCAAGATGGAATGATTTTTGTTTCTCATTTTTAGACGTTTTATCTGGGTCCTGTACATACCCTGGGCTGTCGTGCGCCTGTACACTACAGTTAAACCACAAGCAAGAGCAAAAGATCGTGTCATGCATTCCGGCGTTACCAATGGTCCTAAAACGTACCAGACCAATCTTGGTTTTGGTTTTGGTATTCATACGTCCTCCTCCTCGCATCTCAACATCCCGAACAGAGGATGTAGCCGCGTACATGATGATTCTCGGGCTGAGGATCAGATCTACTAAATAACTTGTTTTGCTTGATTTTACGGGCAGATTTAACCCGCACGCGTTCCCAGCATTGCCATCGCCTTGCGAATCCCATTGGAAGACTGAGGCTCCGCGGCCGACACGACGATGGGTTTGGGATACAACAGCTTCGGTTCCGGATCCCATGTCCATCCACATTTTGTGAAATTCGTAATTATGTTCGGATCTTCCTGTTCGGCGAGCTGTTCATCAAGACCAAGATGGGTTGCCGCTGTAACTAATCGAATAGCTTCGTAAGACCTGCTCACTGCGATCAAGGTTTTGTCTTGAAAGAAACCTAATCGCAGAATACTTGGTCAATTCAAGATCTTACCAAAAGAAGCTGCTCATTGCCATGGAAAACATACTCTCATATCTCCGAACCAGTGGCTGTAAGACATCAGGCCAAGGTAGCCCTCGGAGCACCTGGTAGACCTGGCCATGTTGAGTCTGCCATACCGCTCGCAGTAAAGCCAAGCAGTTCTGTAGAGAAGGATCCTGTTGCAGTAGTGCTTCGGGAATTCGTTTTGTTAAGGCGCGAGCTTCAGGTCTGGGACCCAAGTTTCATTAGCATCGAGGCAGTTGTGAAAAGCACCCTCAATAAAACGACTAACACTTGATCGGTAAGAAGATGGACGAGGAAGAAGCCCGAGTAGAACAGGCTCAGTAGCGTAGAATGAGCATCATCTGTACTGGAACAGTTAACCCCTGCAGAAATGATGCAAGCCTGAAGCTCATATCGCGATAAGCCTTCGAATAGCTGTGACGGTGGAGCGTTGGAGGCCACCAGCTGCGAGAGCTGCTCCATGGTCAGCGGTGGCAGCTCCATGTGGGGTATATAAGGTGTAGATAAATTGTAGATGGCTCTTGCTTTTGTAGAAATAATGAATCAGTCAACAGTAGTAAGTATATTGAGTCAAAATTTTGTCAAAAGAGCTCTAAGAAAAGATTGGTGGTGAGTCGTGGTATTGCGGGGAGCAATCGGAGGTGGCACCTTTGGCCGGTGCCAAGACCTTCAGAAGTGACCACCTTGCGCAGCTCCTGCTTTTCCCAACTCTCCTCACGGCCCTCACCACTGGCATCTCAGCCCAATTCATTCATCGGTTTCATGTTTGTATTTTGATTTCTGAATCTGGACTTAGCTCCGTTTGCAAGGCCATCATGGCCCCGTCTTCGCTTGATGTTGTGTTGAAAGGCAGCTCAGGCCGGAACACGCGCGGTCTATTGCGGGTTATCATTCTTTGTACCATTGCCGCCGCCGCGGTGGCCAGCCGTTTGTTCAGTGTTATTAGTAAGTCTCAATTGAGATCCTCAATGACCAATATGCTAACCCTCTTCTAGGATTTGAAAGTATCATCCACGAATGTAAGATTTGCCTGTTGCTGGACTAGATGCGGTGGCCAGCCACTTCGACACACCGAGTATACAAACGAGATGTTGATGCCGTCTTACTTTAGTTGATCCGTGGTTTAACTTCCGTGCGACAAAATATTTGATTGAAAATGGCTTTTACAGCTTCTGGGATTGGTTTGATGATCGTAAGGCCCCTTCTCTGTGATTGCACGCCCTTCTCAAGTGGCATTGTGCTGATGGAAATGCTCGTGCTATAGGAACATGGCACCCTCTTGGTCGTGTTACTGGTGGTACACTCTATCCTGGCCTGATGGTGACCAGCGGCGTGATCTACCATATCCTTCGTCTCCTTACCATCCCCGTCGATATTCGAAATATTTGTGTCCTGCTCGCTCCCGGATTCTCTGGACTAACAGCCCTGGCGATGTATCTTCTGACTTCCGAGATGTCCGACTCTCCCTCCGCAGGTCTTCTGGCTGCTGCTTTCATGGGAATTACACCCGGTTACATTTCGCGGTCTGTGGCAGGCAGCTATGATAACGAAGCCATTGCCATTTTTCTATTGGTGTTCACATTCTACCTCTGGATCAAGGCCGTGAAGAATGGTTCGATCATGTGGGGAGCCTTGACTGCATTGTTCTATGGATATATGGTTTCTGCTTGGGGTGGATACGTCTTCATTACCAACCTGATTCCTCTTCATGTCTTTGTTCTTCTATGCATGGGCCGATACAGCACCCGTGTCTATATCAGCTACACCACTTGGTATGCCCTGGGAACATTGGGAAGCATGCAGATTCCCTTCGTCGGTTTCCTGCCAATTCGCAACAGTGATCACATGTCTGCGCTCGGTAAGACTTTTTGGTTCTGAGCCATACCATTGTCTCATTCTAACTATTTGATAGGTGTCTTTGGATTGATCCAATTGGTGGCGTTTGCAGAGTTCATCCGAGCCTACCTCCCTGGCAAGCAGTTCCAAAAGCTCCTCACTTCTATGGTCTTGCTTACGTTCGGCCTTGGACTTGGTGGTCTTGTCCTGTTGTCGGTATCTGGGGTCATTGCTCCTTGGAGTGGGCGCTTCTACTCTCTGTGGGATACCGGATACGCCAAGATTCATATCCCAATTATTGCCTCGGTCTCCGAGCACCAGCCCACTGCCTGGCCTGCGTTCTTCTTTGACCTGAATTTCCTTATCTGGCTGTTCCCGGCCGGTGTTTTCATGTGCTTCCAGAAGCTCAAGGATGAGCATGTCTTTGTGGTCATCTACTCAGTCCTTGCTAGTTACTTTGCCGGCGTTATGGTCCGTCTGATGCTGACCTTGACCCCCATTGTGTGTGTTGCGGCTGCTCTGGCCTTGTCGTGCATCCTCGATAATTTCCTGGTTGCGTCGAGCCCAAGCACTGCAACCAAGGCTAAAACAACCACGGAAGATAAGTCCCTCCGGTCAACCAGGAACCCTGTTGTCGGTATCTACTCCTGGTTCTCCAAGTCTGTTGTGGTAGCCTCGGTCACTCTATACCTGCTTCTGTTTGTTGCGCACTGCACCTGGGTTACTTCCAATGCATACTCCTCGCCCTCCGTGGTTCTGGCCAGCAAGCTCCCCGATGGAAGCCAGTTCATCATCGATGACTATCGTGAGGCCTACTATTGGCTCCGCCAGAACACTCCGGATAATGCGAAGATCATGTCCTGGTGGGATTACGGATATCAAATTGGTGGCATGGCTGACCGCCCCACTCTGGTTGACAACAACACCTGGAATAACACCCATATTGCCACTGTTGGCAAGGCAATGAGCTCACGCGAGGAAGTCAGTTACCCAATTTTGCGACAGCACGATGTCGACTATGTCCTGGTCGTGTTTGGTGGACTACTCGGCTACTCAGGTGATGATTTGAACAAGTTCCTTTGGATGGTTCGTATTGCCGAGGGTATCTGGCCAGACGAGGTGAAGGAGCGCGATTACTTCACCGCTCGTGGCGAGTACCGTGTTGACGAAGAGGCCACCCCCGCCATGAAGAACAGCTTGATGTAAGAGCCCCACGATTTGATTATTCAAGTCATCTCTAACCCAATCAACAGGTACAAGATGTGTTACCACAACTACCAGTCGCTCTTCCCGGCTGGTCAAGCCATGGATCGTGTTCGTGGCACAAAACTTCCCAAGGAAAGCCCCCAGCTCAACACACTGGAAGAGGCTTTCACTAGTGAGAACTGGATCGTTCGTCTCTACAAGGTGAAGGATTTGGATAACCTTGGTCGTGATCATAGCAACGCAGTTGCCTTTGACAAGGGCCTGAAGCGCAAGCGTGCCCCCAAGCACAAGGGTCCTCGTGTTCTGCGAACCGAGTAGATACTTTTTTTTCTAGATTCATGTTGCATTTTCTTGTCTTATTGGCTGTTATGATTCGCTCTGGCATAGCAGGCCATTTGCACTGTGCGTTAAAAACCATACCGAATATTATCTAGGTGTAGTTGCCTAGAAATTTATCAATGCCTATCTTCTCGGATGACTATCACATCACTCTGCCTGTCAGCTTCATTAGCGACCCGACGGTGAAGTAGCGAGGAAATATTGGGATTTTTTGAAGTTGGTAGGGCACATTGAAAGCACAGTGGCACCATGCGAAGACTGATCGATATCCGTAGCCCAAATTCATTGTACAGTTTAAATTCCAAGCCGCCTTCCGTGCATGGCAGCACAAATGTTGATATTATCGCTAATCTTACAGATCTGAAAAACAAGGTCTCCCTGAAGACTCCGAAACCCCAATTGCAGCGCCAACCCATCACCAAGTACCGATCTGGTGGGTGTGGGGTGTGCTTTATTTCTTGTCCGCGGGGGCATCGGGGATCTTGACGTCGGCGAATTCTTCTTGGCCGACAGCCTTCAGAGTGTAGGTGTCTGTTAAGTGAGACCAAATCAGCACAAGGTCCTGTCTCTTGTGGATATTGACCCCGCATGGAGACTTCTCAGAGGGCAAGTTCTGGTGTCATAATGGGGTTCGGAGATAGCGACAGGGCTGAAGCGGAACAGTGATAGGTATCACACGGTTTACTCACAGACTGCAACTGTAAACGCGAATAGCCCAAAGCCTGTGATAGTATTCTTGAACAAGTATGGGCGACGGGCACGCAGGAGGGCGGCACCGGCGCGGTAGTCCTTGCCATAGTAGGTAGAGTTGAAGCTATCGCAGAAGCATGATGTTAACATAACGAGATTTCAGTCATCCCAGAAAGACAACACATACATTCCGGTAGCCATGGTGGGAGTTTTTGTTGACGGAGACGTGAGAGACAAGATTCTCAAGTTGCGGCCATACAGGCAGACCCAGAGGAAAAGTCTTGGCGTCGGAGGCCCCAGACAACGTGATGCGGATTTAGATGCTTCTGTTTTGAGTAGATTAAGAGCTTTTATTGTAATTGAGACTCTAGTTGAATTCACATCAAACCAACTGAAGCCCAGAGAGACATATAGCCTAGTTAATCAAGTGTTGTATGTAGAGAGACACGCAGCTCACATACACCGGAGTCTTTGTTGGCCGGCCTTTCAGGCTTCGCAGCTTTTGTCGCACCCTCGACGGTCAATCTCACTTCCCAATCGCCCCTCCTTCACCACCCGTCGCTTAACCACTTATTCTCTCGAACATAGGTGTTTTTTGCCGCTAATTTCTCGTTCTGCGGTCGCACACTCAAGCTTAGGTGTGTTGCTTTTGCAACTACATCCGTGTTTCCCGTCCACCTACCAGCATCCTCCCTTCCCCCAACATCTTGTCTCCCAACTCGAATCCGACACGACCGTCGCGTAACGGATACCTTTCCAATACAGCTGCGATGGCCCAGCCGATGGACAATGTCATCGACCAGGTCGCCCAGCTCAACGCTGCCCGCAGCCTCGTCCTCGGTGATGCTGCTTTCTACCCGCAGATCGTTAATGGCATCCTTCCTATAGTCGGAGCTGGTACACGGCTAGAATTGCGGAGATGGGGTGCAAACTTCCTGGCAGAAACCTTTGCTAGCCCAATGTTAGCTGTTGCGCAGAAAGAGCAGCTGGCACCGAATGTCCTGCAGACAATCCGTGAGATTCTAGAGCTACCGGAGACAGACACGGCAGTCCTACAGAGCTTAGTGCAGACTTCAGCTAGCTTGTATCCCCTCGTCTTCAGACATGTGTAGGTTACTATCAAGCTTCCGTGACTGCGACGCAGGAGCGTGCTCAAAACGCATCCCTAGTGCAGGGCTAACAATACCAACAGAGTGAATCACCCGCAGGATGGCAAGTCATGGGAAACGATGAGTGCAATTAAGCAGGATATACTTAGGAGAATGGACTCGTTCCCATGCCCGGTTAAACTTTGCTGTGCCAAGTTCATCCAGCGTGTGGTCCAGGTTCAGACGCCGGGACTGATCTCGGACCCCAGAGTATGTTATGCGAGTGACAGGTGCTTGGAAATATGGTTAATAACTTTGATCAGCGACCGGACCAAAATGAGACGTCTTTGGCAGTTGTTCCCCGAAACCATGCTGTTCTGTCAATACCAAACCTGGAAGCGGAATCCTCCGGTCTCCTCGATCGACTACTCAGTGTTTTCCAAGAAGAGATCAGGTATGAGCACAATGCAACCTTTTTTTTCGAGCTCATGGTGACACTAACACAATACAGTGATGCTCTTCTTGTGAACGGGACCTTAAACTGCCTCGCTCCTCTCATTCGGACGCGCCAGTCCATAGCAAACAAAATCATTAATGCTGTTTTGGATTTTTATCCTGCGAAACACGTCTGCCCACCATTTACTCCGACAGTTCGCGTTAGTGTCAAGTCTATGGAACGTACGGCTCGAGCTCTGCTTATCAATATCTTGAAAAAGTCCGTTGTCATCCTGGTTGCAAAGATGTGGTTAAACCTAACTTTTATAGGAACCCGAATCACCCTCTGTCAGGTCGGATACAAATGTATCTTGAACGTCTAATGCAATCACGACTTGAGGTCACCGATGACGCTTCGCGGAAACGTGGATTGCCAAATGAACCTACTGACGGGCTGGACAACGCTAAGCGGGCGCGTCTCAATGCTTTACTTCCTCCGATGCTTAAGATTCCTCCGATGGCGCCGGGTCCCGCAAGCTTTGACCGACTCTTCACTCTGACCGACGACACCGGACTGTCCTCCTTTGACGTCAAGCAGCTTCCAGTTGATCTAGTCCTCAAGATTGTTGTACCTCTCTTGTCGCAGGTACATGATTCAACACTTGCACAAGCTGTCGATGTAAGAACTGTGGTGTGAGTGAAGCTTTGTTCTCTGCTGACATGATTCTAGGCTGTTCGTACTCGATATCAGACAATCACCAAAGATCAAAACCTGCAACGGCAGCAGCAACAGAGAGCAGCTGCTCTAGATGAGGATGATGACTATGAGCCCGAATACCAGCCCATGGACGTAGCATCTGTTGTTTCGGAAGAGGACAGTGCCATTGCAGCGGAGGTAGCAGATTTACAACCAGAACTTGTCTCTTTGGGTCCCTTTGTCCTGCCACAGCCACCTCCATTGACCGAAGAAGAGGCCGGAGAAATCGGACGGAGTGCTGTTGCACGCGTATTTGGGATGCTAAGCGCAGCCGAAACTTCACCTGCACCCGCCAAGGGTCAACCCCATCAAAAGCTCGGGTTTGCCAGGCTAGCAGGCAGTACATTCGACCGGGACGCATGGTCTGTTCTTCTTGCTCGGTTGGCTACACGGGCTCCTGCTGGTCTCGAAAATGACCAGCAAAATAAGGGAGACGCCGTACGTAGGCAAACAACTATCGCTGACTCGATCCGTGAGACACTCTATCGGTTCATCTTGGAAGATTTCCGGGGACGACTCAACATTGCCATTATCTGGCTCAATGAAGAGTGGTATAACGACCGGATTCAAATGAAGAGTGTTGCCAAACAGCGTGATGACACTGAGGAAGGCTCGGAACTTACTGTGTCTCTTAATTACGATACCTGGGCCACCCGACTTTTGGATGGCTTTCTGGCTTATCTGGACTCTCGAGACATCAAGGTGCTTGTCCGATTTCTTAGTGAAGTTCCTGAGATCACCATTCCCATCACTCAGCGGGTGGCCAGCTTAGCCAAAGATCCGGAACGTGTGAATCTTTGTGTTCAATCATTGATGTATGTCGCTGTCCGTTTTTTCCACTGTCAAGAATCCCCTTGCTGACTTTCTTTCCAGGTACCTGATCATGTTCCGACCTCCAGCACGAGAGATGTGTTTGAACACAGTAGAGGATGTCTACCAGACTTGTAAGTATACTCTCCCCTTAATTTCTACTAGTATAATGTATCTAACATGTGACGAACAGATGAAGAATCTCGACCTGCTGCGTGCAAAGTCCTCTCCAAGTGGCGCCCGCAAAGCTCAGCTCTGGGGACTGCTGAAAATGGCGCACTGGAGTCATCAGAGGCGAAGTCTAACACTTCAGAGCCATAACTTTTAGTTTTTGCTCTATTCGATGAAAAGAAGATGACGGCATGATATGAGATGCTTCAATTTTCCGCGATTTTCCGCGATTTTGAATGCTGGGGATCATCAGCATCGTTTTTCAGGCATTGGGGTTATTTCATTGCACATGTCTTCGGTTTATTGCCTTTCAGCCTCCGTTTCTTAATATCTCTCTTCGGGTGTATTCATCTAATGGGTTTAATTTTTGCACATGTGACATTTACGGTGCCTTCCTGTCGCTCGCATTGTCTTTGAAGAGGATGTAGCACATCCGTTTTTATCCTCACTGCGCTTTATCGAGGCATTTGAGTTTATTTAGTAGTAGGTCCTGTACAGTCCATCGCCCGGACTTTGATTTTGCAAAACGCGTCTGCCATATGCATAGTATTTGCTGAGTTTCAAGCGCACTGTTCAATGGTAGCGCTCTTTCGTGTCTCGGGAAAAGCCTCTAGTCTGCTCGATGGGAAATTCGTTGATTTAAATGACAACATACACTTCTATGTTCTCCTTTAGAAGTTTGCTTCATCTGCTCAAGATGATCCAAGGGACATCATGTATAAGAAAACACCCCAATTTCTTGTTTAGATTCTCTTTTTAAATTCTGTTTCTTGTCAGTGTTAGATAAGGAATAGTGGGATGGAGCACCTCGACATGTCGAGTTTATTACTTTACAGTATAAGGGGTATCAAGGATACAGAGGACTTTTCACACGTATGATAATGGATGGGGGATATTAAACATGAACATTATAGAAAACGTAGAGAGGAGAAGAACTTGGGAACCTCTGGGATAAACGAGATCATCCAACACCATAGGCACTTAACAACCTAAAGATGATAACTTTACATTTTCAAGTTGCGACATTCTCAGACATGTCACAAAAAAAGGGTTGAACACACTAAAAGCGAATCCTTCGCGGCTAGAAAAATTCAAACGTTTTACGCTATAGTAATCAATAGCTAGCTATTTTGCTAATATGTTTAGAGTTCCGAAGGTTAAACATGTTTTGATTTTGGTTCTATCTACATTGGCGGAGTGAACGGCCCCCGAGGACCATATCCTGGCTTCCAATTCAACTTTATACAAGTCTGAGGTGATGAGTCAAGTCTTATATTCTACTAAGATGTATGTTCTGATAACATATTACTATACGCTGCTAGCCTATATGATTGTGGAGATCAAAAAGCCGACAGGGATACCCCCTTAGAGATAATCCCTTTCATAGTTAAGCGCTATAAGGAAGTTGCCATAATTCTATAAGTCGCAGGAAAGGAGTCTGCTGGTTTTATCTAATCGATTGTGGGCTGCTAAAAAGCAGGAGGACTTGATAATCCTAGCAGGGGGTATTTTGGTTCCCGAGGAAATTGATGCAATATGGTCTGAATTGTTTGTTAAAGCAGGGACTCTTCCTGCCTGACAATGTACAGCAAGATCCTCACTCGCCTTGCCTGGACTTTATGAATATTATCTCACTGCCAGAAAATTGCTTAGATGTCGGCCTAGACACTTATGCGTTCATTGAAAGTCATCATGCAGAGATATATAGACTCTCTACCAATAATACTATCGACCTTTTAAAGAGCAACTACCTAGAAAATAGAAAGCTAGGAGCAATTTACTTAGAGGGTGGCCTCTACCCTCCTAGCGAACTAGGTTCTATCAAGACTAATTCGAAGAATCCCAAAATTTTGGTGTTAAATCTCGCACTATCAGACGCTATACATAGCAAGACATCAGAAGAGATCGTCTAGGTTTCTATAGACAGCAAGGTATATAAATCGATTTGAAAAGGCCACTTAATACACGCAATAGACTAACTCTATTTTAGACTTCTATATGCGTTCTAGGAAAGTCCGATGTGGCCGTTTAATTCACCAAGATAGATAGAATCAAGATCGATGTGCAATTTTGCCTTAATAACCCTAGATATTCCGAAATAGCTAGCAATCGATTCTACAGCGTAAACAATATACTTTACTGACTGCGAAGGATATTAAGTCTACCGCTGTGCCTTCAAAGGCTCCGATCTAGAGGGTTTGATCGACAATACTAGCCGTGGTCTGACCCCAACGGAGCGTATCTCAGCATGTTGTGAGAGGGTTGCTTTGAGCCCTGGTCATGATAAACTCCATTGTACCTAGAAAGAATCCTCGAAGGGTGGTGAAGGCCAGATCATGTGCGCCAATATCACAAACTCCAAGGTTCAGTCAGCAGATGTTCGAGGCGATATTTCGTGGGTTCTGGTTGATCTTCTGGAGCCAGTCGATCTCGACGTGGAAGAGGCATCTCGCACACTTTACTGGACCGATCGTGGTGAAATCCCGTGGAGCAACTCGCTAAACAGAGCCAAGTTGTGTGAAGGTGGTCTCCCTCTATCAACTAGTTCCCCGAGAGGATATGAGATCCTCAAGAGGGGTATAAGCGAGGCAACTGGTCTGAAGTTGGATAACATCAATTCTCATGTCTATCTCACTGATCTGGGTGGATTGGTAAGACCTGAATGGCAACTACAGGGAGAAGGTTCTCTTCGAAGATCACCGGGCCTTTACTGGAATTCCTATCCTGTAGGCCTGGAATACTATAGAGGATCTTGTATCTCACTTGAACCTAAATTTTTTTCAAGAGTTTATGAAAGATCTAATTTTGTGCAGGCATCCTATGCAACCAGTCCCTATAGATAGATCTCTCTTTTTCCCCCCATCTCTGCTCTCTCTATTTCTTTCTTCTCTGTCGCTCTATCTCTTATCTAGCTGTGAAGACACTCACCTGCCTTGGTACCTGGATTGTCACGCTTCATCCACCTATTCAGCTAGTTAACTTCCTGTTTCCCTGCAGGAATGAAATCTTCCTCTCCCCTCTATTTGCTCATTAGCAGTCAGATCAAAAGCAATCGACTTTTCCTCTTTTGTTTATCTTGTTGTCAATGCATCCGTGACAACAACTGGATGGAATTAAAGCATTTTAAATTTAGGTGCAAAATCCCCCTGCTAATTAAACATTTATTCTACTAGTAGTACCTGCCCACAATTCTAAATTGGGGCTAAACACATGTAACCACGCAGTACCTAATTAGTCCACTAAGAATAGGGGCTACTAAGCTACTAGTAATACCTAGACCTAAGTAAGGTATGTAAGGTATGTCCTATAGAGAGATCTAGGGTGGTAGTTATACGACCCATTGAGATTATTTTTGTGAAGTCGACTCTTTTGGTAACCCAGATATGCTATTAGTAGTTACCGGTAGTAAGGTGCTACCAGTCTAAGGTGACTCGGCGAACAAAAAACGTATACATACAAGCTGATCATTATTGTACAGGCAAATACATACCGTGCGGTTAACCAGTTTTTGCCAATCTCCTTGGGTGCACTCTTTGACTATTTCTCAACCTGGCCTTTGGTGTTGAAGCGAATCAGTGAGGTGAATCTTACCATCGGACGAGCTCCACTTAGGATGGAACTAGGGAAGGTGTGGCGCCGCCACGGTTCCAAGATTCAACCCCGCTATACCTGCATTACCTGCATACCTAAGTAGGCTTTCTCTTGAAAATCATAAAACAGGGCTTCGTAGATCAGCCACTAGTCACAAGGCCATAGTTACTGAAATATCTGAGCCTGTAAGGAAAATAGTGATTAGACCAAGAGTGGGAGTGGTTTTCATTGTCTTGAAGCAATAATCATACAATTGGAATTCGAGCATCCAAATAGGGGAATAATAAGCAGAGAAAGGGCCTACAGACCTTGTGATACCCAAAAAAAGACGTGCTATGTACATCAAAAAGCAAAAAACCACTACACAACGTAGACGACACTTGAAAACGAAAGAAAAGAAATAGAAACTCCAATGAAAAAGATCGTTCTCTACCGCAGGAAAGAAGAAACAAATACAGACTCCATAAACCCCATCAGATGACAAAATAAGAAAGCTTTTACCAGATTCTATTCCATTCAAATAAAGTCTTCGAATCCAAAGTTACAAGTAAGGACAACGAGAGTATCCCACATGTGAACGCTGTTGAAACTCAAAAGACAAGACCGCAGATGGTATTCCATTCGTGCAACACAGCGGAAAAGGGCAGTCGAAATACATTTACTGCTGGAGCGAGAGCCGGGGAGTAGAAAGAAAACACTGGATTTATCACAAGAGAAGAAAAGCGCGCAAGATCCATGAAAAAGAAGGATAAGTGAGTCTTGGGGTATTAAGGGGGGTGTTAAGCAGTCAGTTAGAAAGAATCGCCGAAGGTCATCGATCATCGATTAGGCATGGGATTTGGACCAGACCCCGTGGAAATTCCTGACTGCTGAGCGCGGTAACGTACCACATCAACAGGTTTAGACGGGAGGGATGGCGAGGTCTCCCGTGGGAGAGCGGTTGAAGGCTGAAACAAGCCTTGGCGTGCAGAAGGCGGAGAGAAGATGTGATCGTGGGATGGGGCGTCGGGAATAGGAGAGCGGTGTTCGAGGGCATGGGTTAGATGCGGCTGTGACTTCCGCACGTCCAGGGGAGATGAACTTAGTGATCGGAACCCAGATTTGCGATGATCGGCATCATAATCTGGGTTCTGAAAGGGCCCTTGCGTTGGATGCCTTGGATCGTGCTCCATGCCGTAGGGGGTGTTGTTGGCAGAGGAGTTGGCAGCAGAGGCATTCTCGGGAATGGTGGAAGCAGATCCATTGGGTGCGTTAATGTCTACCACCCGCTTTTGAGCGGCTGGCGTTGCATATGATGATGGTTGCGAATGTTCAAATGTACGGCCTTGTGGTCGAGGTGGCTGCGAGTAATGTTGCAGTTGTTGCTGCTGATGGATGGGATGTTGTGGGTTTGCCCAGGGTGTTTGTTCTAGGAATGCTTCCTCAGCAGCTGAACGGAAAGCATAAGAAGACATGGTAGACATGGTAGTCCGTGGGGGTATTGTTGATGAGTGCCGTGGGGCTGAAGCGCGAGACTCGATAGGAATCTATACCTTACTGTTAGCAACTGGCCAAATTTATGGATATGATAATGACTTGCCCCCATCTTTTCAAGATCATCATCAAGCTCGGTGGGCCGTGCACCCATCAAAGACGGGGCCGCCGGGAAGCCAACATACTTGGCCACACCGGCCATAATTGAAACCTCTTGGTTGTATGCGGTCTGATGTGCGATTTGCTGCGAGCGACGGGTGGGGAATGCGATGATATGGTGCGGGCTAAGCTCGTCTGTTTTGAAGCGATCATGCTGAATGGCATAGAACTGCTTGCTGACTGCACTTGAATGTCGCTCGCGTGCATCCCGAATCCTCTGGTAGTATGTGCTATGGGCCTGCGTTCGCTCGGCCAGACCCTTGTGCATGAGTGACTTCATGCGGTATCGATACAAGTTTTGTTCGTATTTGATCTTGGCGTCCCGGTAACGTTGCACACATTCAATCTGTCGCAAGTACTCGGGGTGCGTCGGGTTCGGACCTGTAAGCATCTCCAACTCGCGGTTGAGTTTGGATATCCGTTCATCATAAATCCTATGAGTGTAAGCAATGAAGCACGTGAGAGATTGGGGGATTTCTTACTTGTCACGTAACGTTGCAAATTCTTTTTCCAGTGTCGCTAGTGAATCCATAGCAGACAGCCTTTTGACGGCTGTACAGAACATCAATATCTGTGGCGTCCAAAGGATCCATGAACGGCAAGACTTACACTCTTCGGTTCGAAGTACCGCTTCAGCACCGTCGGGTTCATCTCCTCGTTCCGCAGGCTCCTCGTCTTCTCCAATAATCTCATCAGCAACATGGTCTATTATGGCATCAACCCCAGCTTCCGCCTCCATATCGGCGTCATGGGTCCTTCTTCCTTTCCGCTTACCCTTCTTGCCCTTTTTGCCTTTGGAAGGCGGGACTGGGAAATCAGACTCGGGAACTTCGCCAACCAGTATGCCATCGTCATTGAGATCCATGGGATTACCGAGCGGCTCAGGTGAGAGGGGGGTATCATCATCAATCGGGTCACTCAGGTCACTCTTAGTTGAGCTCCGAGGCTTCTTTGAGGGCTCTTCGTCGCCCAGCTCGGCGACTGTTTCGTGTGTTCGTTTCCTTTTAGGACCATCTGGAAGATCGAAATCGCCTAAGTCGCCGAGGTCTGGAATATCCTCGGTCAAACCGTTGTTTTTTGAAGACCGTCGCGGTTTGCTGGGAGAATCGTCCGCCACAAGTGCTTCATCGTCGACATCATCGAGTGTTGTAGATTGATGAAGCTTGCTAGGACTTGGCCCGGCACTAGCGGCACTCAACACAATGTCATGTTTCCGGATGTTATGTGGAGAATCCTCAATGCGCTCGGTTTCAGCCTCCGAATCGTTCTCCATTGGCTTGTCTGATTTAATAGGATCTTCGAAGTCGGACGGCTCGTTGTCCGAAACGTCGTCGATCTCACTCAAACTACTTGACCGTCCATCATCATCCATAAGCGGGTCATCAAGAAATGGGTTCCGCTCGCCATTGGGGAATGTGGGCTGTGCTCCTGTTGTGGGACCAACGGGGGCCTGTTCTCTGCTCTCGGCCACCTCCATGGACGCGTATGCAGCTAAGATAACTGGCGCAACAAAGTATAAGTGAAGACAAGAAGGTTGGGTTAGGCTATTGGGTTGTTGATTGCTTGCAGCAAGGTTGAGATTCGCCGCAGGCGTGAGGAAAGGGAAGAAGGTTACCGATCCGCCAGATGGTGTTTCGATCGAGAAACCGGAGAAACTACAGATCGAATTAGCTCAATTGCCATATCAACTCGGCAAAACCAATGGGAGACGGTGCTGGTGGGTAAAAAGTAGTTGGTGGGTGCGAGAGATGGGGTCAGCGCCTCCAGAAGGCGGTGGTGCGGAGATTGATAATCGAACGCCCTGAAGAGTCGGTAACAATCGCTCAGTGTAGGGACTAGGGGCCGCGCAAAGCAAGAACACCAATCATAGAAGTTCCAGAAGACACAGAGATGTTTCCTCCTCACAAAAATTGACCAGATGAAACTCCGGGATTGATGTAGGACCTCAAGCGACGTACCGTTTCAACAATGCGCCGGGAGCGACGCCGGTAATGAGCACAGCTGCTCGCGACCGAGCACGATTCCCAAAACCACCGCGTTACTGGAACGAAAGTTATGACCTAAGTCCAAGCCCACGCGTGTCGCCACTTTTGTAACCCGTTAAAGCTTTCGGTCCGACAAATCCTGCGCAGACCGACCCTGGAGGACGAGGGGAGGATGGCTAGGAAGGGGACAAGACGAGGGCACCGAGTCGCAAGGGGATTAACGGCATGAAGAAGTGGCCAGGGACCGTAGCTAGGATCAAATCAATGATCAAGAATGGGAAAACACAGCCGAAAGAGGGGGTTTCAGTAGACAAAAGCAGTAGATCGCTCTGATGGGGTGCAGCAACAGAAGCGAGTGACCGCTGATTCTGCCGCGTTACGTTCCGGCGAGGGAAAGACTTACCGCCCAAGAGATAGAAAGTCACGTGATTTCCAATATTCCGTTGTGGAAAAGAGATAGGCCATTTTGTATGATAAAATGTTGATTTTTCACTTTTGTGCTAGGATAGACATAGTCGAAAAAGGGAGGAAAGGATATCTTAATCGTTCTCACGTTGTTAGATCGTGAATAAGTGCATCATACATCCACGGTTTGCCTCCCAGTCCTAAAACAAGAGCCTCTCAACCTGGAATACATAGAGGTTGGTACTTATAGGCAAGGAAAGTAAGTAATACAGAAAGCCTTTACTTGTGATTTTCATGTATCTCTACCATAAACTATGTACGATGTACCTTACATACAATATAGCTACTAGGAACATCTGCCATTGAATATCCTGCTGGTCATGTGATAAGCAGCTTTCCGCGCCAAGACCCGATAAGCAGAAACGAAAGGGAAAAAAAAGTCGGAGCTATCATCGGCGCAAGTGTCAATCACAGCAAAGCCACGTCTCGGTCCCTCAACTTAGACTATAATACAGCCCAAAAACATCAAAATGGGCAAAAATTCAAATTCTTCATCCAAGACGGAGGAGAAGACCAGCAAGGCCGCTAGCACTCTTCCCTTTGGCGGTGTATCTCTGGACCCAACATTGTCCTCGCTTTTTGCGCAAAGTGTATGTATGTCTTGATGTGCAATTAATGAACTTTGAACTGACAAAATCTAGGCGGGTCCCGTGCAAGCCCCCGTGATCAAATATGTCGAGCCCATCCAACGGGCGAAAAAGGACGAAGATGATGCTTCTGAAGAGGAGGAATTGTCTGCATCAGGCGATGAAGTAATGGAGGATGCTGCTGAAGAAAGCGATTCTGAGGCCGCAGAGGACGAAAAACCTACCGAGACACAGAACCGGAAACGCAAACGTGGCAATGCCGGCGAGGATGTCGAGGAGACATACATGCGTCGCATTGCTAAGGAGGAGGAGAAGGATGAGGAAAAGAGGAAGACCGAGCAAGCTAAGCGCCAAAAGCAGACCAAACAAGAAGGCAGCAAAGATGACAAAGATGAGGAAGGCGAGGACTCCGACAAAGTATCGGCATCAGAGGACAGCGATGAAGAGGAGATTGCTCCTGCACCTGTTCACGAAAGTTTGACTGGTTCCGCCAAGGCCGATGAAGTTGAGAAATCCAACCGCACCGTCTTTCTAGGCAACGTCTCTACCGAGGCTATCAGGTCCAAGACCGCCAAGAAGACACTTCTCAGGCACCTGACCTCATTCTGCTCTTCGCTTCCGGAATCCACCGGCCCGCACAAGATCGAGTCTATCCGTTTCCGCTCCGTTGCATTCGCCAGTGGGGGTGGTATTCCCAAGCGTGCCTCCTTTGCGAAACGTGAGCTTCTCGACGAGACCACACCCAGCACCAACGCATACGCTGTCTACACCACTCTGCACGCTGCACGCAAGGCGCCTGCCGCCTTGAACGGTACCATTGTTTTGGACCGTCACTTGCGAGTTGATAGCCTTGCTCACCCCTCAGAAATTGATCACAAGCGCTGTGTGTTTGTCGGCAACTTGTCTTTCATTGACAGTGAGACCCCCGAAGAGGATGAGAAGACGGGTAAGAAGAAGAAGGCTCGCGCCCCCGCCGATGTCGAGGAGGGTCTCTGGCGTATTTTCAACGCTCACACTGGTGGCAAGGACAAGAAGGCCATCAAGAAGAACGTCGAGTTCGTGCGCGTGATCCGTGACAGCACCACTCGTGTTGGTAAAGGATTTGCCTATGTCCAGTTCTACGATGGCAACGGTGTCGAGGAGTCGCTTCCGCTCAATGGAAAGAACTTCCCGCCCATGCTTCCCCGTAAGCTGCGTGTCACTCGGGCCCGCAAGATCGCTAAGAAGCGCGAACCCTCTGGCCCTGAAGCCAAGAAGTCTCGTGTAGACGAGGCCCAGAAGACAATGCAAGGTCGTGCCAACAGGCTACTGGGCCGAGCGGGTGCGGCTAAAGTGAAGGCCGATGCCAACAGTACCATTGCCGGCAACTCTTTCGTGTTTGAGGGTCACCGCGCTACTGAGGGATCCTCGTCCATCAAGATGAAGCAAAAGAGCCGTGGCTCGAAGGCCAAACGAGAAAGCAGAAGCAGTAAGCGGGCTGCCGCATACAAAGCTGCGGGTGGCAGACGGGGCTGAAAATAAAAGAAGCCATAACAAGGAGCTATCATGTATCTTTAATGGGCGTTAGGAAGGGCTTTTGAATACATGGTATGAGAAAGCAAATTTGAGATCAGAAATGCATAGCTGGAACATCTGCACAAGTAATTTCCAGCCCTGGAGATACACCGCGTCTTCAATAAACTTAATGTCGATGAAGTTATAGGTTGAGACATTGACGTCATTGTCAACAATCAACGTAGACAATCGACTGATCAATCGCATCTCATGTACGCTTCCCACCATCGATTGTTTTCTTTCCTCAAAATTAACTCTACTTTGAATCTCTTTCATCAACAGTCTTTTATCAACAGTCTTTCAAAGTCAATAACTCTCTTGGCCCAAAGTAAACCACTTTCCAACCTCCACGTGGTAAGCGGGGGTTGAGGCGCACGAACTATTCGACAAAAACAACGGCCAAAGCTAACTCCCGAGGTCGGGTAGTACATATTTGGTTAGTCGTATATGTGGCGCCGTTGCCTAAGCCAAATCATCAACCTCACCGCAAAGCACAAAAGTGACGTCTAGACGTATCCAGGTGTCACCGAAACTTTTTCAAGTCAGCACCTAAAAAATCCCGTTACTGCCATCATGTTGCCTTTCGGAGCTCGCATGGGAAATCTGCGCCGGTCCCGTGGCCAACTCTCTACAAATACGAACAGCACAGATTCTGATGGGTCGGAGGAGGGTATCCCAGATCCAGGACCTCAATTGTTTAATCCCACCTTGGTGGATGTACTCGATGTTCGGCTTTTTTTGCAATGGAAGGTCTCGCGTGGTCTTCCCGAGGAGCTCATCGATATGATCATTGATGCTGCGGAATATTGGCCTTCAATAGAGCAGAAAATGCAAGACCAGCGGGTCATTCAGAAAGACTGTGATCAAGTTTTGCTGAAGACAGTTCCCCTCTGCTATGATCGGAGTGTATATCTATCTGTTCTGAAGCTACCTGATTGGCACACGCTGATGAAACCTTTCCTTTTAGAGCTTAGAGCATGAGCCGAGTCCTACTCCCTTACCCCATCGCGGGACACACCCTTGTCGCAAGATAGTCTTCAATATCTCATCTCATGACCAAGGCGGCAGGCGACGACGCGAAAACATGTATGATTTTTCATGGACTTGGTTTGACGTCGAAGTTATTCACGGCGCCCATACAATGAACATGTATGTCAACGGAATGGAACAAGAGATTCTCGACAATGAGCGTGGACAAGTTCGAAAACACTATACCGAGGCAGATGCGCTGCTGAGGCCGCGTGACAACAGGTTGCAGGTTAATGGAGCCCACGTGAGCGACATGCAGCACAATAAGATTGTTTGGGATCATCGAGACGATGTACAGGCAGACTCGCCTGGGGCATTTGAGATTGAGAAGACTTTGGGCCGCGGCCGGCTTACTCTTGATGGACGTGTAGTGCGTGAGTTAGAGGTTGGCGATTCGATTGCCATTTGGGCCCGGGCAAGGTTTCCTGGCTGGTCCAATCACGTCCATCAAGCAAGCGTGAGGATATACTGGGCTGTCTGACGGAACAACGGTTGGATCAAGGACACATAACTGTTGTCAGGTTTTTTGTTCTTTAACACAAGTACAAACTGACCCGTCAGGAAATTGTTCTATGCCCCATTCCAGCACTCAGATCAATAGCAGACTCCATACAGCCCTGGATGATTACTTTGTAGACAGCGCTGTGTACTTGCTATGTATGCACTGATTGGTTTCGAAGCCCAAAATCGATCACGCCATTTGCCAAGACTGCCTGATCGACGCCAAAACATCACAATATAAAGCCACCGGCCTCCTCGAGCTAGATAAATTGCTCGTTCTTCCCTGATATTCGTCGTTCTGCATTCTGACCATGGACTTAGAGTGTTCCCGCCTATACCATGAAAATGGTGTTTATCCCGTTAGCACCTCTTCCGATACTGACTGAGCACGGATCGACGTTTCCGACAGGCCGAATGGGAAGCGCACAGTGGGGCCCAGTCGCCGATTCAAAGTCCCCGAGTAGGTCACCGATTGAGTCGCCGTCTGGAAGTGCCGGGCCATCACAAATTTAACTCAAAAGACCTCCCCACAATGCGGCAAACGATGGATTGGCCAATACATGTCGGTAGAACGGCGACCCGTCGCGTCCAAGAGCTACACATGTGTCATGGGATGTTGGGGGATGATGACCTTCGCCTGAAGAATTATGAGTCTTCCCGTACCTGACTGGACGCCGGTTGCGTTATCTGCATGAAAATATGAAAATACCACGCATTCTGTCGCCGATGATGTCGTCCCCTGGGTCTTAGCCGATTTGTTCCCCCTTTTTAAAAACCGCCATGAACCCCGTCGCGATTACTACTGTGTTGCATAATTCTGTTTATTTACTCAAAGAGCCTCTGCTTTTCTAGCCATCTCACTCCACATTTTTCTATTGTTCCTATACCACGTTTCTTGTTCTTACTCCCATCTTCTGATCACTACAACACCAACATGGCTACTCGGAAATGCGCAGCGGTTGTGATAGGAGCCGGCCCGGCTGGAGTTGCCGTCATGGGAAACTTGTTAGAGCGCCAGTTGGGTACCATCACATGGATTGATCCTTCTTTTGAGGCTGGGAGAGTTCATAGCAAGTATCGTGAAGTTCCCAGGTTTGTATCTGATCCTTGATACGTAAATACGGACCGGAAGATCCTGACTAGATGCCTTGCAGCAACACCAAGGTTTCATTATTCCAAGCGTTCGCAAAAGCCACACAGCCTTTCCAGAAAGTGATCGATAACACCAAAACACCCAACGCGTTCACTAAATTGGCCAAACTAGACCAGGAAGCTACCTGCACCCTTGGTTTCGCAGCGGATATGGTTCGCGGTCTAACAGATGGTCTAATGAAGATGGAGGAAGTATATGCGTGCCATGGCTTTGTCAAATCGGCCAACCTGAACGAAACGGTTAGTGATTTGATTGCAGATCTACTTCTCTGCCAAATGAAAACTTATAATGACACCATAACCCAGACCTCCAACTGGACCATTTCTATCAAACAAAACTCATCCGAAAATCTCGAAACCGTCGAAACTACCCGCCTGATCCTCTGCACAGGCTCCTTCCCCACAGAAGCTCCAATCCCCGTCCCTGGACTTGATATTCAGCGCTTGGACCTTGACATAGCCCTCAAGCCCACTGCGCTAGCAGAGACCATCCCCTCGGATAGACCCATCTCTGTTGCCATCGTCGGCGCATCCCACAGCGCCATCCTCGCCATCCTGAACCTCACCAAGCTCGCCCAAACCTCCCACCCTCTTCTGCGCATTAGTTGGTTCACCCGCCACCCCCTCCGCTACGCAGAGTACCAGGACGGCTGGATACTGCGTGATAACACCGGTCTCAAGGGCCTGGCTGCTGATTTTGCTCGCTCCGAGCTGGAAGACGAAAAGCTTCCTACGTCTCGCGCTGGTCAGGTCCTGGCCAAGATCGACTGTGCTGGTGGCCAGGAGATCGAGTCTGCTCAGTACCACAAGCATTTGCCCGCATGTGACTATCTTGTCCAGGCGGTTGGGTATACCCGTACCTCGCTCCCTGATCTCTCGAAGAATGGTGTGCCCCTTCTCATGAGTTTTGATCATGACAACGGTACATTCCATGAGCCCGGTTGTTCAGCTGTTATCCCCGGACTGTTCGGTGCCGGTATCGCGTTCCCTGAGCGGGTCGTGGACCCACATGGAAATGAGGAGTACGCGGTTGGGTTTTGGAAGTTCATGAAGTTCCTGAAGCGGGTCATCCCGTCGTGGGTTGCGTGATTGTTTCGTTTCGTTTCTTTGATGTTGCGGATTTTATGCTTTTGGCGTCCTAGTGGACACTGACAACCGTGCTCGTGCATTGCCTAGCGGGCTATGATTCCAACGTTTGATACCGACATTTGTGGAGTAACTGGCGTTGTTCTGGGCGGCGTAGGGTCCTTTCGATTAATTTAATAACTGCTCTGCAGCTTGGAATTCAGAAGAGCATCGTTCTTCTCAGGTTCCAATTGACCATTTCAGTCAAATACTCCAGGCATTCATTAAGCACTCCTAGAAGTATCGGCAATGTTGGGACTGCGAGAGATTGAAACAGGACATCCACGTAGTCAGCCTTCCAAGAACCAAAAGTATGGTGAAGGCAAATGGATGGATGGATGGCCAGAAAGTGGCCAACTAAGGAGGTTTCGGCTGTTGCATGGCGTGGGGGTCTAGGCAAGTAATTTAGAGGGTTTTCGACATTAAAAAGCAACTTGCGCATCAGCTGTTCGTCATTTGAATGGTATATCTAGTCATTCCCTCCCCATTTTCACAGCCAGGGCAAAGTAACCATGCAACATTTCAGTTGTCAACGCCATATACCATCCCATAACCCTGGTCATATCGTATCATGAAACCCCCCAGAGATGTCAATTTTCCCTCTTCCCCAACCCTTTAAAACACAGTCAATCCCTACGTCTATTCAACCAACCAGTTAAAGCATAAGAACGGCAAGAACAGCAGCCACAGCACCACCAACACCACTAGCACCACCATTCCTCACAGCCCCCGCACCACTATCAGCAGTATGCGATGCAGGCCCTTGTTCAGTACTGGTAGCCGTAGCACGGTGCTCACTCTGACTAGCAACAGCCTTGAGGTCATACCCAGTGGCGGTAACGGTGTACGTAGTCGAGACCTGGGACCAAGTGAGAACGGTACCACTAGGGGGCGCTGTAACCGTACCGCCAACTTCGTACAGGGTCGAGGTGCCGTTGGTGGGGAAATCGCCGGGCTGGTAGAACCGATCCGCGCCGGTGAACCCTAGGTCCTCGCATTTGGTGTTCTTGAGCGTCGAGTCACATGACGACCATGCCCAGTTCGGCAGGGAGGTATATAGATTGGGCAGATCGGAGGGGAAGAAAACTCCCCACATATCTGCGCCGGCCAGAGTAGGCTCAGTGTGTGGGCAGATGTCCCAGGATCTGTAGTTCGGAAGTGAGTTAGTGCATTGGACAGAAGGGACGCGGTTTTTGTATGCTTCACTTACGCGGAGATACTAGCGCTGGCTCCGCAGCAGGCGCATTCCGAGGCGCGGTTGGCAACATCGAGGCCGTTAGTTAGGTTCGACGGGTCGGAGATGGTGCCGATGTCTGCGCTGATTTTGTCGGTGACGTCGTGCATGCATTTGACCTGCTGGTTACGCGAGGATATGGCCGTTTGAGTGATCTTGCCGAGATTACAGGAGCAGCGGTTTGGCGCGTTGTCTGGAGGAGGCCAGAAGGGGATTGGCTCTCTGGCGCTAGGGCAGATGGCGAAGTACTGCTGGACGAAGAGTTGGTATTTGCAAGAGTAGACCTATGGACCAGACACTTGTCAGTGGGGGCCAGTGATAGTCATATCACAAAGTACAACACATAGTTCGTTTGAACCCAAGGATATGCGAAAGTCATACTTGGTTCCAGCAGGACTCCGCCATGCAATTGATGTACTTCTGGTGGGACTCGCAGCCACAGTCCACGATACAGTTGCCATTACCGTTGCAGCCTCGGACGCAGGAGCTCCATTTGTCTGCGACATTCCTGTTGCACTTTGAGTACTCGGATGTGGAGGCACAGTCTTTCTCGGTGATGTTTGTCTGGGCATTGATCAGGCCAGAGAACGCCGCAACGGTCGCAGCCAATGCAAGAAGGAATTTGGGTAGCATAGTGGATCCTGTGCTCGTTGGATAAGACTTGTCAAAATGGATGGGTCTGAAAAATGCAGCTCTGCTCTGACTTGAGCCGTCAATAGCACTAGTGAGCAAACAAAAATACCTCCATCCCCAGGGGAGGATGCAACAGCATCTTTATAAGAAGCGAATAATGCAGCACAGCCCAGATTAGTTCAAACCAGAATCTCTCCATGAATCTCGGATCCTCGGGCTCGTCAATGGGCTCTGCTGTAAGCTAGGGGTTCAATCATTGCAAACCCAGCTGTCAGGGCATCGTTCTCATCAACCAACCAATGATCGATGGCATAGCGTACTTATGTGACACACAAGAGCAAGCTGAGCCATTCATGATTGAAAAGACAGTAGATGACGACGACCCCAGTTTCTGCATGTCTTCTACGTATGTTGCATATAGGCAATCACATATTCGATGGCAAGGACATTGGCGATTGTTAAACCCGAGACCAAATCCCGAATTCGCCGTCTGAATTGCTCGGATGGACGAGATGTTTCGGGATATCCCGCACAGCCCTGCATAATGCTAGGAGCTTTGCTTTCCTCCGCAGACACGAGGTGGAACGAAGTTTTCTGCGAACATAGATTTGTGGAGGCCCTTGCTTGAAGTTGAGCTTTTGATGACGAAGCCAGGGTACTATATCAGAGCTGGACATGAGTGGTGTTTTGATTCTTGCTTGGGGCTCCCATGTTGTTCATGCGGTGTGTCAAGAGACATGCATTACCTGCATGTACTATTTTTTGATGCCAGGGTTGGTTTATCATAGTGTGGGTGCCTAGCATAGCCCGCCTTCTAGGGACTAAACCCTAGGCAGTAAGGAGACAAACTCTTGGAAACACATGATGTGGTAGTTCATATAGCAATATCGTCAGGGTGACCTGAAACGTCGAGTCGTTCAGCAGATTGCCATTTCATCGTCGAGGCTAGTAACCAGGGTCACGAGTCAAGCACAAGGTCAAGTGGGATAAGCTGACTATGTCAGAGTGTCTAATTTAATGTATCTCTGAAGGTACTCGTACAGATATTCATGTCAGTCTCGTGAGCCTTGCACTCCGGACACGACTTTGCATTCCCCAACCTGACATCCACGCAGAGATACGCATGTTATTTCGTACAGCCAAGAGAATCGCAAAATCAAGAAACTACCCAACAATTTAAATTTCTCCACAATCCCAATTACTAGTTAAAACTAGTCAAAAAAACCGAAACAGAATGTCTTTCAACATTGTGCTTATCATATGTCAAATTTCCCCAATCCTGCGAAGAAAATCCCTACTGGGTAGGGAAATTGGCCTAGCTTTTCCAACCTCTCCACCAATCTCCATTTCTGGACTTTGGAAACATTTAAGCGAGAGGTCCCTTGCTGAGCTCCCAAATAGCGAGTGAATCAGAATACATAAAAAATTCGAACCCTGTAAAGTGCAGTAGAACCAAACTCGTCACTACGTGTCTGTAAGACACAAATAGTGGGATTGATAAGACCTCAAAAGCAACATTCAATGGCGAGATTAGGCTACAATTTAAAAAGTGGACTCGGGACGGTTCAAATTAATTGTTTCCCCACTGTCATTTTTGACAGATCTGTTCGAATTTATATAGTGGATCCGATTAAATTGGAGTCAAATATTTTAAATAAAATTTAAGCAGATTGTAGGTAATGTTCAATCAGTAACGCAGACCGGGGCACGAATAGTAACAAAATTAGAACAAAGCCACAATCCTGACCGTGGTCGAAGAATGAGATGTTTTGTACAGCTGCACCCCGAAAAAAAAGGGACAGAGGTAATAAGACAGATAAAATTGGTGGTTTCAAGAGACAGCCAATCGGAGAATTGAAGGGGAAAAAAAAACATATGTATCAATAAAACATGTCAACGTGACTCTCGAACAAGGTCTCGTTCGTGACAAAAATCGGTATGCGTGGTAATTTACAGCATCAGAGCGCCAGCAACGAGGGCAAGCATGCCACCGGAGACACGGTTGGCGATACCGGCATTGGTGGTGGGCACGGCGCTCTGGGTTGTGGCCGAGGTGGCGCTGGTCGAAGTAGACGCCGCGATGCTAGAGCTCTCCGAGGTCTCAGTGGCGGAGGCAGAGGTACTGGCAACAGTGCTGGAAGCGGTTGTCAGGGTGGTGGAGCCGGTGGTGATGGCCGAAGAGCTCGAGGTCGACTGCTCCGAGGTAGTGGTGCGGGTGGCCGAGGTAGATGACTCAGTGGATGACTCGGTGGATGACTCGGTGGATGACGCGGTGGAAGTGGATGCAACAGAAGTGGATGCAGCAGAAGTGGACGCGGTGGCCGAGCTAGCAGTGGAAGACGACACAGAGACGGTGGAGCCATCGACGGTGAAACGGCCGATGTAGTTGTAGTCGTTGTTATCTTCGTCGGAGACGATCTTGATGGTGTAGTCGGGCTCGGCGGCCAGCTTGGAGGGCACATCCCACGTGTAACTGCCGTCATTGGCGAGATTCGCTGGTGAAAGTTAGTAGCGTATCCCGAGCTGTTGGGTCATTCGGATGTAGTGCTTACAGGCAATGACAGTGCCGGAATTGCCGCTGAGCACGGCTCCCCACTGCAGAATTAGGCTCACGGTGCCTTGGGTGGTAGGCTCCCATTTCAGGGCTGTAGGCTCGCCAACCTTGAAGGTGTAACCATCGGTGGGAATGCTGAAGGGGTTAGCCTTGCTATCCGCCGAGGCGACGGCGGCCATGGCGGCGACAGCGAAGGAAATGAAGAAGCGCATTATGGCTAGTGTATAGGTATATATGCGTCAGGTTGGGATTAACGATGGAATGTCCAACCGAAAGATTCAGATGAAGAAGTAAAATCGCAAAGACCTCAAAAAGAGTGGAAGGCGTGGCTTAAAGAGACAAATCTGGAAGAAAAGGCCGGACACCCGGGACCTTTGGCATTCGCTTTATAACTAATAGGGCGTGTGCCGCTCCATAGAGGAGCTAGGCACAGCCTGGCAGAGTCAAAGGAACGAGTAAAAACAAATACCAAAGGAAGCAAGGCGAGTGATTGGCCATCGCACAACTTGGAGGGAGCTCGCGAGGGAAAAAAAAACACATGCGTGGCGGCGATCCACGAGTCTTTGGACCACTAATGGCCTTCTTTGTCTCGCTTGGCAGGGAATCACCTCATTTGACTGGTTTGAACTCGACGTGACCTTAAATGACTATATCCACTTTGGTCGGCTAGAGTTACTTGGATTATGTGCATCGCTAACTTACCATCTCCAAAAAAACGTAAGATTTGTCTTGTTGAGAGATAAATTTAGATATCATCATTGGTTAACAGGATTATTGGCTGAAAAGCAAGGAATTACGGAATCCGGAACACTCCATTCATCTGGAAGGAATTCGAACTGAGTGTGGTCCAACTGATCGTTTTTTTCTCGCTTCAATTCTCTTTGTCACGTACCTAGGGACTCTCGGAGCCACGCGGCTGAGGTTCGGTTATTCGTCCAAGTTAGAAATCAGGCCAAAGCCCCCCCCCCTCCCCTACGCCTCCGAGCTATGGCCTTTGTTTTCACTTCCTTGCGCATGAATGTTACGTAGTTCGTCCTGTTCTGGCGTGAATTCATTGGGGTATCGTGTGGGGCAAGTCGACGTTCCTCAATCCGCCAACAGATTGTTCTGACCTAGCCAGCAGATCACTTCCATTGCGCGGCGGTCATCGTCTTGCTTCTGTCGGTCCAGCAACTAATCTGTGTCAGTGCTATTTCAATGGGAGCCGCGAAATCAATAGGTGTGGCACTCACAGCTTGATAAAGTCCCTTGCGTTTCATCTCTTTCTCCTTCTTCTCCGTAGGCTTTCCCTTGGCCTTGGAGCTTGGATCAGAGTTTTTCTCATGAAGGAATTTACACTGGTCGCCACGGGTACAGTGTCCATTTCGTGCAAAGTAACGGCAGACGGTCTTTTTGCTTTCACGGGGTGGAGGCGGCACTCGCTCTGGTCCCGTGCGACGTGAGGTTGCTTGCTCTGGCGCGGAGTCGTCACTGCCAGAGTCGGAGTCGGAATCTGAGCCAGAAGCACTCGAGGAGGTCCAGTCACTGGCCCCTTGATCAGACGCGAGCTCCAGGTCATCCAAACCATGGTCGGTAGGGTGCTCGGTCTTGATTGTATGCTCGATATTGTAGGACTCGGGCAAGACCTCGGGTTCTCCATGCGCCTCTATCGGGTGAGAAGTTGAGACAGCTGATTGAGCGGTCTCTGGAATGGAAGCGTGAGGCTCGGCTTTTATGATTCCCTCTGGCGCCGTGGTTCCGGCTTCAGTCAGGATAGCTGGCTCGGGGACCGCGTTGTCGGGTTCGATGAGGGCTGGGCCCGGGGCAGGGTGTGGGTGCCCGGGTGTGATACCCAAATCTTCGTCTTGAGAGTCTACATTTAGGCTCAATGCCTCCTTCTGTAGTGCTTCCATTCGGAGACGAGCAGCTTCCGTCTCAGCCATGGCTTTTTGGATTCGTCTCTCCTCTCGCTCAAGGTTGCGCCGAATCTTTTCCCTGCGCTGGGCGTTTGTCGTTGCTTCTGCGGTAAGATCCGTCTTGTGCTCATTTTGCTTTTGGATATGCTCTTTTCGCTTTTCCTGTTGCTCTTTTTGCTTTTGTTGACGGGTAGCCTCGCGGGCTATCCTTGCCTCCTCCATCGACCTCTTCCTTTCTTCAACTCGAGCTTGAGTGGGGAATTTTTTCCTCCGCTCTGCAATCCAAGCGGCGATATCGGAAGGTGTTTGCAACGTAGATGTTTTCCCTTTGTATGAGACCTGAAGTGGTGCTTTGTCAGATCCACCTTGCGCCAGCTTCGATTCTTCATCTTCATCAACGTCTTCTTCACTTGACTCGTGATTCTCGGCATTAGGAGTCAGTCCAAGTTGGTTGTGCTTCCGTTTTCTCTTCTTTGCCTTTCTGTTAGCCGTAGAATCTGCGGCGGGTGGCGGCTTCGAAGGCAGAGGGTTGCCAAAGCTTGGAACAGCAGGCGCAGCGGGTGTCCGAGGTGCAGTTGATTGAGGTTTGCTGAACGCAGATGAGTGATCTCGTTTCTGTGTAGATTTGGGTTTCGGGCCCTGGTTGCTATGCGCATGAGGAGGTCGTGGCCCTCGTGCTTGCCCCGGTTGAGCCCCCATGTATGGCACCGGACCCATCTCATTGCGCCATGACATGGGAGTCCTCATTGCTTGATTGTTTGGTTGATGGCCGTGGGGAGGTGCTGGTAAACCTTGCATGTATGTCGGAGTTGTGGGAGGGTAAGGTGCAGGAAGGTTGGGTGTATTGTATTGTTGATAGTTTCCCGCAGCTACCGACTGGGGATATTGTTGAGGTGAAAATGGGGGCGGCTGCTGATGATTCTGAAAAGCCGGCGTTTGTCCATGATGGTATGGTTGGGGAGGCATATAAGGTGTTGTGGGAAGAGGTTGAGGAAATCCAGCATACATGGGTTGCGCGTAGTTAAAACCTGTAGGGGGAAGATATGATGGCGCTCGTCCACTCTCTGTATGATTTCCTCCTCGGCCTCGGTTGCCTTGTCCTCTTCCACGCCCCCTCTGACCTCCGCCATGTCCACCGCGTCCACCCCAATTCTGTCCATGTTGGGTTGGGTGATAAGCCGGTGCCTGGTTAGTTGCCGGTGGCGGAGGCGGCGGAGGTGGGAAAGAAAATCCCTGCGAGCTCATGACGAGAGCCTTTGTTGAGCTGGAGACTCCAGCACAAACACTGGAATAATCTAATAAATTGGTGCACCGGCGGAGTTGAGATTGAGATTGAAAGCTTCCGTTCCGGAGTCACGTGCATGCGGGATTCAAGGCGGAGCACGAATAATCTCAAAAGGGTTTTCGATTGCTTCATTGACAATGGGAAAACGGGAAACGATCTTCACACCTTATCAAGTTGTCGCTGCCTAGTTAGATCAGTTTTTTGACTGCACCTTCCCTGCTGTCACGATGTTTGTCCTAGTAGGTGTTTCGCTGGTATATAAAAACTTTTTCTGACACTGGCAGACCACAATATCGGACTTGATTCAGATTTCGCCTGAGGATTTCTCCAAGTTCAGTGCAGTTGCACTTGAAGACAACATCAATGCAAAATATGCGAATAAAGTGCGCAATTCGAGCTCCTTCCTTCCAAATTCTCATTGCTTATTCCACCCTCCAGGTCATTCAAAAAATCGGCCTCTGCATCAGTTTCTATGACCTACTTGAATCCTCCGATGGCCTGATTGGCCACGGAACCGGGTTGGTCAATGTCAACGGTAGATAACCTTAGAATTTTAAGTCTAAGATCCTCATTGACCATCATACAGTTAAATTCCGCATGATTGTATTCCGGCCCTTCAAAGGGGAGATCATGCTGGGAAAGATTTCCAGCGGCACAGAACATGGTATCAAGAGTGTGTCTAAAACAAAAAAACTCAGCGTGTCTTAGTATACTAACGGATTCCAGTTGGTCTTGAGTTCTTCAATGACATTCTGATCCCGCCGCAGATGCTTATGGAAAAATCCCGATTGTGAGCTGGTTCCCGCCTTATGTCAAATCTAACATTCTAATGAGTCTTGCAGCGACTATGCCGAGCAGGTGTGGATCTGGGAGAGTGAAGGCGGAACAGAATTCTTCTTCGATGTAGGAGAAGTCGTACGATTCCGAGTCGAATCAGAAGAGTGGCACGACCAAATCCCGAACGCACCAGATATTGCAGATGAAACTCCCCAGGAGAGGCGTCCTCCATATTCTATTCTTGTAGGTCTCTCCATATCGACTTTCTGGCCATCACTGACCATATTCTAGGGCTCGATGCAAATGGGTGGAACGGGACCCATCACTTGGTGGTAGGCTGCTGCTGCCAGCAAACTACCTTTTTGATGTCATATTAGACTGTATTCCTGTTCGCCTATTGCGGCCCGTTTCCAGCGCCCATAAAATTTCCTTTAGAGTCAGATCAGATACCCATACGAATCGATGCCAACGAATTTACAGATACCTGAGTGACCAGGTTGTAATGAGCCTAGCTGAAAGCGTAAAACTGCTCGATAGGAGACGCAACTAGGCAAGGACCTGCTTTGAATTTAGTGCAAACGAACCCCCGCATATACTCTTTTCCTCCAAACACCATTGAAAGACATATAAAATACCCGATCTTCAGAGATGTGTGCAGTACGGATCACCAGTTAGGAGATCTGCATTGCGGCAAGTTCCGAACACTCCGACTCTCCGATGCATCGGAAAGTTCAAATTATTCTCCGAGCGAAATTGCCGGCCGCAGGTGGATCTCCGTAGGCTTCTGGTCCAGTCGCGATCGCGCGATCCATCGTCATCTGCCCATGGTAGTTTGTAAAAAAAGATTCTCTGGAAGAATTTTTTTTTTAGTTGAATTTTTCAGCACGAAAACTTCCAGAAACAGACATTGTCTTCTCGCCATCACCCTTGATTATCAATCAGATTCGCAATCCGAGTCTCATTCCGGTTTCAGACAGACCTGGAGTCATACAAAGAAGCGGTGATCTCATCTTATCGATAAACATACCATATAACCTACCACTCGCCTCTCTCAATTGTCTTGAAAGAATCATCTTTACACACCATGGGCTCCACGGAAAACGGAAATACTGCAAACCGCGGTTTTGGGACACTGGCTGTCCACGCTGGCTCCCCTCATGACCCGGTGACTGGTGCTGTTATCGCCCCTGTAAGCTTATCAACCCAGGGAGAACACAAAGGCGGTATTAACAATGCCTTTACTAGATCTCTCTGTCGACCACATATGCCCAGACCAGCGTCGGAAACCCCGTTGGTCTTTACGAATACACGCGGAGCTCCAACCCCAACCGGTAAGTTTACGAGTCAACAAGTTCGACCTATTGACCAGGTGGACTGATTACCCCCGCAGCGATAACTTCGAGCAAGCCATCGCAGCTCTCGAGCACGCCAAGTACGCTCTTGCATTCTCCTCCGGCTCTGCCGCTACTGCCAATATCCTCCAATCCCTTGCTGCTGGCTCGCACGTCGTTTCGGTCTCCGATGTTTACGGCGGTACCCACCGATACTTCACCAAGGTTGCTTCGGCGCACGGTGTTCAAGTCACCTTCACCCCCTCTATCGAGGTGGATGTGGAGCAATTGATCCGCCCCGAGACTAAGCTCATTTGGATCGAGACTCCATCCAACCCGACCCTTGGCTTGGTGGATATCCGGGCTGTTGCCAACATTGCCCACCAGCACGGCATTCAGGTCGTTGTCGATAACACATTCATGAGCCCCTATGTCCAGAACCCATTGGACCACGGTGCCGACATTGTTGTTCATTCTGTTACCAAGTACATCAATGGCCACTCTGTGAGTTTTTACTTTCACTTTGCAAGTGTCAATTTAGCTAACTCTAAACCAGGACGTCTTGATGGGTGTGGCTGCCTTCAGCTCCGAGGCCCTCAAGGAGCGCCTCGGCTTCCTCCAGAACGCCATCGGCGCTGTCCCCTCCGCATTCGACTGCTGGCTCGCTCACCGCGGTCTCAAGACCCTGCACCTGCGCGCCCGTGAGGCGTCCAAGAACGCCACTGTTATCGCCCAGGCCCTTGAGTCTTCTCCCCACGTCATCTCCGTCAACTACCCCGGCATTGATTCCCACCCCCACCGTGCTATTGCCCTCAAGCAGCACCGTGATGGCATGGGTGGTGGTATGCTCAGCTTCCGTATCAAGGGTGGCCAGCAGGCTGCGCACGATTTCTGCAAGTTCACGAAGGTCTTCACCCTCGCCGAGAGCTTGGGAGGTGTTGAGAGTTTGTGCGAGGTTCCCTCCAGCATGACCCACGCTGGTATTCCCAAGGAACAGCGCGAGGCTGCCGGTGTTTTCGATGACCTTGTGCGCATGAGCTGTGGTATCGAGGACTCTGTGGATCTCCACGCTGATGTGATGCAGGCTCTGAGCTTGGCTGCTGCGGCCCAGAAGGCTTAAACGCAGCTCTTTACAGCTCATGTCTTTGGCCTGCTTTTAACTATTAGAATAGACAGCCTCAGTTTCTAGTCACTTGGATATGACATTACGAATTATAGAATCATCACTATATATGTTTACAAATACTCCAGCCCGACTTAAGACTTTAAATAGCATTTGAATCCATCCTCTCCACGGTTGTATTCCAATAGTCTGCCTGAGGCCTACATATCCGCTTTGTCATCACTGCACCCACCGCAATTTTTCTTGTATGGAGATCAGACCGCGGCAGCTGTGAAAGGGAGCCCTTGGAACTGAATTACTGTTTAATCAGCCGATCCTCCCCCTTGAGGATTAAACTTATTGTCAAATTTTATTGCAAGTTTGTTCACAATCCGCAACTCCGGCAAATTCTCAGCATCCGCAACATCAGGGCCAGTTCAGTTAACGCACCTACACAGTACTAGGAATCTTGGAAGAGAAGACAGCCATTTTACCCAAAAATGGCATTCAGCTTTGGATTCTCGGGGGATGATATTGACATTGATGATGCGGAGATCAATACTGATTCCTCCGATGCCCTCTCCCAGCAAGCTGTGGGCAATTCTCTCCCAGAGCTCATGAAAGCGGCTAAACATGATGTGAATGAATGGGTGAGTGATCAAGCAAAATTGTTGGCTCTCAATTGTATGTATGATGCCAATGCTTTCATCGTGAATGTTTTGAGCTGGCAAGTAAATTCTACTAAATCCCAATTTGGGCCGATGAGATACTGTCTCTATCATCGCCAAGAGCATGAAAGCATGAGCTCACAATTTGAATTGCCTGATGTCCTTTCAAACTAAAGCCCCACGAAACTAACTGATATGACAGCTTTCAATTCTTCCCTCCCAAATCTTCTACAATAAGCTCACAATTAGCGATACGCCTCTTGCCGTCGCTCGTCGAGAGATCTTTGATATTCGCACCCAGCTCATGGCCGAAGACAGCGCAGGCCATGATAATGAAGAGCTAATTGCTGGTATTGAAAAAGGAGACATCACGCCCAATTTCTATGAAGGCGGTTTCAAAACCTGGGAGTGTGCCTTGGATCTAGCCAAGCTCTCTGTCAATGAGGACATTCTGAATGAATCCTCCGAAAACCCAACAGACCTCCACATAATTGAGGTTCGTAATCAACCGTATTAAATAGGCATTCTCCCACATCCACCTGGGGGGGGGCAAGAAGGCTAATGGATGAGCAGCTTGGCGCAGGCACAGCAGTCCCATCATTGTCACTATTCGCCCGCCTTCTTAACGAAGCTGAGCCTGGCCAGAGCAAAAGAAAGACTCTCTTCACCTTTGCAGACTACAACTCGGACGTGCTCCGTCTCGTCACGCTCCCGAATCTCCTTCTAACATGGCACAATAGCCGCTCCCAAACAGCGGCTTCAACCGCGTCAACTGCACCAGACCAGGACGAAGAGCTAGATATCACCCCTGAGCTGGTTCAAGAATTCAAAAATGATCTGGCTCAGCGTGGGATCTCGGTCGAATTCGTTTCGGGCGCTTGGTCGTCCGAGTTTGTGGATCTGGTCTTCTCGTCCGGTGATGGCGCTCGCAAGACTCTGGTTCTTGCTAGTGAGACGATTTACTCGCCCGCATCGCTGGCTGCGTTTTCAGAGACGCTTTTCGCGCTGCTGCGCCGCTCGAACACTGCATCGGCAAGAAGTCGGGCTCTCGTCGCGGCGAAGAAGGTTTATTTCGGAGTTGGTGGCGGCATTGATGAGTTCCTTGCTGTGCTGCACAATGTCTGTGCTAGCGAGCTGGATGTACAGCAGAAATTGAACATTCAGTCAGAGGGTGTGGGCAGAGTTGTTCTGGAGGTTGTGCCGTCAAACCGGCCCTAGTGCGGATTTGATATTCAAACGAACATCCCATCTCAGAATTCAACGAATGTTCCAATGAGGGTCTAAGAGTTGGATTCAGAACAAAAAAAAATCCAATTGTCAGGTGCTGGGTTGAATGTCAAGTCCCAACGTATATGTACATGATTTTTCCTCCACACATGTCTATTCCAGACAGTCAACCAAAAGAAAAAGGATACGCCCATTTAGTCGTACAGCGACACAACCTTGCCGTCCTTCATCCGCGCGACCCGAGACTCCTCAGCCTCCTGGTTCTTGCGCTGGTAGTGAGCCACGACATGGCTCAGGTCGGCCTGCGAACCGGGCGAAACATTGTACGGAGACCCGGCGTTCATCATACTAGACAATACAACAGATAGCATAATTAGTACGAGAAATAGAAGAGTTTCCGGAACAACCAGATCACATACTCGGGCTGTCTAAGGGCAAAAGCCTCGGGCGGGCCCTGACTACCAAGCAAGTGGCGGTCAAAAGCAACCTTCTCCATGATAGCAGTGTGGATAGCATTGCGCTGCTCGAAGACCTCCTCGGAAGGAGTCCACTTGCTAATGAAGTTGGAGATCCAAGACGGCGAGCCAGATTCCTCGTAGGACTTGCTAACGTGGTAGAGGATGAAGGCGGAGGCGACGGAGCCGCTGGTGATGTAGAAGCTACGCTGTTAAGTGAACATAAGAGTGTTAGCCAGGTAATCGTGGACCATTGAGACATTGCTCGCTCTGCTTCCAGACTTGGGTCTGGTCGCGGTCGGCGGGGGAGAGGAGCTTACGCCGAAGCTTTCATTTACGGGCTCATGGGCGGTGTGGGAGCCCCAGCGGCGCTGGGTACGCAGCAGCTGCCGTGTCAAAGGAGCAGATCGTCTAGCAGCGAACATTGTGTCGGAGGAGGCTAATGGTGATGATCGATGACCCTTTGGGGAGCGATGATAGGGCGAGGTGGAAAGTGAAAGTCCTAGGCACGTGACGTCTACATTGGGCTTAGGGTCATTCCGTAGAGTGTCGACAACATCTCGATTTACTTACGATCTACTCCGCAGATATCTATGGAACCAGGTATTTTTTTACTGGTAGTCTATATGTTTGGCTATTACATTATGATGTGGTCAGTCTTTTTGTAATACCTATATAACTGAAACACGCTTGGTACTTTCGTTCTCTCATATCTCTTGGAGAGTGGACAGTTGATCCCAGTGCATGTTTGGTATCACACTGCAGGACTCCTATAATTGATCACTAGAGACCGTAGTACGGAGTACGACGCTGCACAATGTACAATGCACAGATAAAAATAAGTGCAAAGTTACATTGCAACCTGAGCTACTTGCCATACGGAGTCGACAATCACATTATGTTGTATGTCCAATCTGCTCACATGTTGGAAGCCTCATCACAGTTAGATTGTCTGTTGCAAGCCTCACTTTTTTTTCCCCCATGGCTAACCGCACTGATTGGGTGAGATGCGTCCTTTTGATACAATTCTTGCCTCATTTATATCATCACATGTAAGCGTTTGGCTCTCAATTAAACAGGTCAGCTTAATGTCAAATTCCCCACTCATGCCTCGAATCGCCCAAACCCACAGTTTGATGCCCAATGTCATGGCGCCTCCCAACTGGTCTCTCGCTTTAGATCGGAATGGAATCTGGGTGGATTCAGATCTTTGTTGTGCCCTGAATTCTTCGATGATTTCCGGTACTCGCATCTAATTGATGGCCCACTCGCACATTGGGGTGGGTGGGTATCAAAGCGCTAAGGGATGCTCTGCATTGTGCCCAGGCAAGGGTGGGGTGCCATCTTCTCAAGAGATTTCTTAGAATTCTGTCGGGCTCAGTCTTTTCTGTCCTTTTGTTTAATTCTTTAGAAAATTGTCATTTGTTCTGGTGCCAAAAATATCTACATTGTTTTCGCGGATCTTCATTCGCGCCCACTCACAGTCCAAGAGAGGGTTTCAAGTCTCTGCCCGATCAACCGAAGTCACTTGGCTTACGCTCCTAAACATTCTAGACTCCCCGTACCTCTCAACGATAGTCAACGGTTGGGTTATATCTTGAGGCATTCGCCACGGGGCTGGTTGCAAATGTACAGTGCAGACATCCCATACGATCAAAACTACCACTCATTGCTTCATTTAGCACATTGATCCCATTGGTAACACGTCTTACAGAGGAAAGAAATCTTAGGCACGCATCACCCTACCGCAATGGCCACGAGAAACAAGAAGGCTAAGGCCAACGACAAGAATGGCAAGGCAGCCACCAAGAAGGTTAAGAAGAGCAAGAGCCCAGAGATCACAGAGACTCAGACAACTACAACTACTCCTGCTCCTGGAAGTCTCGCACTCACAGCGCAAGAACGAGAGCAAGTAAAAGACAAGCCTGCTGTTGATAATACAGATGTCGAAGTAAAGACATCACTTCCTGTATCAGCATACCAGGTATTTGACGACGAGATTACACCTCAGGATATATCCAACCCTGTTGCCGAGCAAGAACCACCTGTATTCGACACCGATACTACACCTCAAGATATCTCCAACCCTATTGCAGAACAAGAACAATCTGTACTCGACAATCCTGTATCAGCACACCAGGTGTTTGGCGACGAGACTACAACCCAAGAGGTCCCCGCCCCTGTTGCGGATCCGCAATCGCCTATTGTCGACCACCCCATATCAGCAGACGAGGTGCTCGACGACGAAACTCCATCCCAAGACATCCAAGACTCTGTGGTGGATCAATCATCACCTGTAGGTGACAAGCCTGTCGACGAAGAATCACTATTGGACGAGCCAAGCTCGACTCAGCCCCCCATTATAGACTCTGAAGTCATAGAGCCACCAGAAATCTTGAATCAACCTCTCATCGGATCCGAAATCAAAGAGCCGCCCGTGGAAGAAGAGAGTGTGCTTCAGCCTACCATTGAAGACCCAGAAGTAAAGGAGCCCTTGGAAGACCATACCAAGCAAGACAAATCCAATCAAGTCGATTGCTTTGAAGAGAAGACTATAGTCTCATCACCGCCGGCTGACCCATTTTCCCCTGGGGCGGCCTGTGTACCCTTGCCTTCACCATCTTTGACTGAAGCACGGTATATGTCAAGTCCCTCTCAGGACAACCAGCTTTATTATCCTGGACCATCAGCATACTCCCCATACGCTTCACCCGTCCCCCGCTCTGCGCCAGTACCTTACGCTTCATCGGTGCCACACGTTGCGTCCCCGGTGCCGTACAGTCCGCCTAACGCCTACTCCTCTCCGGTACCCTACGCATCACCTGCGCTTTACGCCCCAGTGCCCTACACTGGTTCCCAGGTGCCTTACACTTCATCTACACCGTGCGCTGGCTCTCCAGTGCCTTACAGCTTGCCGGGACCGTACGCTGGTTATCCGGCGCCCTACACCTCACCAGTAGCTCATACTGCCTCACCGGTGCCCAAAGTCAGCAGCCCACTTGCCCATTCCCATTACCCTAAAATGTCTCCAAATATTTCACCAACTACAACTCCCCCACCTCAGAATCCACCGGCGGCTCCGATGGCTCCTCCAGAAGCGCCTTCTATAGCCCCAAGTGGACCGCATGCCCTCCAATCTCCCGTCATGAGTTCCACCGGAATGGTACCTCCTTTTGGGCATTATTCACCTCATCACCAATCGGAGGCCCATTATGTGAACCGGAGCTACAGTATCCCAGATTCATCATATCAAGCATCATACCAGGCTCTTCAAAACCTGTCCATGGGCAATAGCTATCCTCTTGAGAATGGGTCTCCCCCAGAGAACAATAGTGAGGACATAGAGCTTCTTCAACGCATCCAGTCAGCAATTCCGGACATCAACCGTCTTCTTCATGGGTTTCGTAGCACCCATAACAAGCTCTCAAACCGGGAGGCTGAGATGAAGCACCTTGGAAGTCAGCATGACCAAGCTCTAATGCACAAGGACTACTACATTGAAGCTCTGCAAGCTCAAATGAAGAAGACTGCCAATGAAAGTGCTGAAGAAGACGCCAAGCTGAAACATACCATTAGTGAACTACGTCTCGAACTCGGGGATCTGCAAGAGAAGCAAAGGGACCTTGAGGATGGCTTAGCTGCGCAACAGAGGTCCAATGAGGAGCTTTCTGAGACTAAGGTCGGACTTGAGGGAAAAATTGATCAGCTTGATGAAAGTATTAAGGAGTCAAAAGAAGCCCATGAGAAAGATTTGGAGACTCTAAGGGAGGAACATGAGAAGGCTCTCGTGGCACAGAAGGAGGAGCTTACTGAATTATTTGAGGAGATCAAGGCTGAGGATGAGAAAACGGCAGCCGAGACTCTGGAGACTCGTGAGCGCGAACTTCGCAGTGAACACGAAGCTAGTCAAAACGAATGGGAGAAAGTGAAGGCCCAATTGCAGGAATCTTTCGAAGCCCAGTGCACAGAGTTAGAGGCCATCAAGACAGAAGTGGCATCCCAGATCACTGCTTTGGAATCCAAGGAGACCGAGTTGCAAGCCCGACTCACTGAACTCACATCCACTCGTGAGGAACTAGCAGCTAAGCTAACAGAGCTGGAAGAAACTCAACAGAAGAACACCCGGGAAACGGAAAAACTTCGCCAAGGCCATGCTGGTGAATTGGACTCCTTGCGACAATCTTCCGACGAACAACTCGCTGCTGCTGTCAAAGAGTTGGCCGACAAGATCGCATCTCTGGAGGCCCACTTCAATGAGAAAGAGCAGCATTGGACCACAGAGCGCGCTGCCCTGGAGGAGCAACTCTCGGAGAAAAGTGGCGAGCTTTCCAGTGCTGAGCGAGAGAAGGAAAGGTTGGAAGGAGACAATATCCTCAAGGAGAAGCACCTTCAACGCGCGGTGGATGGGATGCGAATGACCATCGATAACTTGGGATCGGACTGTGACAGGCTGAGAAAGACACTTTCCAGCCTGGGAGAGGCCACTGACCTCAGAAGCACCAAGGGCGATCAATTCTTGTAAGTGAGCCTTTGATGCCCTGTGGATTTGCCTTGTTTAGTTTCTCTTCTTCTGTTATTCGTCTTGCTCTTGAAGACAAATCATTCATTATCGATATTTCCTTTGTTTGAACTGCATCAGCGCACAGCGGACATACATTCTCTTATAGATTCATGTTGATAACGATAAATGGACAATGATCTAATAAAATCTTTCATCTTTAGCTTTGACTGCTTTACAGAGCTCTCGCAGCTCATTCAAAATATATCCAAAGAGCACTTCGGATATCTCCCCATCGATCCCCCAAAAGACATCCTGTCCAAGATTCCATCCGAACTCCCACCTTTCCTTGACAACACCCCAACCTCTCGTGAACTCCGATGTGCCTATATCCAGCATATCATCTCCAAAACCCTAACCTTCCGCGTCTTCCAGCCTTTCCTCTTCACCCTGGGCCGGCGGTACGACAAAGCCGACACCTTCTTCCAGATGCTATCCATGGACATCCGACGCAAGTCCGTCCGGCGCGAGGCATTCTGGCGTCAACAGACGCTAAAAGCGGCCTACACAACCTCAGACGCAAAGCAGTCAATTAATGTCGCAGCAGCAGTCATCGTAGACGAAATCATTGACCACATAAAACACTTCGCCGATCCTAAGCACCTCGACTCCCTCCTGGTCGGCGTCCGGAAGATCGTCAAGCTCGCCGCCGAGACATGGAGACATGCACGTGTCGAACGCGAGCTCGTACTCGCTAATTTCCCCGCCCCGGATGCAGAGAGCATCTCGAATGAGGACTGGCTGGAGTACGCCGCCAACAAGGATCAGAAACACACCCCGTCAAACGAGCCCACTCGCCACGTCGTGCTGCGCACCTTCCCGCGTATTACACGCGAGGCTGCTCACGAGGATTTTGCTAGCGATGAAGAGAAAGCTACCCCGTGCGTTTATTCGCAGGGTATTGTGCTGTACTCTGATTCGCCGGTCATCATGGGTCAGCTTCAGGAGCTTGGGAAGAAGTCTAATGATTCGCTGATCACTGATTCGCCTCTTAAGACGCCCTCGGGTGCTAAGGGTATTGAGAAGTTGGCGCCGATTGACGTTTCCTCTCCGAAGGTTATGACAGTTCGGTCGGCTCCTACCAGTCCAGGTACCAAGGGTCAATTTGTGAGGGTGTGATTTTTGGTTGGTGGGTTTGATTTGTGATGTGTTACTTCTATTCTGTCTAAGCCATTTTTTTAATGTTTTTCTTATGTTTTTCTTATGTTTTTCTTATGTTTTTCTTATGTTTTTCTTATGTTTTTCTTATGTTTCCCTTTAAACATTCCTTTGTCTTTTCGTCTTTTGTTCTACCGCCGATCTATTTGAGATTTAATTGGGAACACTTCAGCGGATTTGGATTCGATTTTTCTTATGTTGTGTTGATATCTGAGTATTGATAGCTTTGTTTGAAGATTTTATCCACCTTGGCTCCGAGTGACTGAACCGTTCATTCAGATAGAAGCAGGACCACCCGGACTCACAAGTCGTAGATCCACTGTAGGAGATATCTCTGCAGCGATTCCAAGAGCCAAGTTGCGCAAAAGCTAATCCTACCGCGGACCGAAGAGCAACGGAAGAGAAGGCACGCATCCTGTGCTATTAAAGAGTGGCTATAATTGGGAAGGTTGAATAGAACGTTGTTGATCTGGATTTGAAGTAAGTGATTAAAAGGGTTGAAGTGAATTAAACTCTTCTCGTGTCTATCAAGGCGGAGCTTCTAGGAATATAGGGTTGAAAGGAAAAGAGAGGGAGGGGGGTTAAATTGGAAGAAAGGTTGACACGACAAGTAGACGAATTCAAGATTTATTACGTAGGTTTAAATTTGACTTACTCTCCGGTTAAGGGATGGTTGAGATGAATCTGATCGGTATGATATTCCTAGCTCAACACCGTTCTTGACTATGAGAACTTTGTTCGGCTTCGCTACGGTGCATGTGAAGCCTTCTCTTCACTGCTTAAGATAGATCGATGGTATAGCACATCCACTTGGAAGAGCCAAGCATGGGGAAAATAACCAAATTGATTTTTACACATCCACCCCGGTCATCTAATTCTTCTAAAGCGGTCTCTAACCTATCTGATTCTATAGGTGACATCTCATGGCCGTCACATGACATGGATATGTCTGTGAAATATATGTTCAATAATGCTGTACTCTGACACTATGTAAGATGAAGTCGATAAAGAAGCAGCCTTTAAAATAGACATGAGACATGTATGGGTATCAAAATGGGATGACTAGAGCTTTGCCTCGGTTCCGATTGCATTCCGGCGCATCTGTCGTGACGATACATCGACAGGCACTGGAGCTGCTGCATTTTGGAACAACTTCCGCCCAACAATATCAGACATGGTAAGGACGCGCGTGGACACAGTTGCACCATCCCGGCGATTTTTGCTGTGAAAAGTTAGTCGTGTATTGGCAGAGATAACATGCAGGACATCGACTCACCCCTCGCGACGGGACTGTGCAATCAATTCAACAAAGTCCCATAGTCGGCCACCGGCTAGAACATTCCCAGTACTCTCATCACGCTGGGGTGCCCATTCAGGAGCCAGCCTGAGAGACGGACCGGTACGCGGTTCTCTGTTCTTCGCAACCAAGATAATGCCCTCCTCTTCAAATCGCTGATAAGAGTTCTTGAGGGTCTCTTTGTTGACGGCCTCGAAGTAGGAGAGGTCACCTTGGTGGTAGAGGGTTTTGCCAAGCTGCGAATGTGAAAATTAACAGGGCAGTCGGCATAGCATGGGGGAAAAAAAACTCACGACCTGAGCACTATCTTGTGCTTTCTTAGAATCGATCCAAACTTCCTTCGGACCATCGAGAAGTGGCGTTAGCCCAAGAAGGGACACTGAGCCAAGCCAAGACGCCTCGATAAAAGGCCAGATCAGGAAGCAGTAGAAGTCATAGTTCTCACGACCACATAATCGCTCAGACTCACTCAATTCAACGTAAATCGGTGTGGTCGATTCATCACGAGTGATTTTGATCACATCATCCTTCTCTAGCCCACGCAAAGTTTTGTCGAAGTTGTGAGCTAAGCCCTCGGGCGGGAAAATAAATTCACCGCGGAAAAGCTGCGACAGGAACGAGACCTGTTTCTTCAAATCCGAGTAGGTGATTCTTTGATTAGTGGGCCCGCCACCTTGCTTGATCTTTGTGTACATAGCCACAGAAACCAGCGCTTCAGTGATGAAAAGGTGGATGAGCATATTGCGGTAAAAAGAAAGTTGGAAACGATCCACCGCATAGTATGTTGGCTCGACTAGACCGGAAATCACACCAACTAGTTTTGGCCCTAAGACTTCTAGCGCACGGTCAACGACCGTCTCCGTTGGCGAGCGATAAAAGTGTGCGACCCTGCCACCTTTGGCTCGCACCCGCTCGCAGAGCCAGTCCAATCTGCGTACCAATTCAGCTTTTCCAACACCGCGGCCACGTAAGGTCAAGAGCACGGTTCCCACAAGGGCTGTTGGCATCATCACAGACACGTCGTTGATGTCGGACAGAACTCGGTAACCAAATGTTCTTAGAATGCGGCCTCGATCAGTATAGCTAAGTTTGTTATTGATGTCGGTGCTGGGGCGATCTAGTCGCGTAAGCTGCTGGCCAATGAAGTCTCGAAGACTCCATGGCTCGTGGAAACGAACATCAACTCGGCCTAGCTTCAGGGACAAAACCGAAGACGAAGAAATGAAATCAGCTAAGTTCTCCTTTGCCTTCGGTTGACCAAGAAGCTCGCTGATGTATGACCTAGAGTATGGGTTAATGTTGATGTTCATTGAAATGTTTAGAGTGCCAGCAGGGTGTCGTACTCAGTTTCAATGACCTTGTCGTATTGAGTGCTGACGGGACATATGATTAGATCGTCAACACGGCCTGATAATACACTGTCCATAATGAAACTCAAGATTCCGAACTTGGGTGAAAGCAGTTTTCCAGTTCTGGAGCGACCTCCTTCAATGAAGCACTGGAAGTTGAAGCCTTGTTGGAGGAGGGTATCGATATAAGCTTGCACGACAGTGTTGTACAAAGGATCATTTCCAAAGCTGCGGCGAATCCACATAGCTCCTAAATAAGGTTAGTAATAGCTGAAAGCTAATAGGAGCTTGTCTTGCGACCGACCGGCGTGTTGTAAGAAAGCACCCAGCAACGGGATGTTCAGATTATCACCCGCGACGACGACCGGCAGAGAAATGCCGAGACGGTAACAGATAAGTTGCAGTGAGACGTAATCCACATGGGACTTGTGACAAGGTAAGAAAACAATCGACTGCTTCTTCTTGGAGGCGATTTCGGCTACAGATCTTAAACGCAAGACTTCTTCGCTGGATACATGAATGCCTGAGGTGTATTTAGTTTAGCATTGACTTGTTATGGGCAAGTGTGGCAGAGGAAACTTACCTTGATGGTAAGCGCGAGTCAAGAGCTGTGTGCACATATAATAAGCACCCCGAATAAATGTTTTGCTTTCCATCTTGCAAATCATGTTTTCCATTATTGTGTCCACAACTTCCCGGAGATTATCTTCAATTTCAGTGCGGCGACGGGCCCGTTTTTCGTCCAATGTCAAACCTTCCTTGATTGCCAGCAATCCGTCCTTCTCTTCAACTGTCAGTCGACGATTGGCCAATTCAGTGATCTTTTTTTGGAGGAGCAGGCTGCCCAAAATAGAAGTCTTCATTCTGTCCGTGAAGCCAGAATAGAAAATCGGTTGACCGATTGGTTCGTCATATGCACGCCAGCCTGTACCGGACATGTACAGGCTCACTTCCCGGAGAAAGTCCAAGGGGTTCTCGCGAAATCGCGCCATGTGGCGAACAAGATTGCGTTCAGTGATTTGTTCATCTTGGGGCTCCGGACCTCCAGTGAAGCCTGACGGATGGATTGTCAAGTTTGAGTTTACGATTTCCAGATCTGGCGCAGAGTGGTCATCGGCAATGGCCGACTTGGGAGACGGCATCTTAAAAAGGGCAGGGCGAGAATGATTTTATTTCAGGTCAGCTCACAATTAGGTCCATGGAAGAAAAGAAGATGGAATCAGATGAGAAGCTCAAAAGAGAGGAGGTGCGGGACCGAATCATAGCTTAAACCCCCAAGCTCTTAAGCGGCAATCAAACGGCGATCGCCCCGGAAGTTTTTCGGATTTCCCCAGAAATGACCCGAGGTTGTCCGCACGTGACCTTGATGTGCCCCGTAGCTCTCTCATCCTACGATCGGGCGTTGACGTATGCATCTTGCATTGAGCTCATTCTATCCTCACACAATATGTCTCGCTTGGTGAATGGTGCAAGATCGTTTTCGAGTATGTCTCTTTTTATGGAAATTCTAACTCCAAATAAGCTCACTTTATGACAGCGACAACTTCGTCCCTCTTGGCCGACGCGACCGCCGCTTCGCAATCTGTTCGTCAACCAGCCAGCTTTCAAGTCTTTCGCGATGTTCCCTCAATCCGGGGACTCCGGCATCAATTGTTGTTAAAGGACCGGAGTGTAGGCTTCGTTCCTACCATGGGCGCACTTCATGAGGGCCATCTCTCCCTAATTCGACAAGCTGCTCGGGAGAATACAGATATTTTTGTCAGCATCTTCGTCAATCCCACACAATTCGGCGTCACAGAGGATTTGTCCAGCTATCCCCGCACCTGGGATGCTGATGTTGAGAAATTAGAAAATCTGAATGAAGAGCTCGAGCGGCTGAGAGAAAACAGCGCAAATTCCGGGCGCATCACTGCCATTTTCGCGCCGACTACGAAGGTCATGTACCCCGGTCTGCCCCCTTCGTCAGAGGTTGATGGATGCGGCTCATTTGTCACAATCACCCCATTGTCCACTAAACTGGAGGGCGGCTCTCGTCCGGTTTTCTTCCGGGGTGTAACGACGGTTTGCATGAAGCTCTTCAATATTACAACCCCCGACCGTATCTACTTTGGCCAGAAAGATGTGCAACAGACTGTGGTAATCAAACGCATGGTAGAGGATTTCCATGTTGGCACCGAATTGCGAATTATTGAAACTACACGTGAACATGACGGCCTGGCGCTGAGCTCGCGGAATGTCTACCTGGGCGACAGGAGACGAACCGTCGGGCTCACTATCTACAAGGCGCTGAAAGCCGCCGAAGAAGTATACTTGAATGGCAATAACAGTCGGGCAGATATCCTTGGGGCTGCGCGTAATGTGACGGATAATGTTCTTTCCGAACAAAAATCTCTCTCTCCATCTGAGAGAGCACTTTACGAGGTCGACTACATTTCTCTCGCCGATCCTGATACCCTTGACGAGCTTGAAGTTGTCGATCCGGTTAAGGGCGCAGTTTTGAGTACCGCATTCAAGATGGCACCGCTGGAGGAGTCCAAGCAAGGCGAAGACTGTGGATTGGGCGATGGGAAGGTCCCCGTGCGACTCATTGACAACCTCATTTTTGGTCCTCGTCCTTGACACCATGTCGAACTTTCTGTAATGAACATCTAACACTGTAAAATAGCGTGTTTTGCAAGCAAGACATTTACATATATTCTTCAAAAGCAAGATAGACGTCAAAAGATCCAAATTTATCTTTAAATTTACTTTCGCAGCTCAATGTAAACAAAGTAGGGCAAATCCTTAGGGCGGAGAAAATTTGCTTGAGAGCCTGGAAGTCTTGGCGCCGAAAAAAGTCTCGAAAGCTTTTGGATCGCCGGCACAAAACTTTCACAACCCCCCTCCATTTTCACCGGGGATCGCCATCTTTCAAAATGGCCGACGATGGAATGCTTATGAACTTTAGCATTGGTGACAGTGTCATCAAGCCTGAATCAAAGTTCAAGGGAGGAACATGGCGAGACCGCCTGACCGCAAAGAAGCGCTCAGCCCACCGAGTATCTGAGAAAGCACCCGGAGATGGAGACGCCGCTGCCCGAAATGCAGCGTCCAAGAACCCAAACCAGATCCAACTCGGTACACGGCCCGTAAAAAGGCAAAGGACCGAAGACACAGACTCGTTCAATCGCCCTAGCGCCCCACGTTCTGGTGGTGATCGACGACCACAGCAACATCCACGAGACCCCCGCCATTTCGTTTCCTCGCTCTTCAGTAGCAACCCCGAAGCGCGCAACCCCGAGGAACCCAAGCAGGAAAGAGAGGCAGAAGATGCGAAGCCGACTAATGCGCCGCTAATCGACGGACTGGATACCTTTACAAATCTGGGCCTGTCTCCCAATCTTGCCGCGCATCTGCTCACAAAGCTGGAACTCAAGGCACCGACGGCTATCCAGACAAGCTCAATTACACAATTGCTCAAGGAGGAAAGCGATGCTTTCATCCAGGCTGAAACCGGTTCCGGAAAAACCCTGGCTTATCTTCTGCCGCTGGTGCAGCGGATTATGGATCTTTCAAAAGCGAAAAATGAACATACCGATACTCAAGTGCACCGAGACAGTGGATTATTCGCCATCATCTTGGCACCCACCCGTGAACTGTGCAAGCAGATCTCCGTCGTGTTGGAGAACATCCTGCGCTGCGCGAATTGGATCGTGTGTGGGACAGTTATTGGTGGAGAGAAGAAAAAATCAGAGAAGGCACGGTTGAGAAAAGGATTAAATATCCTTGTCGCAACACCTGGTCGATTGGTAGACCATCTCGACAATACGGAAGCGCTGGAGGTCAGCAATGTGCGGTGGCTCGTGCTTGACGAGGGTGATCGGTTGATGGACATGGGCTTCGAGGAGGAATTGCAAGGCATTGTCAAGAAACTTGACGCTAGACAGCGGCCGAGTCGCGTTCCCGGTGTTCCTACGCGCAGGACGACAATTCTCTGTTCTGCTACACTGAAGATGAATGTCCAAAAGCTAGGAGAAATCAGTTTGAAAGATGCGGTACACATCAAGGCCGACCCGTCCGAGGAGGAGGATGAGAAGTCAAACAAGGAGGAGGAATCATTCCGCGTCCCCGCCCAGCTCAAGCAGTCGTATGCGATTGTTCCGGCCAAGCTACGACTGGTCTCATTAACAGCCTACTTGAAGAGGACGTTCATGCGAAAGGGATCAGTGATGAAGGCGATTGTTTTTATGTCTTGCGCCGACGTTGTCGATTTCCATTTCGAGCTGTTCTCAAGGAATCAAGATCGTGAGCAACAAAGGAAGAGCGATGAAGAAGAAAAGGGCGAAAAGGATGGAAAGGACGGAAAGGACGAGAGAGATGAAAAGGAGGAAAAAGACGAAGAAAAGGAAAAACTCTCAGCCTATGGCACCATTGCTCCTGGTAGAGCATTTTCGACCCCGACTAATCCAGTCATCTTGCATCGGCTGCACGGCTCGCTTCCCCAGAACGTTCGAACTGCTACCCTTGGCTCGTTCTCTCGCAGTACCGAGGCTTGCGTCATGATCTGTACCGATGTGGCTTCACGTGGTCTCGATTTGCCTAATGTGGACTTGGTTGTCGAATACGACCCGGCGTTCAGCTCTGATGACCACACTCATCGTATTGGTCGTACTGCCCGTGTTGGACGAGACGGCCGTGCCCTCATCTTCCTCCAGCCTGGCTGCGAGGAGAACTATGTCGAAGTTCTAAAGCGCGGCTACCGCGATGGAGGCAAGGCACTCACCCGCACTGATGCAAACGAGATTCTCAAGCGTGGCTTTGGCGGCAACGATAACAAAAAGAAGAGCTGGGAGGAGAGGACAACCGATTGGCAGATGGACGTGGAGCGTTGGGCACTTGATAACCCAGACTATTTGGAAATGGCTCGACGCGCATTCCAATCCCATGTCCGAGCCTACGCAACCCACACCTCAGCTGAACGGAGCATGTTCAACATTAAGGAACTCCACTTGGGTCATCTTGCGAAGAGCTTCGCCTTGCGTGATCGACCGGGTAAAATCAACGTCCCTGGTCTACGACCCGGACAAGAAGACAGCAAGAAGGACTTCAAGGCAGCTCGAAACGTTGTTGCAGGCAATAAGAGAAAGGCTGAGGATGCTCCATCTTCCACAAATGTTACGGATGAGGCTGCTCGCAAAATGAGAGCCAAGATGAAAGAGCATATGTCTGGAGCCAACGAGTTCAACTTGGCCTAATCTTGTGGTCTGTGGACTCTTTCAAAAAAGCATGGTCGCATGGTTGTTTTGTAGCATTAGCATTTTATCTCAGTAGATATCCCATAATGAAATCTTCCCGTCCTTGGACCCAGCCGCTAGCCAATGAGTTTTTTGCACTTTTTGATTCCGTTGCTGCTGCACTGTTACAAGGGAGTAGTCGCGTCCATCGACGGCCATCTGCCCTGTTGCGCTTTGGTCTGCTTCTTGGGGTTCCCGGTTCTCACACTCAGATGATAAAGACGCCAACGAAGACGGGCTTCCCGTGTCCCCGAACGCTACAGAATAACAGCCATCCTTATGCCACTTCAACACAGCTAGCTCTTTCATCGTTTTGCCTGAATATACCCGGATTCTGCTGTCCCAGCCAGCAGTAGCAAATACCTTCCCATCCGATCGGATCCGCAGGCCCTGCTGACCCGAGTGCTTTGTGTTGACAATCTTCGAGGGGGCTTCTTCTTTGTGGCCAGCGGTATGGATAAAACCTGCAGATTCTACGCTGGGGATGGGATGCTTGACGACAAGAGCATCTGCAGAAGAAGAGATGAAGTATTCATGGAAGGGGGAAACATCTAAGGAAAGAACCGGCTGGGAGTGAGGGCGGCCAGCGTAAAGCTTGTCCCATTTCAATGGTTTGTTGCTTGCATACTCACGGCCAGAGCTAGCAGATTTGAGAGCTCCACGATGAGCAAAGACCATCACATGGCCATCTTCATATGCAGAGGCGACGTAGATATCCCCAGAAGGTGACGCAAAGAGATTTACAGCCATCAGCATTCCAGTTTTGGTCAATTGATCAGAAGGGATAGTACTGATCCTGCGCTCAGATGGTAGGTGGAAGATATCGATCCCACCAGAATCCAAGGCATTGGGTACTGCAAATAGAGTGTTCTCTGGTTTCCCAGATTGGGATGGAAACCCAGGAAGTCCATCTGAATCCACAAATGCCATTGAGAACGCACAGAAATTGAGCGCATTCACGGGCAATGAATGAAGTAACCATGGCTGGGTTTTACTTTCTGGCTGTGCAGAATCAGTCGCATCCACTGGAAGTGTTCTGTCGAGAAACGATTCATCCTCTGGTCGAAGCTTCCACACACATAGTTTGTGGTCGCGGCCATGTCTAATGCAGATGTTAGTAAGTTGGCCGATTTCTTCAGAGCTAGGTAGAGGTGGATGAATCCTACGTGTAAATCTCAGTTGCACCAGAGCCAACATTATAGCCCCTCGCCTCTAGTATAGCTCCCTCATGCGCCTTCCATGCCGTCACAGGGCGTTTGGTGACCAGGTCCCAAACAACGATCCAGCCATTGGCGTCACCGGATACAAGTCGTAAATTCCGGCTGTAGATGTGTAGGGCATGAATTGGGGAGGCATGTCCACGAAGGATGTATTTCGGGGTAGCCGGAGACTGAGCTTGAACTGATTTGACGTCCATCCCAAATGCCTTGTAGCTGTTGCTTGTTGATACCTTCTTCTGTCTTGTACGGTAGAGATGCCCTGTGGAATTGCCTGCCTACACCGCCACACTTCAGCCTCACCCGTGGTCATCTATTCTGGGGTCAATTTATGCTTTGTAATCATTTGGATGCCTGTCACTGATAAAATATATGAACCAAAAAGGACTTGATTTTCAAAGTGCCAGTAGAAAACAGGTTGGCCAACGAGCCATAATCGTGACCTGAGGCGACCAACAAGCTGCATACTCGAAATTCTCTTGTTGCGTTTTAATCACAGATTCTTTGCCACACCAGGCCCCGTATAATTGATGGACTTGCCTTTTCCAGGGGCCTAGTGAAAACCTGGAATGTTGAAAGTCAGACGTGGAGCAGCATGTTTGGAGAAATCTCCAATGAAGCGAAAAAGTGCCGGGCAGAGGTGATGTCAATGTATCTTATGGAGAACAAAGAGACTCTCTCTCCATGTCTTGACATGATCACACGATGTCAATTACAGCCGATGATAGTTTGAGCACCCGAGCCTGTCGATTATGACACCACATTGAGTGTTCTCACTGTAGGAATATCGGAACGAACTACACTCCTGTGGTCAGTCGGCACTGGGCCATCTCCTTTGCCGTCTAAAAATATAGCGGTGCACTGTGGATATGAAGCCCTGTAGAGCATTTAATAAGAAGCTATCCACAATTGACGGTGAGTATGAATAAAGGAAAAAATCTACGTGTGCAAAGCCAGAACCAAGCTGGAAGTTTTTCCAAGCAACCTGGGTCTCATGATGTTGAGCATACGATAGAAGATAAGCGCAATGGGGGAGTCATACAACATTGGATTGAGAGAGAAATGTAAGAGGTTCAGCAATGTGTGGTCTGAAGGCCGCTGTCGAGATTTAGGCGAGACGACCATCTAGAAGAACAGAGTGATGGCTTCAAGTGGAGCAGCCACGTAGCGTATGAGCAGACTTTGATATAGAATCCTCCCTGTACTCAGGTCTAGTTTTTTATAACACTTACGTGCGAGGAACAGGAACAGAGTTTCCTATGTCCAAACGCACGAGTGTAACGTTCTGGTAGAATGTAACTAGCTTCTAGAGGCGGCATTAAACAACCTACCTAGGGTTGTATTGTAGACTGCAATTTCCAACAAAAGGATTTCTGGAAACGCATCGACTATGACCACAACTGTAATCAACCGATTCGTCAAATTGGGAATGGACTTCCGAGATCCTTCGTGTGCCGCCTGATTACTCGGACCGTCAAGTGGCACCGTCGGTAGTCTACTATTTACCCCGATCCTAAAGTCATGATCAAATGTCCATCCTCTCTGTATAAACACCAGTCCGATTTACTATTAGTATGTATTCACGGATGGAAGATAGCCTACAGGCGATGGTTGGGACAAGATGGTACTGACGCGATGTTGTTTTTCTGCTTACTGCTCCATCAAGGCAAAGACCATAATTCTCAACCGTCGTGATTTAGTATTATTTATACGATTAACTGTTATTAAAATCACTACCCAGAAGAGCACCTGAAGATGAGCTGTTGACCATTCATAGAAGGAACACTATGTCGTGATGTTTTCGGTTTAAATAGGAAGACATTCTGTGGTTTTGTACTATCGCAGAGCAAGGTAGTCCGGTTTTGGTGTCCTGTATAAATTGACAATTCAATATCAATGGCAAATCAGTCAACTCCGGAAGGCAAATCGTTTTCATCAGGCCCCTCATTGTACTTGTTCGCAGTTCTAGGCTTTGCATGTCGGAGACGATCTCCCCTCATGACATTTGACTTATCAATCGCTTCGCGTTCATCATCCTCTAGGACTATGTTAGTGGCTGCAGACTTACGCATTGGCCGAAACAACACGGACTCACCAAGTTGCTCATCAGAATTGGAATAAGGAGGTTGGATTGGATCTTCAAATGACTGTTCATCTGGTTGAACAGGGACTTGGTCTCTCAAGTAGGACTTGGGCTCTTTGGCATAGGAGTTTTCTGCGAAGTCTTCTGTCACGGGCGAAGGATCATTTTCTCTCTCATAATTATCTTCTGCAATTCTTTCGGCAGCGTTCGACATGTTGTAATCTGAGTGAAATGTGTGCACTTTTTTTCACCAAATCTTACCTGGAATAAAAGCAAGAGGTTCAATTAAAATATACAAATTATGAGTAGGATCCTAAATAGGTTGGTCAGACCAGTCATTACAGAATCAGAGCTTGGTCGTGCTACCCATTGCCCAATTGTTCTGACGTATGAAGTATGTAATTCACAGTCTATGTCAAACATACGTCGTCATGATAGTTCAAATTGTTACCTACCAGGTTCGATGACATATTAAGTCATACGCTACGAGGCATTAATGTGGCAAGCACCTCGAGGGATGAGGTCAGAAGCCGGAAGGAAGTCGTCGCTCAAGGAACCAAAGTCAGCGCCGTCTCATCTTTGACTTTATCAAAGACTGCTACTTTGCTTGAATGTACGAGCTATTAGAGTAAATCATGAAGGCACAATTTTGCACCGTATAGCATGAAGAACTACGTTATCTAAGAGTCTAATACTATGGGTATCGCCATGCGACGAACGGGAGACATCAACACCCCCACGATCATAAGCACATGGATTATCAGCCAGGGTCATCCCTCAGTACTTCTGAAATAGTGAAACTATTCACTTGTGCACGGTGAAAGTTGCAGTTGATCAGCCGATATTAGGACGCAGTCCCAATTGATCAACAGAATGGCAGAAAGTAGTTAATCCTAATGAGTTGGTGAGACTAGTTGTCTGCTTGATACTATGCTATTACAATGTTATAGAAGCCGAGAAAATCTTTTTATCATAAATAGTGGTAAGATACTATTATAAGCCGTTTTCTCGCATAGTATTTGGGATTCTCTACGAGAGCTATCAAATAGCACTAGTGTTGTCAGTTGAATGCTAGCTTATCGAGGAAATCACAGTTTATATCCTATATCCTTATCTCTATGAGCAGTAGAGTCAGGCAACGGGTATCTTGAACTGCTATTGCCTGCTAATTCTCCGTCATTGCTGGGTGCAACTAACTATAGCGATTGGTTTGCCTAACAACATCCTTTGTTAGGCTAGTGCCATTCTAAGAAACTAGCCCTAACCTCATAAATGGGCTGTCAACCTCTAGTTATGTTTTTCACTTTGCTAGTGATCCTAATTCCTGGGCTTCGAAGAACAAAGCCTGTGTTGCACTTCTTCAAAAGTTCATAGATGAAAGGCGGGGAAGTTCGACCAACCGTAGATATCTCCAGCATATACTCTAAACAATAACGTATCTAATTGCTTTAAAGATTCAAGGGCGCGAAACACGACGTATCATAATCATCCCTTTTCTCTCTGAATATCTTGCCGAAGCCAGATCTTTCGACAGAAGACCCTCGTCTCCATTTGCCATGAGAGCTTCAACAAGAGTTGCCTTCCCTGCGTGTGTAAACCCAAGACGCCGGTAAAATTTCCCGGAGACATGATTCCCTACCTTGACAACAAGCCGCACTTGGACTTAACGAGGAAATGACCGGTATGAAAGGAGATTATCGAGAGCCTCCTTGCATAATTTGCCCCCAAGTCCATGGCCACGATGTTCCGGAAGCGTAAACAAGCTTAACATCTGCCATCTCTCTTCCTCTTCGTCGGAATTCTGTGGTGGTTGGCCTGCTTCCAAGGGTAACTCGAAATCAGCCCTTGATGAAGGTCCTCGCAGAGTTACCTGGCCAATCCATTGGATGCTGTCGGGAGATGAAGCATCAAGGCTGAGAGGTGTCGCGGCACAAATAAAGAGTTCTCGATTGGGGAGTGTGAGACGATCTATCCAGTCGACATTGGCGAAGGCCGCTTCGACATCATATGTAGATAAAAACTAATCGGATGAAGTCTTCAGCGCCTTCAAGCGTAGGTCTCGATATTTCCGAGCGGGGATGGTGATGCCATCTATCTTAGAGACCCAAAAGAATGAGTAGGTATAGTTGGACGCCATGGATACGAATTAGAGGCAGGGAGGATATTCCATCAAAGTATAGAAATCATTGACCATTTATCTACTACCATTGAATGACTCAGATAGAGCGAGCCACAGCCAACTTGAAATTGGCCGAGATCCATCGCTTACCGGGGGCTTGACCCACTCCTCTAGGTTCCTAATCTCTGCTATTGGTGTGAAAGAGTACATACCTTCTGACATGTTCTAAGGATCATGATACGAAGGAGACCAATTGGAAAAAAGGGAATTCGATCCCGGGAGTAAAGAGGAGAAAGAGAGGGAGAGAGCGAACTCATAAACCCACTACACTTGGTAACTACCATTCAGTGCTGATACTAAGTATGGCAAGTAATTGGCGAATACACCCAAAAAAAGCCCTGGCCCAGTTTGAATTTTTTTAATACATCAGTAACTTAGAAATAGTAGTAGGAAAATTTAAGTATATGAGTTCTTGGCGCCGGCGATATGGGATGCGATATGTGAAGGTGAAGAAGTGATATGGTAGTCATTGTTAAAACCTCAATCTGCAAGGTTTTCTGCATTTTCCAGAGTTGGAAATAATCCAAGGATAGGGTATAAGCACCATAGACATGAAGCTTGGCAATAATAATTCATAATTCGTCAAAGTTTTCAAGCATCAAATCAACTCAAATGTACCTTGGTGATATTGATTGAGTGCATGTTGGTGATGCGGTGGCACATAGCATCCTTGATACGGGTGGTTCTCAAATGAAAAGTCACCCGCGGTCAACAGGGGATTGTGCTGACTTGGAGATGAGCCCTGGTTATTGGACATCGATAGAGATGGGTCTAATTCAAAGAAGTTGGTGTGCATCTGGGCTGGCGTAACCGTATGCGGGTGAGCATCGACCCAACTCCAAATTCGTTTGAGGTCGTTTTTGATTGTTTCAGCATTGGTGCCAGTCACTTTGGTGATGGTATCAAAGATGCCAAGTACCTCCCCCTGAGCTTCACGGGTTTCTAAGCACTCTGCAGCGAGTGCAAGAAAGTAGAAGGATACATCAGCCACACCTCTGTTTAACTGGTCAGAGACGCAATTATCTGGAATTTTATTCAGGACTCTATGCTAACCGATCTGTAGTGTGGGCAATCAGGCCGCATATTTCGTGCGCGTGGTTGCGTTTCATCTTCCGCACATCCTCATTAAGCTCTGACTGGAAAGGGTGTGTTTTGGCCAGCAGAATACGAACGGCGTTGTAGAATAATCGAGAAATAATAGCAGATCGGTTGACGAGCCTGGAAATCTGAGTTGGGGAGCACGTTGAATGCGGAATAGTTGGGGACGTACCAAATTTCAGGAAAGGCCGAGTTGGAACTTGTTTGCCATGGCTGCAGATAACCAAGGGGCACAAGGGATCTAGGAATAAACTTCACCCATTGCTCACACCACCTGTAATGAGTAATCCATTCATGATCATTGAGCTGGATGGCGCATGCTGCATCGTCACCTAGGCCGTGAGATGGGCGCGAAGAAGGCTGGAAAGTTATGACTTTCGCGAAGATATAAAGAATTCGATGATGCCACAAAATCTGATTGCCCCCATCGGTGACCTGTGAATTTTCCATGTCCATGTCGATCCCCCAATCGTTTGGATCCCAAGACAATGTCCAATTATATCTCATACAGTTCAGGAGCTCTAAACTGATGCTGATCCTGAAACATGCTCCGCCAAGACCAGGTGTTTTGGCAGTCCAGCCACACTCTCGGATCAAAGCTCGGGAGCCTGCGCTATGATCTCCACTGTGTCTTGATTGGTTTAGCGTAGTTTCGGAGAAGCCGAGGGCAAGGGCTGCTGTTGCGCAGAGTACAGAGTCACGGTCAGGATCTTGCATTTCATTCAAAAGATCCCGAGTAGCCGCGTCATAATAATGTGCCGCTTTTTCATCCCCATATGATTTGTTTGTTAAAGAAAGATGTCTAGCACCACATGCGAGAAACGCATTGAGCAATGTAGGCTCGCCAATGGCGAACGCCGGAAGAATTTGGGAAAACTGCGCTTTGTGAGCATACCGGAAGAATAAAGTGCGGGGATGGTTACCCACATAGTTCATTTCATCCATTATGTCCATCCGGGTACCGACTTCTTCCGTGAAAGTACGGAGAAGATACACTTGCTCTGGGTCAGTGAGAAAAGAGTGATAGTCATGTTTTCCAGCCAGTTTCCGGGCGAAATGAGATGTTCCGTGCGGAAGAAGTTCATCTCCTGGTACCAAGTGAGACTGGTGCCAAGCATCAGTTTCAACGAAATCCGCTGCATTTGGAGGTTGGACATCAAAGCTAAGAGGGCCAAACGAATGTGCCACCGACTGAAAGAGAGTTGTCAAGTCACTATCCCTCATAAAGTCAAGATTGTGGTGTGATTGTCGGTTTTGTTGTACCGGAGTCTCCAGCTGGACGGGGGGGTATGTCTCGAATCCTCCCACATACAGCGAGGCGATCAAACGCGAGTCATCTCGGAATGTCACCTGCGATCCAAGGGGCCGAGCGATGATATGTGGAGGCGCCACAGTTTGAGTATCTATAAAGTTGAGACGAACACCGCGCCGACATACGCGATCTGACTTTCGACAATTGAGACATCGTCCAACAGCTTCGTCGCATTTCAAATGTCTTTGCCTACAAGTGAGACAGCCAGTGCGTACTCTCCTAGCTTTTGTTTCTGGTGCATCCGAGGATTTCTTGCGACTGGAGCGGGGGCGGGGTGTGCTTTGTGAGTCGCTAGCCTGGCTTTTGGGAGTGGATGTCCTCGTGCTGATGTCGGGCGACTGCGGCTGCGCTTTCGCCACTTTTCGAAGGTTCATATTGCCCGTTAATTACGAACTGTAATGGCTCTTGTCTTTTTCACGCAACTATATTCCTAGTCCCCGGCGCCAACTGGAGTTCCAATTGATAGAGATTTCCCGAATACACAATATGCCGTTGTAGGTTCTACCCAGATGGCCATGTTCGTTGCTGACACTTGTGATAAGAGTCGTCTCAAGATTTATTTGTTGCGACCGTCTTTGGGATTGGTATTGAAGGTATGGAAGTGTAGCTTTGAATACAACGCAGCGGCACAGGAGGGGCAGGAAAGAAGGATCGGTGAATAATTCTGGTGTGGAAAAAGGGATCAGCTGAGGAATATCATCTGAAAGTGAAAGGACTGTGTGAATAGACTCACTGCCCCCTTGCTTGGCCGTACAGACGTCTTGAAGTTGCAGAGAAGTGGATAGATGTCAAGTTAAAGATTTAGTCAAGAAAAAAAATGTGGGTCGCTTTGCCAAGATCGCCGGTTTAAGGGTACATTTTATGTACGGAGTACTTCTCTAATGCATTCATGTTTATTTACCTCAATCTGAGTAGATAGAGCGAATGTGAAATACAAAAGTGCATATCACATAGGTTATCTGAAACAGGTTGAAACGTGTAGCCAACAAAGATTTTCGGTGTAAAAAGACTGAACCGTCACGGTGACACTGTCTAGGCCTTTCTCAATCGCGGTAGTCGGACTCGGCCCATAAACATTAATACGATGACTCCCCATAAGGCAGCAGATATGAAGGTCAGTTGAAGAGCCGCGGAATATGAAGTAGTGACTGATTTGTTATTAGCAAGGTCAATTTGAGTCGGCACTGCAAAAGAAATAAAACACACCTTCACGCCGATGAATTGGATCCAAGTGAGCAATGGTACCAACGGATTTGCGGACAAGTGAAATGATGTAGTTTTTCTCAACACCAGTCACATTGTTGTTAAGGTGGTATATGAGACTATTCTGGAAGATCCAGCTGCTGACAGCCACACCCATCACGGCGCCCAAGCTTCTCCACAGCCCCAGTGTGGTTGTTGCGACGGCCTGATCTTGTTTCTCACTGGTTGCGAGAATGCCTACCATCAGGCTGGGAAATGCGAAGCCCTGACCTAGACTGGACAATGAGGTGCAGACCATAGAGAGTGGTTGAGAGGTGTCAACGCCCATGGATGCCGCTGCAAATCCGCCAATCACCATGAAAAAAACACCAATGATGACGAAAGGTTGGAGACGTCTAGTCCAATTAATCATGAACCCGGTGCTCACACTAGAGATAGTGACGGCTATGGAGGAGGCCATAAGGCGTAGACCAGAAGCAGTTGGGCTGGTCAGCTTCACTGCCTGAAAGTACAGCGGAGCGTTGAATAACACAGTATGTATAGACATGGATGCAAAGAAATTACCAAAAATGATACTGGCTCGGGGATTCTTTGACATGAGCTCAATTGGTAGCACAGGTCGCGGGACGTGTTGCTCGTAGCGCACTAAGATAACTGCGAGGACAAACGATGAAGATAGGGAGATGACAATAAGCGGATGGCCCCAAGGATAGACATTTCCCCCAAAGTTCAGTCCCACGATCAACAGAGTCACACATACAATCAAGATGAATGATCCCAATATATCGATGCTCCGGACCAACTGCCAGATTTTCATGCGCTCCATCTCAGTTTGTTTAATGCCGAGGTCGGCCGGGACTGTCCAAGCGGCTGCGATAAAGTAAACGAAGATGAAAGGCAGTTGGATGAGAAATGCACCCCGCCAGCCGATATGATCACACAGGTAACCCCCAAAGGCAAGGCCGAGGCTACCACCGATGCCGAGACACAGGTTGATGTATGATTGGTAGACCCCGCGATACTCGAGATGTACCAAGTCACTTGATATGATTTGACCGATGGAGAAGACACCACCCGCACCAAGCCCACAAAGCGCGCGGGCAGCAATAAAACTGCCGATACTTTGCGCCAAGCCACAGCCAGCCGTCGTGAAGAAGAACATGGCGATAGAGAATAGATAGACAGGTTTCCGGCCAAAAGCGTCAGAAATACGTCCAAATAGGGGCATAAATGCAGTCGAAGTCAACAAGAAGGCCGTCGATAGCCAGGAGGCTGAGTTGGCTGCATTGAAGTAGGAGGTGATGACTGGATGGCTGGAGGCCATGAGGGTCGAGTCGAAGAAGCCGATCATATAGCCCATCATTATGCCACTAAAGATGACCCAGAATCTTGTCGGCGAGATATCAATGAACCTCGCGGCGTAATTCTTCTCATCTTGAGTGAGGATTCTGAGCTCTTGATTGGGGGAGTCAGCCATAGATGCCGCCCCAACATCAAGACCTTCAGATGCAGAGCTTATACTGGATAAGCAGCGAGTGCGAGCATATTCTTCCGTATCATTGGATGAGCATCCTGACTCAATATCCGTCGCCGAATACGAGACATCGTGGTAATTCGTCTTCTGGTGGACAGAATCATTGCGCAGAAGTGGGGTGGCCTCGGAGGGGCAAGAATTAACTGATTGCCCCCCGTTATTGTCAACAATGGGCATACTTTTTTTTTTAAAAAAAGTAAAAAAAAATACCAAGAAGATAAAGTGAAATTATTTCATGGGGACGAAGATTCTGCAAGCACGCAATGTAAGTTCGGCAAACTCCATCAACGACGACTCATGGACTTTGAAAGCAGTGGTGATGCCGGAAAAAAAAGGAATCCGAGACTATGGAGATAGAATCTTTATACCAACGATAGGGTTGCAAGATTCTTATTTGATGGAGCACAGCATCAATTGCCGAGGGATGAAAAAAAAACTGCAGTCCACCAAAAGTCCATAGGTGTTTCACGCATCGGGAATAGCGTGGGTTGTCAGCGGGGTCCGATTTCGGGGTCTGATAACAAAGGAGAAAACTGTATGACTCTGAGCAACTCTTTTCAACTGTTATAGATCTTTGTCTTACAACGGTCTTACGTTGCCTGCAACTTCACATCCTGCAGAATGCATTCCCCGCTCCGCATAGCTGTGTTGGAATGCGACACCCCGCTTGACAACATCAACCGCCGCTATAATGGATATGGCGGGGTGTTCCGCGTGCTCCTCAAAGCTAGCGCCAATGCCTTGAACCAGCCCGACAAACTTGACCCAGAAACAGGTCTGGAAATCACGGCTTGGGACATAGTCAATGATGACAAATACCCGAAGTTAGAAGACGTGGATGCCGTGCTTCTATCAGGATCAAGTGCGTGTTGACTTGGTGGGCTCAAAATATTGAATGCACACTAATCACAGTGACCGTGAATCAGAGCACAACTCCTTTGAAGACATTCCTTGGATCAACCGCCTCGTCGAATTTACTCAACAGGTGCTCGCACAGAATCGGGTTCGCCTACTCGGAATCTGTTTCGGACACCAAATCGTTGGCCGCGCATTAAACACAAAGGTCGGACGAAGCGACCAAGGTTGGGAGATTGCCGTGTGTGATGTTGATTTGACTGATGAGGGAAAAGAGTTGTTTGGGCGGAATAAGATCGTGAGTTCCCTGCGCCTGCGCTCTGTGTGGCATAAGGCTACACAACCCGTGCACCCGAGTACGCCGAGACAGCTGACCTATTTTCTCTCACCATAAATAGCGCATCCAGCAAATGCACCAGGATATTGTTTTTAATTATCCCCCGAACGTGATTTCTCTGGGCTCATCCCCGCGCTGTGCGGTGCAGGGTATGTATGCGCCGCGCCACTTTATCACCCTCCAGGGCCATCCTGAATTCACCGGAGATATTGTCACGGAGATTATCCAGAGTCGGGCCGACGTTGGTACTTTCAAGGGGGACCAAGCTCAAGATGCTTTGAGCAGAGCTTATAATGAACATGATGGTGTTGTTATTGGGGTGGCGTTCCTGAAGTTCCTACTGGAGGATTGAAAGTAAGAAACAATCTGGCATGCGACACAAGCGAAACTGCATTAGATTTTGTTGGGATTCTGTCTGGCCCTCTTCAGGCTGATGCGAGCATTGGTTGGTGCTATTTTAAACTTGTGTCAAATAGATCTATCTTCATGTACATGAGACGCACTGCAAAATCTGAAATGTCAATGGACAACGAAGGCCACTGGCTGCTGCCAAGGCTATATAGCTATAATCAATAAAGTGCTTCTAGAAAATGCTAAGCAAGTTGTTGCTGTAGCGTGGAGCACAACCCACTGAAAGTATCTGCTTTACGTCACTTTACTGTGTGTGAAGAGACTGCGGAATGAGCACAACTGACAGATTCCAGCCAGAAGGGGTGACATTGGATGGCTATATCGGAATCCCTATATTGGAATCCAAGCGACCAAAAAGAGCAGTGGCTCCAGCTCGCCACCAATTTCGGATCATGGGTCAAGGCCCGGATTTGAAAAGAAGAGTCAGAGAAGAGCTTTAGCTAAGGACTCGATAAAACAGTAAGATGAAAGAAACCCCTGGTATCGTTGTGAATATAGTCATCGAGGACTGCCTCAGGCAAAGCCCTCAAGCAAGTTCATTATCAGTCAAAACGCCTCCTTCCACAAGCCCGTAGGCTGCAAGCCCCGCAGGGCGATGCAATAAGCAAACCCAAGTAAGAAACCAATCACTTCATCACTAACGCCTTTTTTTTCAATGCAAGACAAAGCGCTACAGATGCTCAAAGGTCTAACTGGAGACGGCAGCAAGACAAAAAAAAATCAGATTGGGCGCGGGCGGGAAAGTCGTCTGCTGCGACGACATTTTTGACCGTCCAGGTCCGATTGTTCCGGGGTAGTGTTACCCGGGAGAGGGAGGTCTGGGGCCTGACCATCTTTTGTGTCAGAGTTCATCTATTAGAAGATTTTAGCAAACTTTCCATCTAGAGAAATAAAGTTGTTGGAGAACTCACTCGAAGATTCAAGGAGACAACTTCGTCGTGCTCATCCCTGAATGAGATACCAACGCCCAAGGTGAGGTTGGAGACGAGGCGTTTTTTAGGTCGGGTGCGTCTTGCGGGACGAGGATCTTCCGAATCGTCGCTATCCTCCGCGGATCGCTTGCTACCCGTGCTGAATGGAGAAGAAGACCGCGAGGCCTGCAAGCTTGATTTGATTGAAATTCCAGGAGCAGCTTTCTTATCAAATGGGACGTCGGTATTCTCATCTAAAAGCGCGGCAAAGGCGCGGTCAATGTCGCCACGACATCTCTGGAGCATGTCCACAATAGTCTCCCGGTCATATCGGCCACCTAATCCCTCTTGGATGGATTTAATATCCCAAGGGGGGTAAAGGTCAACGGCAAGGCCAGCATTGGTAGTTGCATAACCACTATCAGCTTTTTTTTCCGGTGAAGTGAATTGCTCAAGATTGATGGCGGACTTGGAATCTGAAGTGCCATCGGTCTTCATCTTCTCCTCGATAGGTTGGAAAGGCTTCAATTTGGTAAGAAGCCCTTCATGCTGTCCCTCCATCCTCCGCACCGAAGAGTAGTGTTTGAAGTCCTATGATTGTTAGCGGGGCTGTATGATATGCATGACACCAAGAGACTTACATGGAAGGCTACATGCAAAATATCCCGAGGTTGGTTTAGGTAGGCGTTGACATCCTGGAACACTGAAACACCATCCATAGTATAAACATTCAAGTCGACCTTGAAGGCCTGACAGAATGCCTGGAGGTGCTCGGAGCTTCCCCATTCTCCATTCTTGCGAGTGGTATCAATCATTTCCTGGAACCGCCGTTCCATTTCATCCTGGGAGGGAGCAGAGACATCGGCAGAGCGAGTGGCATACGCAGATGCAGCTGCTCGTTTAGGCCGGCGGCGCTCCCCACCTGCAGCAACAACAAATTGCATGAAGTAGTCTTTATTGGAAGCCATGTGATTGGCTAGAAGTTGGCGGATTTCGTCTGCATGGTGGGTGTTGCCATACAGTTGGTCGGAGAGGGAGTAGTAGAGACAATTGCCTGGCATTGGACGCGTCAAAACAGGTATAAAAACGCGATGCAGCTTCAGAAGAACGCTATAGATCTCCAGAATCATGTAGCAGGTGGAATTGGCTTACCGTCTCCCTCGGTGGGGAGTGCATAAAGGCCTCTCTCTAAGAGAGAGGCCATCTCCAAGCTCGCGTGGTGGACAGGCTTGGCTTGTTTGCAAGCCTGCTGGTCCTGCAATATGCGGGCTACAATTGGCGAGGAGGAGTTTGAAGAAATTGGGATTGGAGGAGGATATGCGTCTAACAACGCAGGCACCTCGGGGGTGGGATTGTGAGAATCAGGGCCCGCAAGTATGGGCACGATTCTGCCACCATTGGTGAGGAGAGACATATTTTCGGCATTTATGGAAGTGTAGACCAACGAACTAACAGATGGATAGAGAAGAGAGGCAAAATTGAGAAAACAAAGAAATTGAGGTTATTGATCTAAGAATGGCAAACAAAAGGAGCCCGCTGAGTGAATTCGGGCCCTGCGGGTAGTTTGAAAAAGGAAATTGTTCGGCCCTCCGATGTCCATTTGACTGCCGGAACGAGGCGGTGAGCTCTGGCAGGAGATGATTGGCCACAGTGTGGTCGTTTGCCCACCATGACATCGCACCGATTTTCTTGGTATAGAAAGATTTTCAAGGCTTTCAACTCTATAGTTAGTAGAAAAAAGCCCTTGCCTGGTTTACTGACATTGAAATTTGTCATCAAAGAGTATTTTTTGAGAAAAGTGAGTGTGAATTGAGGTAATGCAAGCGCCCCAGAGAGATCAAATGTGATCTAACGTTCAATTCAGAGTGGAGTCCGGAGAGATAGAGCGGGACTTTACGGAGCTCCTTGCTGGGTGTCTGGATGGAATCAATGAATATTCGAAGACTGAGTCAAGTGTTCAAGGCATTTTAGGAACAAAAACCTTGGTGATTATCTCGAAAGTTTTAATTTATTTAGATTATTTAGAACTACAGTGCTTCCAATTCTTTGACCAGAAGTACGCACCACCTCCGCACTTATGCGGAGGTGTAATTTAAATCTTCGACCGCGTACGGAATATCCACCTATGTCTCCACTGAAAATCTCTAGTGCATTTATCCTTTTTTTGGCAGCATGTGGTTGGATCAGATTGTACACCGCCGTGGTAGGCTTCCCGTAATAGGGCAAGGCCAAAGTAAGCCAATGAGACCCTTACCACATCTTACCACGCCTTACCACGCCTTACCACACGCCCTTATCGGCTAAATAAGAGATAGCTTATTATCGTCCCCTCATCCCATCCTAGCTCTGAAAGCCGACACTTTAAAGGACAACCGACCCCTTTTATGTCAAAAGTGCCTCATCAATTTTGCTTGTGACTTCCAGGAAGTCAAACTGTTCATTATGACAAATAACATTGTAGTACTAGGGTGAGATCCCCTGAGCTCCAAGCTTCTACTCACCCCTGCAGGAACTCGGGTTGAACCTCTACTGACGTATGTTACAGTGCTGGCGTGTCTGGTTTGACCACCGCATATCTACTCTCACAAAACCCCACTAACAAGATTACTGTGCTGGCAAAACATATGCCTGGGGATTATGATATTGAATATGCGTCCCCTTGGGCCGGTGCTAACTATATGCCGTATGAGACTGTCTGAAACCAGTTCCTTGATAAAGCTCTGATAAAGTGGATCTTTTATAGGGTGGGAAAGGAGGGAAGTGCTCATCAGAAATGGGAGCGCGATACCTGGCCAGCATTGAAAGAAATCACAGAGAAGCACCCGGAGGCCGGTATCCACTTCCGAGGTATGATCTCTCTCCAGAAACTGGTCAACATCCGGCCCTCTAACCAAATGAAGGCACTTTGATTTACAACCGAAAGAATGATCAAGAAACAGACACCGGAAAGTTGTTCTCAGAATTGACCCAGCCAAACCCTTGGTATAAAGATATCGTGCTTAATGTAGGCTTTCACCGTGAGATGGTGCCACAGACCATCCGCAAATTAACGAGATGGCTCTAGTTCAAAAGCATCCCCTCTGATCAATTACCTCCTGGAGTGGACAATGGCCAGGAGTTCACATCTGTTTGCATCAACACTGCGGTCTACCTGCCGTGGTTGGTCGGTCAGTGCATCAAGAACGGCGCCGTCTTCGAGAGAGCCGTTTTCAAGCATATCGCCGATGCGGCCAACGCCCATCACACTGGACAGAAAGCCGACGTAGTGGTCAACTGCACCGGCCTATCATCCAAGACCCTTGGCGGTGTTCTCGATGACAAGATGTATCCCGCCCGCGGCCAGATCGTCGTGGTCCGCAACGACCCCGGCCCCATGCTATCGACATCTGGGACTAACGATGGAGAAGATGAGGCGTTGTACATTATGACTCGTGCTGCAGGTAAGATTTTGTATGCTAGTTCTACCTTCAAATTGTTGACTTATTGCATTTAGGTGGTGGCACGATTCTCGGTGGCTCTTACCAAAAGGACAACTGGAATGGAGTCCCGGACATGAACCTTGCCAATCGCATCATGAAGCGTTGCATCGATATCTGCCCCGGCCTTGTTAAGAAGGGGCAGGGAATCGAGGGATTGGATATTGTTCGCCATGGCGTTGGCCTCCGACCATTGAGAGAGGGTGGCACTCGCATTGAAAAAGACAAGGTTGACGGCGTGGCAATTGTTCACAACTACGGCCATGGAGGATTTGGCTATCAGGCCTCCTTCGGCTGTGCGTATTCCGCTGTCTCTTTGGTGAATGAGATCATGCAAAATATATCCCACGCTAAGCTGTGAGGAACCACATTGCACAGATCATTTGTTGTAAATATTATATTTTCAATGGTTCGGCCTTGGCATTTACATAGTTTAAAGTTTGGTCGACCTAAATGTGCTGTTGTGACGTCAATTGATGATTGACTTAACTTGAGGCTCAGCAGAAGATTCTCCATCTACAAGCATTTGATCAAGCATTGCACGATGTCAGCACATACGCCTCACGAAGTAGCCTGGAAAATCAACAAGGTCTTGAACGAGTTCGGTAGATCTCCTCTACATAGCACCGCGCTTGCCGACCCAAAGTCGCTAAATTCCAGCCCTGAGATAGTTTTGGCAATGGTTCTTGATGCCGTAATCAAAGCACGGCCAATCTCTCACGAGTTGACGCAGAAAACGCTCAGGAAGCTGATCGAGGCCGAGTACCATGACATCAACGTACTTTTCAAGAGCACGTGGCAAGATCGCACAGTGGTTCTACAAGAAGGGGGTTACAACCGGTTTCGAGAACAATGTGCTACCAATCTCGGTGAACTTGCGAAGCTGATTGTTGAGAGATACGGTACGCCCGCGACTCTATCGGTGGACTTGGATCTGCGATGTAATGCTGCTCATGGAAGTGGACTCTGATATTTGAAAACAGATGGAGATTTGAACAATCTCTTGAAGGTTGCAGATGGCAAAATTCACAAAGCTAGAATATTGATGAAGGAGGTCCGGGGGATGGGCGACGTGGCAGTGGAGGTATTTTTCAACAATGTTCAAAGCATATGGCCAAGCACTGCTCCTTGTCTCGATTCACGGAGCTTGAAAACCGCAAATGAGATTGGGATTGGAACTGATTTGGATGAAATATACAATGCGCTAGATCAGGACCCCACGCGCATGGCTTGGTTTGCCAACGGTGTCTCCGAGATCCGACTGGAGAAAAGGCAGGAAGCATTTGAGGAAATTTGAACATGCATGCTAGCTCCATATATGTATCGTGATGAACGAAATTTTGTGAGTGCATCTTTACAAAAATGAGAACTTCATCAGTTTTTGTCCTCACGTTCGAGGATTCCTGCGCATGGCCCTGCATGATGGTCTCTACTTGCTCAATCTATTTCACAGGATCTCGGTATCAAGTGAGGCAATCCCAATTTGATATTCCTGCACTAAAAGCGTGCAAAAATGCCTTAAACATGTAGATTCAACCAAAAAAAACATAAATCGACGAGAAAAACTCTACCGGCCTTTGTGGTTTGGGTCCAAATGAACCATCTTTCCGAGATCAGCGGCATTTCTAAACATGTCTTGAACAACATACTTCCACACTGGAACGATGGCTGACAAACTCAAAAAACCCAGCATGGTGGTGCATCCAGTCCATCCCAATTTCTCGAGCGCAATATCTGAAAGCAATGGGCCGAGCACAGTGCCAGCGCCAAATACCGCATCAAGGAGCATATAAGCCTCAGTGACTGCACTTTTATCGCTATATATATCAGGCTGTTCCTCTTGAGCGATGTTCACAATGCGAGGGATTTCCGCAACCAATGGGGTCAGTGATGTATTGAGCCCTATCCCTGTTAATTATAAGCAACTTTGTGGCTAACGTTAGCAAACTGGAGATCAGATTGGAGCTTACCAACAAAATATAATAGTGCGCAGGTCATTACCTTGCTTTTAGTGTCGTCATGTAGCGTCAGAGTGAGGAGAGCGACTGCTACAGCTGCCAACGTAAACCCGATGCTGGAGATCATTCGAACGCCATATTTGTCTGAGGTCATTCCAACGAATGGACCTATCAATGATGGAATGGTCAAGTTTAAAGAGATGGCACCCGTTGCACCAGAAAGCCAGTGAAAAGTCTGCCTGATAAAGATCGGAAGGACCGTATCCATGGCGCTTACCAAGATCGTGTTAATTAGACATCCATACAAAGCAGCACGTATGCGAGGATTTAGAATAAAGCCTCCGACAACAGTCCACCAAGAAGGGAATTTTACAACTGGAGAAGTCTCGTGGCAGCGTGAGAGGAGCGGTGTTGAGGTAGTTGGATCGGCGTCTTCAACAGTTGACAATCGACGTTTTCCATTTGTAATGGCAATTTTTGTCGGGTTCCCATTCGGAAGACAAGAACACTTGGTTGGATCTTTTTGCCCTCTATGCTTTGCAGCGGTCTTTCTGTCTATCATGAGCAAAATGAGAAATAAGTTAACTAGAACCACGCCAAGACTCATGATAAAGACAGGATAGAACCCTGCTTTCTCATATGTAAATCCTCCGAGAGTGGGTGATACGGGCACCCCAAAATTCATACCCGAGAGTCCGAAGCCAATCCAGGGCCCCAGCTCGTGCGACTCGATCGTGTCTACCAACAGCGTTAAGCCGGCAGTGTAGACAATTCCCGCCGATAGACCCTGTAAAATCCTTGCCACAATGATCACCCATGGCTTGAATCCAAGCATGAACGAGAGAGTGGCACCAAATGCACAAGAGAGGCCTCCCAAGAATGGTATCTGGCGTCTTTCGTATTTCCCAACAACCCAGCCTGCTATTGGGGCACCAAGTACCATTGCGAGACCGAAGACGGCCAAAGCGGTGGATGTCCAGAATGGGACATCAGCCTCTGGCACTCCGGATCGGACTGTCAGTGAGAAAGGAAGCACGGATACGATCTGGAAGATAGCCGGTGGGTCAGTGCTGCCATTCGACGGCGGAGAGTAGAAGTACCTACAATTCCGTAAAGAAATTCATCTGTAAACGTGGTCGAAAAGACAGCAATGCCGATCAGTTGCTTGGATGCGCGCAGATCGAAAAGGTATGGTTTTCTTGACATGATATCCGCCATGGTCAATCGGATATGACAAACTAATAATCACACTGAAGGTCAATTTAGTTTTCACCGCAAGGGCCTCTCACAATTTCATTCAATACTTCTTTGATTAAAAGATATAGGTGTTTCAAAAGCCACATCCAAGGCGAAGAGTAAGGGGGATTGATAGTGCAGTAAAGACACATTTTGAAGCTTGTGCTTTTGAATCAAGGCGTTATGAGCTATATTTAACCGAAGTAGTACAGCCAGCAATGACTAGGTTGCAAAGAAAAATGGTCCGGGTCACTTGAAATTATTGTCACTTCGTCTGAGATTCAACAAGTTATTCTCAGTATACTGCCCAGCTTTGTGCTTCCAGATGCACGGAAGGATGATCGATGCACATTGTATGCACAGTTTAGTGACATTCAATACAAGTGATTGAACCAATACTGATGCACTTGGGTAGCCTCTCCATCGGGATCGAAAGTTGCACTAGCTGAATGATTCTCTGCGGAGCAGATAGGTATAAAGAGCATTTTCAGGTCCTTTGAAGTGAACTTGTGGCGTTCAAGGAAGGGGGGGGGGGCATCTTGCTTACAACTACTTGTGGTAATCAAACAGACGTAGTAGTTAAACCTATCACATCTACATATGTAGACATCTTCCTATGGTTAGTTTGGGATCAGACCGTTTTATAATATTAGTTGGATACCATTGCTTTATCCGTCTTGACGTTGCTTTGTCCTTATATCCTCTATGTTGTCTTGTTGATAATCATGTGCAAGCTTTCGTTTTTATTTTTACAATATTTACAGTTCTGATTTTTTACATCATCTAGTTACTCAGTTTGACACAGAGAATTAACGACCTACAAACACCAGTGGGCAATTTGACAACACATTCATCAGTATAATTTTTATGCTGTACAAACAGAGAAGCATTCTCTGTCATTTTTGTGCTTGGTCTACTGTTGGCTAGAGCAACCAAGAGCTGTGGAATTGTCAGAAATATAAGTCACAGGAGCTATCATAATGAACTTTGGATGTTATGGTTTACTAGCTATTTTACTGCTAGGGACACAATGCGCATGCCGGTTATTTTCAGGCATGATTGCCACACAAAATGTGAAGTTTATGCGCGGAGGTAAAAAACGCAGTACATCACGAAGGTTTGAACGGCTCAGTAAATAGCCATTTTACAAGCGCTTCTGTGAAGTCTGTCTCTACATTCATGAAATTTCATTTTGTAAATCAAGCATGCTTCCATCAACCAAATTACACATAGTTGCTAGAAACATACACATGGTGTGGTTTTCGTAGTTTTTTTAACACTCTGTCTTCTCTCATCTGCCCATAATTATATCACTGGCTCTCCGCCATTTTGCTAAGATTTTTGAAAAGGATGCTTCAGATTCGAGGATCTAAATTTACAGTTTGTTGTTAGTTCACAGCCATGTGAGTGGAGGCCTGTAGCCCTATGCCAAGGAAAAACTATACCGAATACAGAATGGCGTCAGCACTGGCCAGCGGCAGATCACGTGGATTGCCAGTGGGCTTGGCAGACCCGCCGCTTGCGACAGCGCAGCAGCTGTCGACACCTTCATAACCACTGTCACCCTATTCCACTTCATTCAATCCCTGGCCAGCTGTCTGATCGAACGTGTGTCTTTCTCACCATAGCTCACTTCATCTTCCTGTCTCATCTAGAAGGTGTGTTTCCTTTTGTCATAGAACCAGCAAACTGAGTCCCGGCCTAGCGAACTCTGGCAAATCCAACCTCCATCGTCACTTGGGCGGTTGGCGAGACCAAGCAGCTTTGAAACTTGTTAAATAAGCTAACATAGCACCACTGAAGACACCATTTAGTCACTTGATACCAATTCTTCCTAGAAAACTTTGCAGCCTAACGACCCCCTCTCTGCATTATTGATTTGCAAGCACAAAACCTTGAAGATCACTTCCACCTCATAACACCAACGAAGCTTCGCAATGGATTTTACAAACATCTTGTACGTTGGATCTTTGTGGATACATTCGTGCCAGGACTGACCCAATGCAGCCGTCTTGTCAACATCGCCGTGGGCGCGTTTATGGTGCTCGGTGGTATCAGTAACTTCTTCACCGGAACCTGGAGTACATTCATTCTGGGCGCATATGTCGTTGTCTTCGGTCTTGGTATGTTCTTATGGCAATGCGAGCCCACGGCATTGATTGCCAGCGCTAACATTGTCCTAGTCGTCGGCGGGCTTGAGTTCCTTCCTCACGTCCCGGACCACGCATACCGTTATGCGTCGTTCCTCTTCTCCTTTCTGGGCCGCGGTGTCTGTAAGATTTACTTCTGCACGCCCTCACTTAGAGGTACCTTAGTGGCTAACCACATCCGCCGATAGTCTACATCTTTATCGGTTCCATTCTGCTGCACGACCAAGTGCTGCGCATCATTGATGGTTCGCTGATCGCCTTCATCGGTCTCGGATACATCGCTCTCGAGTTCATTCCCTCTATCGAGCCTCCTTCGAACATGCGCGAATCTGACCAGGGCTGGGGTGCCGAGCAAGTCTAAATTGTTACCCGCGTAGGTGATGATGTTGATTTACTGCCGTGTAGGCACAGTGATGGATACTGTCTGTTCAGGCGGTTTCCTTCAGTGTGCGGTATGCGATGATGAGCACAATGACCTTGGGATGTCTGAATTTAACCAGTGAAGGATGTCATTATAAAGAAGAGGATTTGACGAGGAGAATGGGTGATTCTGCTGGGTCTCTGATTTTTGTTGATACCAGCGTACCCAGAACAGAGAGACACCTGTACTATATTTGGGACGTGGTGGGCTAGCATCGTCTAGTAGCATTGACATGCTTTAATGATTTATTGATTTCTCGCTTATTGCAGTATCCGGTGAGAGATCATCCGATACAGGGACCAGTGCAGGGATTTCTTAGCTGCCCAGGCTTCCATGTCGTAATCCATACCTACAACATTTCTACTTACTATGTTCTATGCACTACACCTGCCAGCACTTTATACTTCGTACCCTGAACAGATAGTATGCACTTTTCACCTCCGTACCGTTGCACGGAGTACGGAGCACATACAAGTTGGTCCAAAAGTACAGCGTGGCCATGTCGCTTCGGCTTTTTCCATCTCCGAGAGCCCAATCGGAACATCCAGAGAGTTGATGACGGTATTTGTCAGCGAGTTCTAACCAATCACCTGTCTGAGATATTTGATTTCCCACCATCGTTCCACTCTAACCTCACTTTGTCAGGGTGTAATGTCCACTCTTCCCACTCTTTTCCTTCGTTTTTCACCTTTTCTATCTTTTTCACCTTTTCCACCGAGGTTTTTTTTTTCACTTTTCAACTAAACTTCATCAGGCCATAGGTGGAGTCCATACACGATCCCAGGGGACATAGAATCATGCAGAATCGCCAGAAATTTCCTGTTGAATTGTAGAAAAAACCAAGTTAAAGACAGCCCTGGAGAGAGAGGATGATTAGATGAGATTGATGTGATCCTCGGCAAATGGTACAGATAAAGTGATAGATTGATACGCTGTCGATCTCCCCCTTCCACTTAGATCGATAAACCCCAATCCCTTTTTTTGGCGATAAGCAATTCGGTCTCGCCTCTTTGTCTCATTTCTCTCCTTTTTATCTTTCCATCCTTTTGAATCTTCCCACTTGTCCTTGATACATCTTCCCATCCTGCATCCTCCAATACCTGTTCCCCCTTATCGCCTCCATTACATCCTGTGTGCCCACTTTGCGCAGTCCTAACGCGGAGTGATCACCATCTTGCAGCTCCCTAGCCTCTCAACCAATCACTGCCTCGACAATTGTCCTTTTGCATCGGGCTCTCGTCCCCGAACGAGACTGTCTCCCACGATCGCCTGCTAGTCGGACCAGACCCTGTGGTGTGCTGTCAATTGTCACAATCAGCATCACCTGACTGTTCCACGCCGTTGGTTTGCCACTGTTCCATACAAAACTGTTACTATCTTTGGTAGCAGATCGACTTGTTTAATATACTTGAAACTCGATTTCCTGATTCTTGTTTCGCGGCACCCGAATTCACTTCTTGTCGACCTCGATCCCGAGTCATCATCTACCCTGCGATTTCCCCGAACCTGCAGCATCGTGGCTGCATATCTTCCTGTTGGACTGACTTCCCCGTCTTTCTCCAACCTGTCAGCTTGACCGACATTTGGTTTTTGAGTGATACGGTGCATTCTGCTTTCAACTGCGGTGCGACATCGCCCTCACATCTTAGGATTTCACTTTTTCTTTCGCTTCTGTCGTCCGATTCACATCCAATCTTCACGCTTTAAGAATAACCACGGCCGAGGGATTTCAGGCCCGAATCACAGCTTGTAATGTTAGCGTCTATCCCACAAATGGAATCGCTTCACTCTCTGCCTCGAAACCAGGACGTTTCAATGCGACAACCGTCAGCGGAAGATTTGGATGCTGCGCAGCAGTTGATCTCCTCTGCGCAGTCAGGTCGAGAGCATCTGGCTGATCACTACCGGGAGGATGGCATGGTGCAAGGAACTGGTCAAACTGTATCAAATCAATGGATTGGACACAAAGAACCTCCTATTGAAAAACCTTCGCCTGGCATCCAAAAAGACACAACCTTCTTGGGTCATTCATGCAGGTGAGTCTTGACTGGGTGGTTGAAATTGACACAGAAGTTTGCAAGGGCTGACCCCATCTCTTCTCTTCAGCAATTGCGGTACAAAAAGCACTCCTCTCTGGCGTCGTTCTCCCACGGGAGCGATGATCTGCAACGCCTGTGGTCTCTACCTCAAAGCTCGCAACGTCGCTCGCCCCACGAAACGGAATCGGATGCAATCAGAGGGTGCTGAGAAGCCACCGCCTCCTGCGAACTCTCACTGCAGTGGTTCCTCGGAAACTGGTGGTTGCAAGGGGTCATGCCCCGGTGGTGGGAGTTGTAATGGCACTGGTGGCGCAGAAGGATGTGATGGATGCCCGGCATACAACAACCGAATATACAAGTCTGCCCCCAGAGGAGCGGCGGCCATCCAATCTTCGTGGGGCCGTCATCCAGCACAAGAACTTGAGCCTGCGACACAAGAGGAGCCCCCGGCGAAGATTCCTGCTCCTGTAGATGGCACTAATACCTTGGTTGCTTGTCAAAATTGCGGTACAACAGTGACTCCTCTGTGGCGGCGAGATGAACAAGGTCATCCCATTTGCAACGCTTGTGGTAAGTTCGATCTTCGTATAGACGTCACTATCCGATTTCTCTAACATAACGCAGGATTGTACTATAAACTTCACGGATGCTATCGCCCCACCAACATGAAAAAGTCCATCATCAAACGTCGCAAACGCGTTGTTCCCGCCCTCCGAGATCAGTCTCCCACCGCTGGTACTCTTTCTTCCAATAATTCATCCGCATCCCCGGAGGCATCACCTGCTGCCCTAGCACATGGCCATGAAGATCACTATCGATACATGAGCAACGAGCCTGCAGATCACTATCACAGGATGGCTGGAAAAATTGAAGATGCACCTCGAACCATGCCTTTTGCGCCGCCACCGGTTGATTTTACCGGTTACAATGTTTCATCCGTGTCTGTTTCACATGATCTCTCAATCTCCCACGGCCTACCTAAACCAATAGGAGTGGAGCGGTTGGGACATTCCCCCGTGAATCAGTACGGGCGACGGTCCGCCTCTCCAAATTCCCTCAATCTTCCTAAGAAACGAACATTGGCCGAGGCTACAACAGAGGCTCTACCGGCTCTACCGGCCCTGTCGACGCTAGAAGGAGGATCAAATCAACTGCCTCCGATTATGTCTTCGGCTAATCCTACTCCCCCCGGCCGTCTCAGCTCTATCTCATCCATTCTGAACCAATCCGAGGTTCGGGGCGAGCCTCGCCCGGACACCAATCTGAGACGTCCACCTCCTATTCACCACTCCGTCTCCCCTTCCCCCCACCCGCCACAGCCTTTGCCTGGCCTTGCATCTCTTGGTGACACAGTTGATCGCCGTGCCCGACTTGAACGTGAAGCTGAGCAGATGCGCGAGATGCTCAGAGCTAAGGAGCGCGAATTGGCGGAGATGAGGCGATAGACTCGACGTCCGCCTAAGTAGTGACGAAAATAATGATACTGGGATAATGTTTCGCGTTTCGCAACTCGGTGTTTCTCGTGAGATAAACGGCGCACAGAGATACCACTCACGTTACTGGGACATCTTGTCCATTGCTGTGCTATTACTATAATTTTTAAAAAAAGTCTCAGATGAACTGTATCTTATAATGTGCAATCGCTATCTATTTACTCTTGCATGTATTTGGATGCCTGCATGTACACCTGGTTCCAGGTCGGATTTTTTCCTCTCTCATGTTGTATGTAGTTTGGAAGACTCTATCGGGCGAGTAACTAGTTGCTAGTTACTAACCGGCCCCTCCAATTTTTTTCTTCAAAAGATACGGACTCTTGAGGTCTATTGACGGTGGGGCGATCTGTGCCATTATTTCCCTTTATATCCTCGACGCGTCTTCTTCTTCGTCTAATAAAATCTCTCTATTGCTATAGCATCTAGGGATTAATATAAGACTTTCAATTTAGGGCTTAGGTCGTAAGTAAAATTGTTTAAAATTACTGGAAAATTCTACGTTACTTGTGCAGCTGCGACGAATTAGCATATTTAGATGGGTTGGTTTATTTTAGGCCCTATTAGGCCCTTATTCAAAAGCCCAATGGGCATTTGCCCCGGGCCCAAAGCCCACCGGTAGGCCTAGAGGTAGGGCCCAAAGCCTAGCCCATTTATGGATTAGGTTAGGCTGGGCTAGGGGCGTTATTGGCTTTGCGTAGCTCTAATCACACCTCATCATCCACATCGGTTGAGTCGGTCTAAGCCTGCACCGCCTGCATTTGGCTGGCGCGAGACTATGGGCTTGCAACTCTGCTGCTGTGACGTCCGGCCCCACAGGTAAAAGCCAGGGGAGGCTGCTGTCATCGCGGGCCACAGCATCAACAACCACGCGGGCACTCTTGATCGGATCTCCCTGCTGTGAGCCATCAAAGCATCGAAAACGGTGCGGATTGGATCCAACACAGGGTCGTAATCGTTGATGTGGCCGGCAACTTTGGTGCGGTGCCCGGCCGAGAGAAACGGAGTGCGAAAGTGACCCAGCTGTACCACAAGGGGAGCAACCTCCTTCTGCAAGGCCTCAACCACCGTCGAGAGCGCAACCTTGGAGGCTGCCAATACCGACCACATGTGCAATGGTGCCTTTGTGGGCAGATCTCATTGAGGGTAGGACGGCGCAGGTCAGGCTTAGTGGTCCGAAGACATGGGGTTCGAGCATAAATGCTGCGCCTCCTTATCACTGGTCAACGGGGGCAATCAGTGACGGTTTTAAATCGAGAAAGTGTGAAAGAGAAGGATTCCTAGTACCTGGTCTCTTCCACTGCCCCCTTCCAAGAGATACCCGGCAATGTTGACGATGGCATCGATGATCTCGTGTTTCTGGATCAACGGGGCGAGAGCTTCTTTAATCTCGGCAAAGGGACTGGTCAAATCGAGCTCTAAGATCTGGCAGCCAGCTGTGCCCGCTGCCTACAGCCTGGATTTATTTCTTCCCGCTGCGATGACGGTCGCGTGCGACTGGGTCTGCCGGGCGATTTCCTGGCCGATTCCTGACGAGGCCCCGATGCCTGACCACACCGGGCGTCGACCTGCACAGAATTTGAAGGTTTCGTGGTCCATTCTTTTTTCACCTTTTGTTTTCGATTGCAAATGGTTAGTGGTCACGAATGACGCTATAGCGGAAACTGCAAGACCCGAAGGAATTTTCATCGGCATTGGAAGTGGAAATGATATCAAAATTAAAGAGCAAGCGAGAGGAACTGTGGTTCAGGTAGTACCTATTTACGCAAGCCCAGCATCTGGTGCGTAGTTGAGTCGGTGGATGACTGAGGTTTTCCCTCCACCTTCCTGATGCCATCCTGCTCGGGCACCCGTGAGAAATTTATCTCCAAAATACCATTCGGCCATCAACATACCTGCGCTTACTGTTCCTAAGCAGTTGTACTAGCAAGAAGCTCTAACCAAACAGTAGGAATCAAAATTTGGGTTTTCGGTGCTTGTCCTCACGGTGCCCGGGAAACAGCACTGCCTCATCTATGATATCGACCTACACCAACCTGGGAATCTCCTTGAGAAAGCCTTTCCTCAAACAGCCAACGTTGTGGCAGCCGATGAAGGACCCAAAGCCAAGGAAAGACGTGATCATCAGCGGGGTGAAGCCAGGTGTCCGCAAGAGGCGGTTTGGACTGAGAAGGCGAAGCACATTGCCCTCAACGAAGAAGAGCCCGACGAGCAGCGCAAGGCTCACGTTGATCAGAATATACGTGTAAGGGGAACAAGACGCGACAGAGCCCTGTGTTAGCCCCGAACAGGAGACACACGCAACCGCTGGCCGCGCAGAAGCCACCGATGTAGTCGAATTGCTTGATTGACGGAGCTTCCTTACCGGATACATCGGCCATGGGTCAAAGGGGTGGAATAGCGAACCAAGCTGAGGCACACAGCAGCACGCAGATAATAGCATTTGAGCCGAAGATCCACGGGAGGTGTTGGCACAAGGCTCCACCTTGGATTGCGCTGATTAAGTTCCATACAGAGAACCATGCAAAGGCTCCGACTATCACAAATTTCGATGAAAAAAGGTCTGTTAGTGAGCTGGAGATGATTACCGACAGGCCGTTGGCTATGTTGAAGGCGCCGATGACTCAGGGGAGTTGAGTGTTGACGATACCGAGGGCTGCTTTGATCTGTTATTGTGGGGCGAGCATGTCGGGAGGAAAAGAGCATGAGCCCTGCTGAGCAGACGCAGATATGAAGGAGCCCGGCGGTGAAGCTTGAGAGCTCACGCGGGATACCTTGCTTGCTGCGATTTGGAGATCCCGATTCTCTGTCGCTATCTGATTGAGGACGTGATGCTGAGTCTGCTTGCTTTCGGTTTTTCGTTTTGTTTGTGGTATCGAGGGCATGGCTCTCGTTAATTCCGTGGCCACACTCATTGATGGAGAGATCTTAGAGGGCGATTTTGTCCACGATCTTAGTGCCGATCAATGGATCGGAGGTTTGCACTCCGGTCACTGGTGTTGAGTTAGTCCGTGTATAGGACATTGAAGACCGGCTGGATACTGGTGCTGAGTCTCCATCTTGGTCTGGTGGAGGGGTGAGGATGGCGAAGAACGACTAAATTGGTGACAAGATGGGAGTGGAGTTGGTGGAGTTTTTGATTTTCAATCTACCAAAATAAAGGTCAGGAATCTATCTAGTTTGTAGTTTCTGGTTAGCAACTGCAAAGTCTATGTGAATGATGTACTCGACGTATAACTAACGTCTACATACAACGTACCTCCTGCGCATATTTCACAACGTGCTTGTCTGAAACCCTTGCGGAATGCATCCGTGTTTACTTGAATGGTGGATCTAGTTTGTGTATCAAGAACGACAGGTCGATCCCCACGTTGAACCTAAGTTGTTCCATCTCGCTTGTGTATATGGAAACAGAGAAAGAAAGCCAGACACTGTTTGCAAAATACGTAAGAGCAGTAGATCCACTCTCAAGATTATGCTTAGAATGCTGCTCCCCGCTAAAGAATGAATTGCGAATCAACTGAGGCTCCATTTCATCAGCCTTCCCGATCTCCAGTGATTGACGCAACAATTTGATGCCCAATCTTTTCCTACCGGGCTTTTGTCCACTTGGATGGGACAAAGAGACACAACAGGACCTTACATCAGGCTAATAACCGCTTTTCACCAGATTTCCAATTCCCGTGATGATAAATGAGGGTACTCTTGAATTTTCAACTAAGCTTTGTTGACCAGGGCAGCCCAGCATGCATGCGAACGTCAAACAACTTAGAACTTCTCCTCGACGAGGGAGGTCTCTACTATGTAGGATAGTCTACTAATTTTTGAATTAGCAAATTGTGTTTCAAACTGAAAATCCAAGTCATTGCTCTTTCATTCGTAATGCTATATTAACATGCATATTTATACGCTTATTTGCCAAACACCTTGAAGCGGTCCTCAAGAGGAGCGAAGGCCTTCTCGCCAGGCTGAGAGTTAGGAGTACCAAAGACCAGCTGGGCATCCAACTTCCAGGAGGCGGGGATGTTCCAAGTCTTGGCAATCTGCTCATCAATGAGGGGGCTGTAGTGCTGAAGGTTGGCGCCGAAGCCCTCGGACTGAAGGGCAGTCCAGACTTGGTGAAAGTTAGTTTCAAACTACTTGTGTCTGACCAAAAGCTCAAAGACGGAAAGCACATACCAAGGTACTGAGACATAGCATTCGACTCCAGGGCAAAGGGGTCGAACTTGTCGGCGTAGGTAGCGAACTTCTCCTTAATAGGAGCGAGCGACTCAAAGTCAACAAAGAAAAGGACCTTGGTAGCCGGTTAGCAGATGATTCGCCATTTTAGCGCAAAGTGGAGTAGTCATCTGGAGTGGGGAAACGCACGGTTCCGTAGGCAGCGCGGAAAGACTCCAGCTTGGGCTTTGTAGAAGTCTCGAACTGTTCCTTAGGAACGTGTCCAGCGGTGACCAGACCCTCCAAGGCGTCAAGAGCAATATCCCACACCTTCTTGTGCTCCTCCTTCAGCAGGAGCACAACACGAGAGGTCTGAGTATTAAAGGAGCTAGGAACGTGCAGAACGGAATCCTGAACAATACGCTCAATGACATCGTCAGAGACGGGACTCTCGCCCTTGAGGTCATAGTATGTGCGGCGAGCCTTCACCAACTCCAAAAGAGTGGAAGTAGCCGCATTCTTGAATTCAGGTTGAGTGGAGCCCATCGTGAAGGTTTTAACGGGAGACAGGTAGCAGATTAGCTGTGGAGTGAAGTGAGATAAGATGATTCCAAGGAGGAAAATTAACAGGTGAACTTGGATGGGGATTTTATACATTATGTGGATTGCGAATCCACAAACCGCGAGACCTCAAAATCCCTCTCCATCACTTTCTCCATCCCGCCATCGTCTTGTCCCCATGTCTCGGAGTAAGTTGGCCATCTGCAGCCAATCACAGTGCAACACAATTTCGTGTCGGACGGAATTAACAATCCCCGACGCTTGTGGGATCGTGTAAGAGACACGCACGCAGGGACAGTATCCACAATTAATAAGCAGGGGCATATTATCAATGCGTTACCAAGCATTCACGCTATTTTTATACTGGATCAGCGCGGAATTGATTCCTACAAGGCATCATTCAAAATCTCAGATTCGAACTATCTTGTTAAAAAAAAAAAAATTCACCCTATCTCACCATAGGTTCAAACTTGTGATATGGTTGATATCCAGGTGAGCACAACCTATTTTTCGTCACAAAAATCCAACCGGTCCCTAGTTCTCAACTTTGAGTTCAAATCCAGAACAAAGCGCCAGCTAGAATTCCCCACACCAATGCCATGGGAGCAGCCATCTTGATTCCACGATTTTTCATTGCCATTGGGACAGTCACAGTGGCCTTGGCGGTCTGATGTTGTCCGCACTCACATTCACAGTGACACGGAAATGAGCTGGCAAGAACAGTAACTGTAACCGTCGTGCCATTCTTGTCAGCTCGCGAAGTTCCATTGCCGAAGTAAGTTGGCACACCAGTAATCAGGGCTGTCGAATTCAGGACCTCAACGGAGACTGAGGTAATGGGATCCGCGGTGGCAGTCGCAGGCGTCGTTAAGCTTGCGTCACTGGATGAGACACGGGAATTGACCGAAGTTTCGACTTCAGTCACGGTTGTAGGAACATAGAAGTCTCCAGTGTCGGTCACGATCAAGGTCGCCGGAAAAATTCCTAGGGTGGAATCGTCACCTGTGGCTGGAACAAGTACCGTCGCTGAGGTGATAGTACTGGTTTCATGCGAGGACTTTATCTCTGTACAAGACGCGCCTGTGGGTGTCGGAGAGCCCATGAGTGTGCAATTTGAGGTAAAGTCAAATTTGTAGCCATTGGCAATCATGTCATATGCTATATCTACAAGTCAGTATAATCTCGTGTCTGAGAGATGGTGGGGCTGCTGTGTTCTTACTGTTGGGCCCATAGATAACGGTCAGATCCGGGGTAAATCTGTGGCAGGCTGTCTGGTCTGAGAGACAGTTGATTCCGTAGGTCGTTGTTGCATCTTTCTGCGTTAGTTGTTAGTGATAAATCACAGAAGAAGCATACAAGATACCTACAGCGCCTATGGCCTTGCCTCCATAGCCCTGGAAGTAATCTGGTGCATCTGTAACCCAAGGGATCGTCTATATGGTGTTAGTTTTTCTCGTATCTTGGTGGCTTTGTGAGAGGTAAACACACGATTGTGGCTTCTTGGTGGGAAAACCCAAGAACAGCCCAGCATAGTTGGATTACCAACGTGAGAAGATGTCTGAATAACATTCTGTAGACTACTGACGATATCTTGAGAGATGTTTTCTAGTGCAGGTAATTACCAACAGAGGAGTTTTTTTGTCACGCGATGTTTTGACACAAAAAGCCCTGTTGTTTGGAAACGGTGTGGTATGAACAATCAAAACAATGCGAATGGAAAGAACAATAGATCAAATGATTGGAAAGAGCGAATCACAAGTAGATGCCTTGCCTGCAAGGCATTTACTGAATTTTTCATCTATCGCATATTATGTAGTAGACTTCTGGGAAAGAGGATTCGACGTTTCGTCGTCCTTTCAACACATTGCATTTCCACTTTACTAAACCCCCCGGCCCGCTTTCTGTGTCTAAATCCTTATCCCTGATGCCTCCAGCTTGAAGGGAATCATCGCTTTCAAAGCGTCTCCCTCTAGTGTCTGTGGGGGTTTGAACAGCGAAGCTAACCTTATGCCTTGGCCTGATGGGTCTCAAGCACAGCTCACTCGAGTCATCCTGCAACGGCTGGAACTCCCACCATTAGCAGACCTAGATCTCCCAGACTGGGACAACGACTTATTCCAAGGGCGAGCTCACTCCGAGTGTGCATGTTGAGCGCCCAAGGAGGGAATGCATCATATGGACTGAAGCGAGGATGACAACGAGACAGGGTTCCAGCTCACTGAAGATGTTCGCACGGGGTCGATGTGGGTAAAATCCATCATCGAGAGATCAGAGGTTCGAGGAATGCTGATGATACATGTGCTTATTTACCAGGTTAGCAAAGACCTTCTTGCGTTTGGTTTGTTTGTGATCGCGCAGGTCTTACTCTTCCAAGCTCGAAGATAGTGTCGAAAATAGTGATGGATGTCAATTTCTGTTACCCGGCCATTGCAGCCTGTTCGTCCGCGGCATCGGTTTCATCAGCACAACAACGTCGGTAAGAAGATTGTGTATCCTTGTCACCGTCAATGAAGTAACCTAATTTCCACACCAGGAATCTTCGGGTCTGGTCTCAGTTAAAAGCGAAAGAAATTCAGATCAGACAACAAGCCGGTAGTGTTCCATTTATCCAGGCAAATATCGCGCTTACTGTTATCCAGGAGAGCCGCACGACCCAAGTGACGTGTAAAATGCTAAGATGTATGATCAAGATGGAAATTTAATACAGCTGAGACTCAGAACCCAGAGCAATTGCAATGGGACGATCAGCTGAAGGAGCGTGGCGATGAGCCCCACTCCAGTTGCCCTTGTAATTGTCGTGACATAACTATAACCGATGCCAGCTTATATCATGCAGATGATGCTAATGGATTGGAGGCTGACAGCAAAAATTTGCATTAAGAAGTGATGATGTTATGTGGCTTAATTTCGCAAATATTCACAGCAGCAGTTGTTAACAAATCACTCAGCATCCATTTTTTTCCCAGCAAGATAGCGAGCTAGCGGCCGCAGACCTACTGCTATCACAGCCATGATTGAAAAAGAGATAGAGACAGCTACGCCTAGGACCTTTTTTGGGATGGCGCGTCTATGGAAAAAGACGACAACTCCCTCCGACTCTAGCAGAGACATAAACGAGCTCAGCAGATCAAAACTGGAGAACGATGTTGTATACTTACAACATAGGTACAACATAGGTATAAATCACCCCTATAGGCTATTAGCAAAGATCAAAATGGTGAAGGCTGAAAGACCTAATACATCCAAAACAACACTCCTCTTATGGTCACGTTTCATGGAAGAACACAATCGTATTTCTCGGCATTTCACAGTCCAATAAGTCGTTAAGATCCTCATGAAAAGAACACTCATTGGTGGGCCAAGCACCGAGTGTGCCCTCACAATGAGTCTGTCTATAGTCCGTCGCCTTCTTAGCTTGCATTGGCTTCCAAAACACGTTACAAAACGCTTGACAGAAAATGATGTTGCTGGGCGTGAGAATCAAAATATGCAGCCGTTAGCGCCATGTCAAAAGACATCCCCCTTTTCTCCGCACTGCGTCTAAATTTTGAAAGAGATAAGAGTTGAAAAGGGTGGAGGAATTGGTGTGTGAAGACTCCGATGGCTCTGCCAGGTTGGTTGGACAGTTGGATTTGAAGCCTGGGGCTTTTGTAGATATCAGCTTAGGCCTTTCTCTTGAAGTGCCTCAGGCATTGTAATGATATGTGAGTATTCTGGATTTGGTAGGTGGGATTAGCTTCTTTGTGGTCGCTGTCGAGTCGTTAGCGTAGAAGTTGTGGCATTTTTTGATGCTGATATTTTTGTGTTGTTTTTTTTGTGGAAAAGGCCAGGAAAATGAAAGTTGGGTGGCTCTAAATTGATTCAGCAAAGCCATGATTCGAACGTATGACTTTGAGCTTCGTCTATTAATCCCGTGGTCGTTCCTTCCAAAGATATGTGTGTGAATAGCTTCATTTTATTGCCTCGAAGTGTATGTACCCTTGAATCACAATGATTTTCAGCCACCACCATCGAGTATTCAGATAATTTTGAAACTTAGCCTGTAGCTTGCTGACACTATCAAGACTTATCCTTTCCAATCTGAAGTTATTAAAACACCGGCAAGGTAGACAAATTGACGTTCTAATGTTCAATACTGACATCTCCCTTGAGTTTGGCCTCCCATTTGAAAAAGACATTGACTAGTATTCCAACCAGCCCCCCCCAGTGGCCCAGCGGTATTATGGCCGGGGCATCCCACACCAGGATGTCGCAACGGGTTTTACTTGCTCCCCACTGTCGGTCGGACTCCTATATGCTGAATCTCTCCCGAAGCACTACGCTAGGCAAACCCCCCGCGGAAGGGTATAGTCCCCCGTTACTTAGGGGGGAGGCCGTAGTTAGTACGGTGGGTGGAGGTGTATAGGGGAATGGCCGGAGGAGAGGACCATGTACATCGAGAGACCAGACTCTGTCCATACCCTCCTGAGGTCTAGGAACGGTCTAGATTAATGGGGACTTTTTTTTGGGATGTTGATGTTGATGTTGAGTTTTTTTAACTTGATACTCTCTGTTAATTGGGTTTCAGACTCCCACTCCCTCCTGTTCCATCCGTAAGGTTGTTTCCCTTCTTTCCCATCCGGATGCTCAATAACCAGCAATCAGTATTCCTACCTCACACCCATTTCTAATCCCAACATCATCTTCATCTTGACGTTATATACTCAATTCCCCATCTGACCTTTGGTGTTTAGCTTCCTACATTAACATTTCCCTTCTGTCTTTCCAATGATATCTCCCCCTTCTGATACACCAGTTCGTATCTTAAATTTTTTTTGGACGTTGCTTGCTTTCTTTCACCGATTCCCTAATTCTCTGTGTAGGCTGACGCTCCATGCTCGAATTTCCCTTCTTGTCGTTATGTTCAGTCTAGCTCTCCATCTACCCGCTCCCACTATTACCTGCGTGCATGACACAGCATGTTCCTGGAGCAAAGAATACACGACATCATGCAATACTTCACCGTTGTTGGAGTTTGACGCTAATGGACCATGGCCCTGATATAAACATCGAGGATTGGTTAGTTGGGTGACCATGCATCGGTCAAAGGCCCAGAGAGGAATGAAAAGACGTGGTTTGGTGCACGTCGACCTCGTGACGGATGGTTCAAGTATGGTGAGCCACTGCATCAAGTCGACCTTGACGCCGCCGAGATTATTTCCCAGGGATAGAATCACCGATATCGTGATTGCTATTATGCCCCTACAGATTCCAGGTCACTCTATGTTTTATCAACACTTGGCAGCGTTACTTGTGGTGGTAAGTGAGCTTTGGAACCACCACCCGGCCACAGTGTGGACATGGGGAATCCATTCCTAACTTCAACTACGATGTCCATAATATTGTGCAGGGACAAGATACAATTGCACCAATTCAATCCCAGCACAGCCGAAAGCCTTTGAAGCTTGAATGGCGGATTTGAAAGTTTGCACAAGCATCGCCAGAATGCGGAAAACCTCTCGGGGCCCCCAAAATTTGACAAATCAATCGTCGGTATCGGGTTGCCGCGACATCGCATCTCAAAATAATACATTCATTCTGTTGCCGAAGATTCGCCAACAGATCAGAGGCTGACCCAGTACCATGGGCTCGGAGCACTTGACGTCGTGTCCAAGAGCCGGAAACTTGGAGTTTTAATTGAAGGAGAGATTGGTGAGGAGATTCTGTGTTAGTTGCTACAGTGCCAAGCTCAAGTTCACTCCACATTGCTACGAGAGTCCAATCAATAAGCGGTCCAGTCTACCGGACGAGCTCTGAACCACACCAGCGGCCACCTGGCTCGGGTCCAACTATGTGGATGACATGGGTGTGTGATTAGCACAGACACAAGCGGCATCCACATGGCAGATGTACAGCTTGAACATCTAGGGTCTTCTGTTTGGAGACACTCGGTGCGATCTGATTGTCTGTTGATTGTCTTCCTTTGTCTTCGGATGTGTGTTGTTCCATTGACCAAGTGAAATTTTTGCAATTTTCCGTGGATGAGGGGCTTTTACTCTAAGCTCGCCGAAGAAACCCAGGTTGACAACTATCGAATCACCACAGCTAAAGAACAGGGCTAAGATTAAGGACTTGGCCTAGTCGACATCGCTTTTGCGACCACAGATGATGAATTCCATCTCAAATGCAAATTCAAGACAAGATATCACCAAGCCAAAGCACCTATACCTTTCTTGGCCAAATCATCTAAACACCGTGGTGATTTGCACAGAGAATGTTCGGGTTTGACACTCCAGATGTTCAGTAGACATAACGGAAAGAAGGATTCTCCCTATCAGTGAGCCCAGCCCACTTTGTGTCATCGAAGCTGTTCTCCTCGGCGCCCTTTTTCTGGTCTCTTTGGCGGTTTTGCCACCTGTAGTAGACGAAGAGCACCACAGATAGTACAGCCGCAGCAGCCTGGGTGGCAAGAACAGCAATCTTGGCCGGTCGGTATTCAGGTGCATCGCGTGCCTGGAATGTCTGTGGGCCAATGATGTTTCCGATCGAGAAAGATCCAGCGATAAGCGCGCTAGAAAATGCCCGCTTGGTATGTCCAGCACAGTTGGCCATGGTCCACTGGTATAAAATCGGAAGAGTAGCTACGATTGAATTGACCAGATAAATACCGATCAGGACACCGGCTTTGTTGCTTTTGGGCAAGAAGGATAATAATGCGCCACCGATGATTCCCGGGATGGTACAGAGCACATTCCAAGCCCAACGATTGGACGTTTGCCGGATACCAAACCCGACGAGAAGTGTGAAAAAAATACTAACGACACCCCCGGGGGTATTGAGAAGCGCTGAGATGGGACCCGAGAAACCAAATCCGGCAATCAGAGTTGATGAATACGTTGTTACCACACCACTTGACACGGAGATCTATGCAACATTGATTAATAAATCTGTAGGGGATAGGGGATAGGTGGAGCAAGGGGTGAAAGTGGGAATGTAGAGACACACCAAAATTGTGATCACAGTCAGGAGCCATAGCTGAAGATCGAGCACAGCCTCCCATATTTGTTTCACCTTCAAAGTTGTGCTCCATACTCCAGTCTGGTTCTGGCTGACATGTTGAATGAGGGCCACTTTTTCGCTATCAGATAGCCAGGGTGCCTTCATCGGGGTATCGGGGATGAAGAAAAATGTGAGACCGCCGACAACGGCTGTCACCAGCCCAAGAACAAGAAACATAATCCGCCAACCTTCTAGTGAGGCATGATGTACATGCTGGAACCCAAACGATGTGAGACCTCCAACGATTTGGGCCACACCAAGGCCCATGTACCATACAGTGAACCTTGGAGCTTGTTCGCTTTTGGTGTAGTACTGGCTGCTAATAAGCATCAAGGATGGTCCCACTGTAGCTTCAAAAATACCAAGGAAAATTCTAGCTGCCAGCAGACTCTGATAGCCTCGGGCGCCAGAGGAGGCGGCAGCTGCAACTCCCCAAAGGAAAACATTTCCACCGAGCCATTTGGCAGGGGGTACTGCCTGTAAAAAATACACTGACAATATAGACTTAGTGGTGATGAACTCGCAGTGTTGAACAAACCACCAAGAAGGTGCCAGGAAGGTAAATAAAGCCACTCACCATTCGGTACTTCTGCGATCAGGTAGGCAATGAAGACCCAAGTGGCAACATTGGAGAACTCATTACCGGCGAGTTTCAAGTCTTTTTTGATCCCCATCACAGCTGCATACTGCATCCACATCCTTGCATTAACAACAGGGTGCATACGGCAGAGCTGAAATTCAAACTTACGTTCAGCATGACCTTGTCCAAAAATTGGAGAACATAGCAGCAAAGCATATAAGGCATCAAACGTAGATCAATTTTACGACGTAAGGCCCGCAAGTTGATTAGAGAGTCGAGGGCCCCGTTTTCATGGCCCTTGAGATACACCACAGCATCGTCAACTCGATCTGTATGTGGTTGTAGCACCTTCTCGGGTTGGATTCCACCCATAGCGATTGGGCTCAATGTGGAAACAGACAAGGAAGATAGTCAGTAGGAAATTGCGAAAGGAAAAAGAAAGGAAACCCAAGAAAAAATTGTTAAAAAGTTTAGTGGAAAACTAGGGGGGGGGAACGACCATGGACTCATGCGACATAACACAAATAGCGACGTAGCCACCGTGGAGAGAGCGTGGCTACCCGTAGTGCCACCTAGCAACGAATTAGAATCAATAGACCAAGACACTAGAAACTGCCCGGTTGGGAACTATATGAAGTTTATGAAAGGGGTGAGTAAAAAAGTCATCCTTGGAATAAAATCGGAGGAACGACCTTGCACGCCCGGGATAGTTCGGACTCCGGAGTGTACACAAAGTGCCGGTATTAATTCTAGAAGAGGAAAATGCTGCCAGACGAGCATTTATTTTTTTAAAGATATTCGGTTTTTTTTGGCTATCCTTATTCACAAGGAAATCCCTGTTCGATCGGCTTGCCTATGTACGGGATTGATAACGTTCTCGTTTATACTCTCTTCCCTAACCCTTCGCACGCCTTCTTCTCAACCATGGGCTGGGTACACAATGCCTCGCCCGAGGTGCAGGCTGCATCACAGTACCCTCTCATCCTCGGAGTATGTTTGGGTCTTACCACCTTCATGATTCTAACGGTTTCCTTGCGACTTTTCCTTCGATCACGAGCCAGTAGATGGACAGCAGCAGACTATGTCATGGTTGTGAGCATGGTCGGTTAGTCTGTGTGTCATTCAAGAGATATTGCAACTAACATGAATAGGTGTTTGCTATTATATACAGTGCACTCTGCATTTCTCGTGAGGACCGCCAGCTCTCCCCGTAGTCGCATGAAACCTACTCACAGTCGCAGAGAGTCGATATGGACTAGGACTGCCATTGAAGCAACGACCAGCAGCAGATTATTCAACATACTTCAAGGTAGAACTCTCTTTTCTCCATTGCAGTTTCTCACCCTGCGGTTATTACATGCGACTGGGGAACTGACAAAAAGGCATATAGCTCAACTATGCAGGACGTCCATTTTACCAAGTCGGCATCGCAGGATTCAAGGCTTCGCTTTGCCTCAGCTATCTGCGATTGATCTCTGGGACCTCGAAGCGTCTTTATCGAATTGTGATTTGGATTGTGATCATGGCGTCTACATTGGGTCATATCGCTGGTGCTCTCGGCTTGCTTTTCAATTGCACACCGGTATGAAGAGCCCGCATTTCAGGGACGCGCGCAACCATGGGCTGACCGCCATTCGCCCCCAATAGATTCGAAAATCGTGGAACTATCATGTACCAGGCAAATGTCTTCCCGTCAGCAGCCTGTTCTACGGTCTCGCAATTTACACCATCATCTCAGATGTCGTCATTATTGTACTTCCCATTCCGTTGCTCCTCGGTCTCAACATCAAACTCGCACAAAAGGCCGGCGTTGTGTGCCTTTTCCTCCTCGGCCTCTTCACCACAGTTTGCTCCACCATGCGGCTAACCCAGATTCAACGTGTAGCTTTTGGAGATGGAAACTCAACAATGCTTGTGTTGTGGGGAACGGTTGAATTCAATGTGGGCGTAAGTGAAAATGACCACTTCCGAGCGAACTACAGTGGCTGATTTGTCTGTGTTAGAACATTGTCACTTGCATACCCTATCTGGCGCCTCTACTGAAGGGCTTCGTGCGGGGAATCGCTTCCAACAGTGACAAATCAAACCAGTTTTACTATGACAGTCAGGGCAGAAGCTACTTGATGGATAGTTGGTCGAAAGATCTACAATCGCACATTCAGTCCACTGTTTCCGGTCTTCGACAGCCAAAACGAACACCGAGCGAGGAGCTCATCTTGGCCACTCAGGAGCCAGGGCATGGAGGTATCGAGAAGACGGTCGAATATAGAGTTTCTTCGGAGGGCAGATCAATCAAGTAGGAGACTTGATGATCCAAAGGCTCGACAATCTTTGACTCTGGGCTCTCTTTTTCATCTACAAGCAAAAGTACTAACTTAGATTAAATCTGTTTTGGCCCTTTTGTCCTTCGATGCTCACCCCACCTAAACCCCTCATACCCCTGCACCCCTTGCTTTTCGTGTCTGAGTTGGTGGCTGGATAATTTATGCGACATGCGGTTATAACATCCACAAAACACATACGTAGCCCACATGGCCGGCCTTCTTGAGATATCAATCATTCATTTAGATACGAAAAGCCCTTCAAGGTGTTCAGATCCAAACTTGCTGAAACAGGACCACGACGGGATCCACAGGATCAACCCGCTCGGCCAGTGGGGCCCTCCGCGCGAGACAAGTGCTCCGTGCCTATGAAAAGTGTGGAAAAATGCGGGAAATGCGGGAAATACGCCTACGATAGGGTTAGGTCGAGTCCAGGATGCACGCTGTTCATCAAAATGTAACTTCATTGAACCAAGCTCGGCTAGTCCAATTCAACAGTCTCAGCCCTTGATTCAGTGACGAAACTCAAATTCTTATAGCTCCAATTTGGAATAGCCCCCAAATGGTCCGATTCAACACCTGGGCTATCAACACCCTCAAGACAAACTAGAGAGTTAAATAAGCTAACGGGTTAGGTCCGTGGAATGTTTCGGGTCTCTGAAACCTGCCCGAAGATCTATGCTTTAATAGAACCCTTTCATAATCCTTTCGGGCTAGATCGCCCCGAAGGAGACGATATTCTCAGTACATTCACCGAAATCTGAACGAAAATTGGCCTAGAAGGGTGGCACGACTCATTGCGCGATCTGCGAAACCACGAGCAGCCTGAGATACGGTACAACCTACCACGTGTATGGATTGAGGCAATCAAACTAGACAGTGTTGCTGGAACTGTGCGCCATACTCTGTACATTCATCAACATGTCTGATTCTCCTATCCTGATTATCGGTGCAGGTATCAGTGGCCTTGTACTGGCCCAATACCTGCAGCGCCAAGATATTCCGTTCAGGATCTTCGATCGAGACTCCGCAATCAATGCCCGCAGTGGTGGGTGGGGCCTGACGCTGCACTGGTCGCTCCCCGCCCTACGTGAGTTGCTGCCAGAGCACATCGTCGAGCGTTTACCTGAAACGTTTGTCAACAAAGAAGCATCCGGACGAGGCGACACCGGTCGCTTCCAATTTTTTGATCTCAAGTCCGGAGATGCGTTATACAGTATTCCCGCCGCGGAACGGATTCGCGTCAGTCGAGTTCGCTTACGAGAGTTGCTGACAACTGGCGTGGATGTTCAAGTTAGTCGTGATAGTACCGTCCTTTGGATGATCTCATTCTTCTTGCACTCTTGATGGGCGCTGACACCGTGCGTCCAGTGGGACAGAAACTTTAGAGATATCGAGTCTATAGCAGATCAGATCACTGCGCACTTCGAGGATGGCACATCGTACACCGGTCGGCTACTGGTGGCATGTGATGGTTCACGGTCGCGCACACGCGAGATCCTCTACCCAGGTGTACAGATGAACCAGCTACCAGTGCAACTTCTAGGTGCCTCGACACTGTACAGCGCAGAGGAGCTGGGCGGCATCGAGTTAATCGACCCGTTCATCTTTCAGGGCTCGCATCCTGAGTCCAACGTCTTCCTATTCTTCAGTTGTGAGTCGGTCAAATCCTCATTTATCTTCTGTGGCTTACTGATAGCTTTAGTCCTGGATACCCCAAATAACTTCGAGAACAGCAGCAAGGATCGTTACCACTGTCAAATCATTACCTCCTGGGCAGATTCGAAGCAAATACCCGTCCCGGACGCGAACGCCGAGCGCATCGCACTGATAAAGAAGGTGACTGATGGTTGGTCGGAACCATTCCGATCGCTCATACACAAGCTTCCCGACGATGTGGAAGTACGCTCGATTCGCATCGAAGACTGGATGTTCAGCCTGGGCAGGGCGCACGCGCATCCCCGGGCGGTGTTGATGGGCGATTCAGCTCACACAATGACTATGTGTATGTGACCCTTTCAGTGTCTTCGGACCGTGCGGTCGTGGTAGAGTGCGCCTCTCTAACCTTCACTAGTTCGCGGAGAAGGTGCCAACAATGCGATCGTCGATGTGTTAGATCTCGTGACGCGTATCGATATGTGTCAGCCAAGGTACAAATCCAGCCACTTCGGACTGTCTTTGATCAGGCTGAAACTAATACATGCTCTCTCAATCACCAGGTCATTCGATTCCGAAGCCTTGAAATCCTCCCTCGCAGCATACGAAAACGCTGTCTTTGCACGGGCTGAGCCTAGCTTCCTGAACTCTAGACAGGCATGTTTAGATGCTCACGATTTTTCCAGAATTGAAGGAAGTCCACTGGTTGGGTTGCGGGATTTCAAGAAATCTGGCTGATGTCACTGAGACGCGGTTACCACAACGCGGCATCTGTCACAATGGAATTCATAGAAACTCGAATTGCTATTTCTGCCGTGGACCAATTCTGAAATGGAATGAGATATAAAATAACCCAGAGTATTATGCTCCCAGTATGAACTTGTTGATGTCGAGGTGAAGACTTCGGGAGTGTTGTGGACGTTCGGAGCTACACAGATCGATGCTTATCAGTGCCAAGTTCCAGTCTTACTCCCGCCCCGCAACCTCCGCAAATTTCACTTTTCCTGGTATCGACGGAAAATCGAGGACTGGTGCCATCATTCGTCATATTGAGAAGACTAAAAAGCACCCAAATGCACGGCTGACGGGCAATGAGTGACATTGTGTCAAATCAAGCGGCCAGGGTCCGCATATCGCAGCGTCAGCCGCAAGCTTGCCGAGGTAAATGCCGATCCTCTGCCGCCAGTCAGGATCAGTGGGCGACTGACATTATGCAGAATGCACGAAGCGCAAACGCAAATGCGACAAAAAAAAATCCGTGTACCAGATGCATACGCTTAGAATTGAAGTGCTCGATAGAAATCGTGCAGCTTAGACGCAACGCTGTGCAACATGGGTCGGAAATTCAGTTTTTGCGTTCTCTTTTGGTGGATCTCGAATCGTCTCTATCTGAGACGGTTTCCCTTGTTGAAAAGATAAAAATTCGAATTTTTCGTCTCGAGACCGGTCAGGATCCCCCAGAATCGGATGTAGCCAACAACGCACCTGCAGCACAGGAATTAAGTACAACCGAGGACCGTGCACCTCGCCAATGGTCCTTCGGTGCGAATGACAACACCTCAAATCAAATCGAAACCTCCCTTCTCACGGCTATTGAACACCTTGCTTGGGGTCGTAACTCTGCTGGATGCTTCCCCCACAGGACGTGTTCATGCCAGTATCGCAAAGATGGGCTCCAATCGCTATCAGCAATAGGCCCTCTCCCAGTCAATGTACCCAGTCAGAAGCTGAACACCTCCTTTCCCGGCACATTGGACGCCCAGAAGCTGATCAAGTTCCATGTATGCCATGTGGCCTGGCATCACAACTGCATTCATGGTCCAACATTTCTCGGGCAGTGCGAGGTGTTCTGGGAGACTGGAAAATTTGATGACCCCCTCTGGCTAGCACTCTATCTTTCTGTTTTGAGTGCAACCGTCAGCTCAATCCAGGATAGTACAAAACTAAGAGGAGTTGTTGATGTCGACCTACATGCAATACCATCAACACAACAACTGTTCTCTGCTATGGTGCAGACCCTCTACAACTCCCATTTTCTCAGCAATCTCTCCGTATACTCTGTTCAAGCAATCGTCATATCGACCGAAGTCGCTCATAATCTTGGCTTGAGTCAATTGAACGCGACACTATTCAATGCTGCAGTACGCATTGCCGAGTGTCTTGGTATCCACAAGATCCAGGATCAACCAAACAAGCTTGCTCGAAATAAAGATGAATGGGATGAGAAGGTGGAACGAGAAGTGGGAAAGAGAGTATGGTGCCAAATGATCATCCAAGACCATTTCGCCATTCCTTTTACCGATACCTACAGTATCTCTCCGATGCATTTCTCAACAGGTCCCCCAATGAACGCAGATGACTATGACTTGACGGATGTCCCTATCACATCTCCTACCATAAGCACCTACATCCGTGTGCTTGTGAAGTTGGCAGAATTAATGCCCGGTCTAGTTGACGGACTAGGTCCAATGAAGTCCAGAAAGCCGATGCGAGAGCAGTACGAACATATTCTGAAAATAGACCAGAAAATGAGAGGCGTTGTGAAAAACATACCTCCGTTTCTTCTGCGTGCCGATAAAACAAAGGATGCAGAAATTCCATGGCTTGCTATCGCGCGACGAAGTCTCGCTATCACCGCGGCCGAGAAGATTATCATGATCCATCGGCCCTTCCTCTTCCGCTCTTTCAATGACCAGACATATGTCTACTCCAGACGGACCTGTGTTGCAGCTGCAATGACCATTTTGCGCGAGCACGAGGTTATCGTAAGAGAAGGTGATGTATCAATATGGACCCATACAGCTTTTGCGATCACTGCGGCAGTCATCATGTGCTTTGAGGTTAATGCAACTGCAGAGAACCAAGCCACTATCGCCCAAAGTCATAAGGATGCAATAGTCGCGGCTCGCACCCGCCTTGCTGATCGAACAAATGACGTGCTTGCTCAGCGAGGCGTCGCGTTAATCGATGCTATCTTCACTGCCGATATAGCCTCAGACTCGAAAGGACGCGGCACCAAAATGATTGATTTTGGTCAAATTCTGGCTAAGTTCTCAACTTTTACGAGAATCAATCTTACTCCCGACACCCCCGACGCATCTCCTATCCGATTCTCGAATGCCGATCCTCATGATGTAATCAGTGCCCATTTTAAAGAAATGCACCCAGCGTGGGATACAGCAGAAGACACCGATTTTGATGCATGGTTCAATGGAACGTTCTGCACTCTCCATGACCCTTTTCAGTTTGAAAGAAGCAAACATTCATAACCTCTTAAAGAGACTCTTCAATTGAGCCATTCTCGCCGTTGCTATATCTTAAACTTATGTCCTCGCACAACCGGTGTCGTTGACTCACTCACGTCCCAGGAAGGGCTTGGCAACCGTTGTCCTCGTCATTGTATATTGCCAGAGAAACCTCAATGTTCTCCTCTTGCTAGTCCTTGACCAATTGGCCAGCGATACTGCTCATTACACCCTTATTGTGGAATATTACAAGATCACCTTCTGGTCAAAGGAATCTACGTTCTCCGTGGCATTCTTCTTACTCCGCATCTTGTATACCACTTTCCCGACCTCTCAAGTATCATCCCTTACCATGGTCTCAGCTGTTCTTTTGAATTGCGCGTTGGGAACTTGTGAAATGTAACAAACATGCATTTCGAAAAACGCCCGGTCGGGGTTGAGCGGATTTCGCCAGACCACCGATGACTGTTGTCAGCCAATGCTCATAGTTATCCAGCAACTTACCCGGTGCTCGGCGAGATTTTCCATTGCCCATTCCGACAATTTTCCATTGGTCCCTCCCGTCGAAAAGTTAGGATCGTCAGAAGATTTTTGGACGCTTTGCAGCGGATATCCTCATGTTCGTGCGTAGTACAGGTGACCGTGGTATTGAGAGCAAAATCCTGTTCGTCTATGGGGGAAAAACACGAGTGCCGGAATATGCTTTGTTCAGTCAGTGGGCCAAACTAGTTGCGTTTGTTGGGTTTCCGCACAAGCCGTGGCTACAGTGCTGATGGTCTTCTTTTTCCTATCAGGGACCTTGATCTTCTGATCCTGTGCATTGGGAATGCTGATTGAGCACAGGATATTTACTTCACCCGGTAGACATTCAAAGAACGGGAGATCCTTGTGCCACCGGTATGAACAGGTGTAGCCGTCATTTAATTCCTTTTGACTAAGATGTTCCTCGTGGGGCGATTCGTGGTCCTGTCTCGCTGCTCGGTCGGGTGCAGGACACGAACAAGATGAACCGTCTTCAACCCGTTTAATCCCTTAAAATCTTAGATCTTCTTCGAAACAATGATTCCAACGAGGGCGGCTCTAGGAATCCTTCCTGCTTTGCATGCCGATAGATGGTTTTAGGGATCGCACACGGCTTGCTTCTCCCCAATGAAGTGTACGTCGGATGCATTAGAATCGAAAATCTCAGCGAGCAACGGTAAGATGGTAGTGTACATGCTCTTTTGCTTCCCGACGACAACAACTTGGTTCTTGAAGAGCATTTTTCGAAGAAGGTACTTGTTGCTGTCACCTAGGCGGTCCCAAATCCAACATGGGCATTCCTCAAGACAGTTTGACTTTCATGCCAGTAGCGGAGCTATGTCTGGTGGAATAAGAGATGAGCTCGAAGGTCAATCGTGTTGGTTCGGGTATTTTGGGCTTCGAAAGACCGTTCAAAGTCTTTTCAAATGGTAGTATTCGGTGTATATTTCTATCGTCAAGAAGAACGCTGCCTTGAAACCGAGACGAGAATGGAGCAGAGGGGACAAGTCCACTGATATGGGCCATTATTTTAAACACAGCCCATGTCTCTAATTTTGCTATTCCCACCACGTAAGGCTTTTTTGTATCATCACCTCAATGTATTAGCACTAAAGCTCGGGAATTACCTGGGCATCTCCGTGGAGAGTGAGCTGCTGAGGCCACTGCCCATGGAACTGCTGTGTGGTTTCTCCAGGGCAACTCAGACATCGCTGCATGCACCGGATGTCACTTTTATGGCAATAACAAAGCATGCACTCATTACCAGCCATCCCCGCTGGACACTACAGACAAGCAACACTGAGACGGCCGGATGTCAATGATGATATTGATTGGCTTCTGTGACGAATCACCGAAACCATCAAAGCCCCGATGAGCCTAGGCAAACGATGAAGGTCCTGTGTGGGGCCACTCAAGGCAATTTGACCGCTGATGAGACCCGACAAAAGATGGCAGTGCTCGCAGAGAACTTGCAGTGCCATAGCCAGCATGCTTTCCAGTCCCAGGCGGATTACGAGTTGGTTCATCAGCACAAGCAGGAGCTCCTCAATCTGATACCCCGACGTTGAACGGCTCCAATGAGAGGATACCGGGGCTGGGAAATCGATTGACCCCCGCCTCTATAACCCTGGCCACGGCTGTCGCTTAGTTGTGCCAATAATTTGGCCAAATTCTGATCTGCGCTGTTTTTCTTCTCGAGCCTACTGCTCACCGGGCGGAAAGGATTAGTCGGTGGTTAGCACAACGTGAAATGAGTTCTTTCATCCCAAACCAGGTAAATTGGATGTCACGAATTCGGTAGAACTAACCTTTTTTCACCAGATTTTCTAAAATCGAACTTGGAAAGACTGACTAAAAGGATATATTTTTTTTACGGGGTAGATCGATTACAGTCTCTGTGGACTACGTCAGTCTCCTTCTAAACAGGAATTGTATTTGCGTTCAGGATTGCCCCGATAGAGGAGAAACAAAGAACAAGGGCGAGAATCAGTGGGCAAATCCCTTCTAATCGCGCCATCAACCGCACTGGCCGCTTTGTCTAGGCCGATGCAGCGCTATGCATCACTCTGAATTCGGAGCTGCAAGCCGAACGTTGTACTTGATAAGAAGTTTTGGTTCAACAATTTCAAGTTAAGTCAAATGCAAAAGAAATTTGAGAACTTGGCTTCTTCAATCCTACAAATCAGTGTTCTTCTCTCGTCACTTTTTGCCTCTCAATTTTGCCCTCAAATATGACAACCGTTTAATTTAATGTTAGACTTAGAGGGACGCGTAAATTTCTCCAATAATGACACCATTCTAGTAATCAAATCCATAGTTAATGCGCTGCTTTGATTGGTTTTAACGGAGGAATTGGAAGGTCGAACTTGAAGGCGAATGCACTAAGAGAATCCTGTCAGCTGTGGAAATAAGCTCATCAAGCCGCCTCGGCACGCCATCAAGACTTTAAGCAGTCGGCCACACCGAAGTCACTCCGAAGATGCGCCTTGTGTGTACTTGGCGTGTGTTGCCTAAATTGCGTAGCCCATTTCTCATTAGTATCCTAGTTTTTTTTTTTGTTTTTGCCGGTCTTCTCTTTTCGCCATATCAATTCTTCTTCACTACCCTCCTAGATCTCACCAAAATCATCGTGTATAGGCCATGTTGTGGGAACAGTCCCAACTTATCAGAATATCCCCCACCTTGATAAGTGGGTCTGGTATCCCTCCGGAATCGGATGATGTTGTATAAACGCCTGGGGAGAATCTTAAACTCCCGACCAATTATTTGCAAATGTACAGTAAGGTTTTGTTACAGGGATATCAGTCGCATGACCACAAGTACTGTAAACAGGTGGAATCCTGTGAGACATCCTCAACAATCCGTTTAAAAATGCGGCAGTCGGGCGCCCGACTCGTTATCTAGCCTCGCTGGTGTGCGTCAGCAAGCATTCACAGCTCCACCGGTGATATGACCAACATTAGTATGATACCATGTGGAGATATACTTACTGTTAAGGTTGGGCGTAGTTCCATGTCGGGGGGAGGGGATTTTGTTGCCATTTTCGGTGGATCTATCGTCACTGCTGCATACTCGCTTGGCTCAAGCCACGCGAGGAAAAAGTGATCAGCTGCAAGCTGGTATTTAGAAACCAGCGTCCAGTACTTTTCCATATCTCATCCCATCAATTTTCTCCGCGATTGAGCTTGAAGTCATTCTAGCAATGGCGAGTCTCAAAGATCCTGCTAAAGATCCAAACATATCGGAGGCCCCAGCCATAACGGCAGATCTCGAATCCGATCACACCAGTCAAGAGCAAGGAGAATGGCTGTACAAAGCTGACAGAGCGGAGCTTACAGAGCTCACGCCAGTCGAAGCGTTCAAATGGAGTGTGGAGGGAGACCAGTCACCATGTAGGTTGACCTACATCTCCCAACGGCTGCCGTTGACACTTCTTAGTTCCAGAGGTTGCGGCTTGTGTATCCAACAAAGATGATCCCACAATCGCCTGCAATAGTAAGTCGATGATCTTTGCAGTTTAGTGATTGAATTAACAATCCATCATAGCTGTTCGTGCCTGGATCTTGATGACAGTCTTTGTTTTGCTTTTCTCCGGAGTCAACCAATTCTTCGGCCTACGATATGTACGTTTCAAGTCGCTCCTTGCTCCCCTTTTATATTTACCAACATCCTTTTTGCCTAGCCGTCCCTCACAATAGGCTACGTTGTCGCCCAAATCCTCGTCTTTCCAATCGGCCGAGCATGGGAAAAGCTTCCAAGGTGGAGGGTTCCTCTAGGAAAGCTTTCATTCGATATCAACCCAGGAAAATTTACCATCAAAGAGCACGCCTTCATTGTTATTGTGAGCAACATCCAAACTTCACGTTCTGAAACATAGGTCACAATGAATTAGATCTGACAAACCAACCAGTGTGTTAACATTAGTGCTACCACTGCCTATGCGCAAGGTGCCTTGGTCGCAATCGTCAGCCCTGTATACTGGAACCGCGACCTCGGAGCTGGCTTCTCATTCCTGTACCTTTTGACAACCCAGATGATTGGGTAAGTGGATTGTGTTTTCTTTTTCTTTTCTATTTAGTCACTGATGATTTTCTAGATTTGGTCTGACGGGTCTTGCCCGCCGTTGGATTGTGTACCCCGCTGCCTTGGTTTGGCCTACCTCACTATCATCCACCGTTCTTTTCCGAGCACTGCATGACCCTGAAAGCCGTACGCCAGCCAACGGTTGGACCATTTCCCGGTATCGCTTCTTTGCCTACGTTACAGCATTTGCATTCGTTCTGTTTTGGTTCCCGGATTACATTTGGACCAGTTTGAGCACCTTCGCTTTTGTGACTTGGATTGCGCCTCATAACCAGAAGGTCAACACGATATTCGGAGTGAGTCCACAAAACTTCTCGTTAATTCTGGCCTGAATCTGACTTCACATTTCCCAGATGAATTCCGGATTAGGTCTTTTACCTATCAGTATCGACTGGACGCAAATCAATTATGCTGGTTTCCCCCTCACGACCCCTTTCTACATCACATGCAATGCCTTTGCTGTTGTTGTGTTCTTTTACCTTTTCCTGTCGCCGATTCTGTATTACTCCAATGTGTGGTACAGCGCATAGTAAGTTTCGAGTTTGAGGACAGGATTTCAACATGCTGATGATCTAGCCTTCCACTTCTCTCATCAGGCACCTTCGACAACACTGGAAAGACGTACAACGTATCTCGTGTGCTCGACTCGGCTTTAGACTTCAGTGAGAGCAAGTACAAAGAGTACTCTCCAATGTATATCTCAATGTCTTACTCTCTGACTTACGGGCTATCGTTTGCTGCCGTGACCGCAATTGTGGTCCACACCTACCTTTACAATGGCACGGAAATTTGGGCCAGGTTTAAGAACTCACAACATGGGGGTGAAGATATTCACCGTCGGCTGATGCGTCAATACAAGGAAGTTCCAGAGTGGTGGTACGGGGTGCTCACGCTGGTGATGTTGGGACTCGGTATCTTGACGACCAAATACTGGGACACAGAGCTGCCAGTGTGGGGCTTTATCGTCGTTTGCTTCGGGTTGGCCATGCTTCTGATTGTCCCTGAGGGTATTCTGCAGGGAACGACAAACCAGCGCGTGTTCCTCAACATAATTACGGAAATGATCGCCGGATACGCCTGGCCTGGAAAGCCTATCGCCAATCTGATGGTGAAGTGCTACGGCTATAATGCAGTCAAACATGGAATGGATTTCGCTCAGGATTTGAAACTCGGGCAATACATGGTATGCTCTTTTTGGCCTCTGCTAGTGGAACTTGACTGATTGTTTAGAAAATCCCGCCGCGCGTTCTGTTCTTTGGCCAGATCTATGCTAGTATTCTAGCAACCGCCACTCAGACTGGAGGTACGATGTTTTCTTTTTTTTTTTTTCTTTCAATTTCAATCTTTGGTTTTGAGCTAACCAGAATACAGTGTTACGATGGATGATGGGACACATTGATAACCTCTGTGAACCAAAAAACAAGCAACGATTCACATGCAATGGTGCCAAAGTTATGTACAACGCTTCCTTAATTTGGGGCACAATCGGTCCCCAGCGGATGTTCCAGTCTGGACAGGTGTACAATGGCCTTGTCTATTTCTTCCTTATCGGGGTGAGTTTCTAAAACACACAGATTTGATTTTGCTATGCTGACTCTCTAGCCTGTTGTTACTGTAATTGTGTACTTCATTTACCGCCGCTATCCCAACAGCTGGGTTCGCTATATCAACGTTCCGATTTTCTTCAATGCAGCAGGAAACATTCCTCCCGCAAACACCAGTATGTCTCCTAAAACTTTCTTGCCGGAGTTCCGTTAGTCTGACCAAACAGCTCAATACTCCCTCTGGTTTATCTTTGGCTTTATCTTCAACTACTTGATCCGCAAGCGTGCATTTGACTGGTGGAAACGCTACAACTGTGAGATCCCACTTTCTAAATTCTTCCCTGCCGAGAACCAATCACTAATCTATAACGTGCCTAGATTTGCTCCAAGCAGCCATGGATACTGGCACCGCCATTGCGACGGTCATCATTTTCTTCGCGCTGGGCTACCACGCTGTCAATTTCAACTGGTGGGGAAACACTGTGGGGTCCAATACATACGATTCAAAGTCCGTCCCGTGGTTGACTGTCCCCAAAGGAAGCTTTTTCGGAAAGGGGCCTGGCGAGTTTTGATTGAGATTTTACATACGATAGAATCTTTTAATAGCATCCTTGGCGCTAGGAGATCTAGGAGACATTGTTTTTACACAGAGTAAACTTAAGTAACTAAAATGCGTATACAACTGATCCAGCACCTACAAGAAGTGGGAGCCGCGAAGTGATGCACATGCCATGCTTGATCTTCTCCTAACACATTCACTGTAGTGGTTTTACATTTGTATCGGCTTACGAAAAGCCATCTGTGATACACAAATTTTCCATTTCCCGAAGGATATCGTCGCTCTTGATGTCTGCCGAGGCTGTGAGCGACCTGCTCAATCTATTTCGCATCCTTCCTATCCCATAAAGTTCCCTCTCATCCCACGCATCCGATATCAGCGATATCACCCGAAATGATCATGTTTAATACATATGTCACAGCTACCATGACGTAGATTCCTTATTCGTGCCAGTTCGCGTTGATAGAAAACCGTACCCTGAAACCCCCACAGTCAATGTAGCAAAGACTTTCTAAGTATAGCGAGCTGTCAGGTGCAAGGTCGTGCAACCGTATGACATGGATTTCCAAGTCCCTCCACGATATAATGAGTTACTTAGTGGACCTCAATTATCTCACAAAATTCCAAGAAAACATCTCATGGGGGTCAAGCACGTGTGCCAAGCCAAATGTACATGTGTTTTTGGGATGTTGGAAGTTTCGCCTAGATTCCGCCGAGAACAAGATTTTGAGCCTAACTCATTATGTTGTGAGGTTTCTTGTTTCTTCAGTGGGCACCACGATTCCCCTAGCGTCCAGCTAATTGCGAGACAATCTTAAAGGAAATATGCTCATATCGCCCCAGAAACGCGCAATTGCGGCGATGATGTCGTGATTTCATGGATGGGTCCACCCGCCTCGTTTGAGCCTCCCCACGCTCTCGGGCATTTTACCCCTGGAAACGGTGTGCGATTTATCAATAAAATAGGTGCAAAGTAGCATGCAAATTAGCTTATGGTCAGTAAGCTAATTGAACCACTCATGCCATCATCAGTAAAATTTCCAAGACTTGGAATTTAGCAGGAGTCTTACAAACGTCAACTTCAAAATTGCTGGGCGTACCAATAAACAAGTCGCCAGAGCCTTGCTATTCACTGAATACTGTTTGGGGAATATCATTGGACTTCAGGCATTCAATTATAGCTAGGATTTTGGATATTGCAGTGCATAAATAGCGTGTTTTCCGGCCTATCATCTTCCAAGGCTTTTGAATCTAACTGATAATTTCTACAGGATACTCTCTAGCTGCACAGTTCAGTTGGCTTACGTTGTTGCTTTGTGTATATGAATCTTTAGAACCATCTTTGAAAACACGAAGATGTTGATTCAGCCTGATATCTATCTTGAATCGGGTTTTCGGTTTAAAATTGCACTGGTTGTCCTCAAAATGAGAGAAACACTACCGGTGATGATCTTTCGTAATGAAGCAAAGCATGTTAAATGGAACGTAAAAATCAAAGCGAGTTGAAAACAACGTTCGACTGTCGGTTGCTTGATAAAAGCCCACCCACGAATGTATTGAAACAAGATATTTGATTCATTGGAGATCCAGTAACCAAATGAAGTCCAAGAGAATGAAAAACGAAGATAGATATCAGCCAAAGACACCAAAAGTTTGCCCAATATAGCTCCAACTGGCACTCTGCATGTTCTCCAGTTTTCCCTTCCAATTTTGTTTCTTCTTTTGAGAACAACCCTGGGAAATCTCAGCATAATCAAAAGAGGCAATGTGGTAAGAATCAACAAGACTACTGAGTGCACTATTAAATTAGAAATTTATATCTCTAAGTATTATAGAGTATTACTTCCTGCCTTTTAGGTAGCACCGGACTTGGGAGGACTATCTAAAGGTCTTTCGATTTAGTTTTTAGCTCTACATTAAAGTTCGATAACCCTGAATCTTATTGTTAGAGATACTAGAGATCTACGATGAATGTAGATGTAACTGGAAATCTCTTGATGCGTTGAGAGAGAGAGAAACTATCTACATGCTATGACTGAGACTAAGTACTGGGAGCAAACAGTGGGTGGTCACGTGACCTTCCAACCACCCCCAGAC